AAGTTTCATACAGACCCAGAACGCTGACGATGAGCATGCTGAGGTGAAAGTAGGGTTCCAGGATGTTGTCAACCGCCCAGGCCAATTCATCTATCCAAGTGGTGCTGTTTGAATCAAATGAAGTGAGTGCAAAGCTGGAGCTGCTGGATGTTGGTGAGGGACTGATTGAGATCTACAAAACCGAGAACCCTTACGTTGAAGTTCCTATCGGAAACCACACCAAGCATGGCGTTACCCTGCCTCGGAAAACTGCCATCAGCATCATCCATCCCACAGTCAATCAGGCACTTTTGAGTGTCAGTTGGTGCATGTGTGTGATGTTGGGCTAATGCTACTGACCCGGAAGCTATTGGTTCTCTCCAGAACAGTCATCTTGTCCTTGAACCTTAGGAATTTGACCACTACTGGCCTGGGTCTGTCACCTGGGCTGGTTACAGGTTTTCCAGACCTATGGGCACACTCCACCTCAATCTTCCTATGATCCATCTGCAGCTTTACAGTGATAATTATTCTCACTTTCTCCTCAGACTCTGTCCAGGTCTCATGTTGAGACTCTTTTATGCCATTTACAACAATGTTAGTCCTCCTGGATTGTCCCTCTAGATCAGGGGTATTCAACTCCTACCCTAAGAGGGCCGGAGCCTGCTGGTTTTCTGTTCTACTTGATAATTAGTTGCACCCACCTGGTGTCCCAGGTCTAATTCAGTCCCTGATTAGAGGGGAACAATGAAAAAAAGGAGTAGAACTGGCCTTGATGTCCAGAGTTGAGTTTTAGGGCTCTAGATAGTCTGTTTCCCAGTCATCTGTAATAGTGATTCACAGCGGTGGAGGCTCCACAGAGGAGGAAGGGAAGGACCATCCTCCTCAGTGAATTTCATAAAAATAAAAATTGTAATAATAATCATTTTTAGATAAAACTATACTAAGTATATTCATGTCACCAAATAATTGATTAAAACAGCCTGTTTTGCAATAGAGGTATACAGTATCCTCAACAGCACTCTGTAGGGTAGCAACATGGTGTAGCCAGAGGACAGCTAGCTTCCATCCTCCTCTGGGTACATCAACTTCAATACAAAACCTAGGAGGCTCATGGTTCTCACCCCCTTCCATAGACTTACACAGTATTATGACAACATCCGGAGGACGTCCTCTAACCTATCAGAGTGCTTGCAGCATGAACTGACATGTTGTCCACCCAATCAAAGGATCAGAGAATGAATGTAGCCAGAGGACAGCTAGCTGATTAATCTAGTACTGAAAGCATAAGCTACAGCTAGCTAGCACAGCAGTGCATAACATGTGGTGAGTAGTTGACTCAAAGAGAGAGAAATACAATAGTTGAACAGTTTTGAACAAATTCATTTATTCAAAAGTGAAGGAAAGGTAAGAGAGAGAGAGAGAGATTTCGTCATTTCTTTTCACTTTCACTTAGCTAGCGAATGCAGCTAGCAAGTTTAGTCTACTCAAACACCCTGCTCAAACAGAGGGATGCTATGTTAGCTAGCTGGCTATGACTATCCAACAATGGAATTCTTCCAAGTCAAGGTAAGCTTTTGGTTTTACTAATTTATTTCCACTGGGGCCCGTCGGTGTAACTGCTAAACTGCTTACTGACTGTACACTGTACTGCATGATTGTAGTAGGTTTAATAACGCATTAGTTCTATTAGCTATGTTGACTATGATGTTGCTTTAGCTAATATGGTGACAACGATGTAGGCCGTGTGTAGGTTTTGCTTGGAAAGGATTTTTCACCTGGTCACAGACAGCTGATGTGTTGTGCATTGAAGTCCACAAGTGAAGGGAAAAGGTGAGAGGAGGAGAGCGCATAGATGTGAGAAGGAATACAACTAGCTGTTTGTATGTGGCTATGAAAGTTAACTGTTTGTGTGTGATCAGGGGTGTATTCATTCCGCCGATTCTGTTGACCAACGTTTCTTAAACGGAAGCAAATGGAATGAAATGGGGGTAAACATAACTGACTTTGTCCAATAAAAACTCTTGTTTGCAACTGTTGGACTAATGACTACACCCTAGAACAGCTAGATGTAGGCAAGAGTGTGCAAGGCGGTATTGAATATGTCACTGTCTGTCCATGTGTCACTGTCTGTCACCTCAAATCTTTCTCTCTACCTATGTGCACCTACAGTGCATTCGGAAACTATTCAGACCCCTTCCCTTTTTCCAGATTTTGTTACATTACAGCCTTTTTTTTTTTTTTTTTTTACAGCCTATTTACACACAATACCACGTAATGACAAAGTGAAAACAGGTTTTTATACATTTTTGCAAATATATAAAAATTAAAAACAGAAATACCTTATTTACATAAGTATTCAGACCATTTGCTATGAGACTCGAAATTGAGCTCAGTTGCATCCTGTTTCCATTGATCATCCTTGAGATTTTTCTACAACTTGATTGGAGTCCACCTGTGGTAAATTCAAATGATTGGACATGATTTGGAAAGGCCCACACCTGTCTATATAAGGTCCAACAGTTGACAATGCATGTCAGAGCAAAAACCAAGCCATGAGGTCGAAGGAATTGTCCGTAGAGCTCCGAGACAGGATTGTGTCAAGGCACAGATCTAGGGAAGGGTACCAAAAAAAGTATGCAGCATTGAATGTCCCCAAGAACACAGTGGCCTCCATCATTCTTAAATGGAAGAAGTTTGGAACGACCAAGACTCTTCCTAGAGCTGGCCGCCCGGCCAAACTGAGCAATCGGGGGAGAACGGCCTTGGTCATGAAGGTGGCTCACTCTGACAGAGCTCCAGTGTTCCTCTGTGGAGATGGGAGAACCTTCCAGAAGGACAACCATCTCTGCAGCACTCCACCAATCAGGCCTTTATGGTAGAGTGGCCAGACGGAAGCCACTCCTCAGTAAGTTTGCCAAAAGGCACCTAAAGGACTCTCAGACCATGAGAAACAAGATTCTCTGGTCTGATGAAACCAAGATTGAACTCTTTGGCCTGAATGCCAAGTGTCACGTCTGGAGGAAACCTGGCACCATCCCTACAGTGAAGCATGGTGGTGGCAGCATCATGCTGTGGGGATGTTTTTCAGCGGCAGGGACTGGGAGACTAGTCAGGATCAAGAGAAATATGAACGGAGCAAAGTACAGAGAGATCCTTGATGAGAACCTGCTCCAGAGCACTCAGAACCTCAGACTGGGGCGAAGGGTCACCTTCCAACAGGACAACGACCCTAAGCACACAGCCAAGACAATGCAGGAGTGGCTTTGGAATAAGTCTCTGAATGTCCTTTAGTGGCCCAGCCAGAGCCCGGGCTTGAACCCGATCGAACATCTCTGGAGAGACCTGCAAATAGCTGTGGAGCAACGCTCCCCATCCAACCTGACAGAGCTTGAGAGGATCTGCAGAGAAGAATGGGAGAAACTCCCCAAATACAGGTGTGCCAAGCTTGTAGCGTCATACCCAATAAGACTCGAGGCTGTAATAGCTGCCAAAGGTGCTTCAACAAAGTACTGAGTTAAAGGGTCTGAATATTCATGTAAATATGATATTTTGTTTAATTGTTTAAAAAATTTTTGTAAACATTTCTAAAAACCAGTTTTTGCTTTGTCATTATGGGGTATTGTGTGTAGATTGAAGAGGAGAAAAAAGGATTTAATCCATTTTAGAATAAGGCTGTAACGTAACAAAATGTGGAACAGGTCAAAGGGTCTGAATGCACTGTATGTTGTAAACTTCCATTCATAGGCTAGATTGTAGCAACCTCATGATGGGTATAGTGAAAATGTGAGTATCATGTAGTAGCCTAAACTTATCGATGTTACATTGAACTGGGTGAATGGAATATGAATGACAGTCATCCAATATGCTGTAATAGAAATAAGGCCATGCTCATTAAAACAATTATCGTCCTCCCTCATCATAAACGGCACCGACCGCCACTGATTCACAGACAGTGCTGACGTCATCTCGCGTGGACTTAGAGTTTGTTGTCATCTTGCTGCAAGTCTTTTTCAGGACAACCATCTCTCCCTGGGAGAACTGAAAACTGTTGTTCAGGTATTGGACCTCTGGTCAGATCATCCATTATTTTGTTAGTTGTGTCCACCAGTATTTGGAGAAAGCTCTTGAAGCTATTTTTCTGTTGTTGTAACAATTTTTTGTAGAGATATTTTTGTTGATTTAAAAGATCACGCACCTGAAACACTGTCCTCTCCACTACTCCAACCTTCTTTAACTTTGGGAAGCATGATGATTTGAGCCAGGTTGAGCCAGAGTGTGGAAATGAAGTTAGGGTTAGTGTTAGGGTTATGGCTATGGCTATGGCTATGGTTAGGGTTGAGCCAGGGTGTGGACATGAAGCTAGGGTTAGGGTTATGGCTATGGTTAGGGTTGAGCCAGGGTGTAGAAATGAAGTTGTGTGGAGAGACATGGCAGATGACAATGAGCATGGCTCAACTGTACGGTATTGTGTTTGATTGCATTCCATTCCATATCATCATTTTTTCAGAGGTTTTGTTATCTTGAATGCAACTCTTTTCCTACATCGAGAGTGTTATGAACAGTTCAATGTTTACTCCCAGAACACCTGCTGACTTATCAACTTGGAGGAAACTGCTACATAGACTCGGTAGTACATCCCATGGCCAATAAAGACAAGTCAAAGAAAAACAAAGTGTCCTTTCTCTCTCTGTGTGTGTGTGTGTGTGTGTGTGTGTGTGTGTGTGTGTGTGTGAGTGTGTATCTCCCTCTCTCTCTCCCTTTCTCCCCTCATGCCATCTCACACTAGAAGGACAGTCAAATCTTCCAAGGTCAATCTGGTGTGTGAATAGATAATACTCATGTTCCCATGTTTCTAACTACGAGCAAAAGGTCACTCCTCATCATCCACACAATTAATAATCATCAGACCATCGAGCATCACTTCACTCAAACACATCTCAAAGCAGTCAACAGACCCTTTGCCTCTCTGAATAGGACTACAAGAACCACACCAAAGATTTGATTGGATTCTGACTTGGATGTCAATCTGTCTGCAGAGAAAGATGATTATCTTGCAATATCTGATGGTTGTGCTCTCTAGCTGGTCCCTGGGAGAAACTTTTATTCTGAAATCCTCAGGGCAGAAACCCAAAGCAACTCCAACAGACTCTGCTCCAGTCATCACTCTGAACAGGTGAGACACACCTGGAATATCAAAGATCAAAGATATGATTGTAGAAAATGAGGTTAGCCGTTCTTTCTTAGCAGGCTGTTGGGCAAATGTTGCGTTCCAGTTATTTTTGGTCATTTGTTACTGAGAGTATGATAATTACAATTATGCAGGCAATACATTATGGAACATCACCGTGCATTATCAATCAATGTGACCTTAAAATTCACAATGAATGCATGTTATGCTTTTCATTGATTAAATGATCTGCATCATCAATGACATCAATCAGTTTTGGGAGTTATTAGGTTAAAATATAAAATATAACCTATTCAGATTATGTTATAGTTAGACATAAGTTAATTTAAATAAATGTGTGTTCCCATTGCAATGTACTTTAAAACTGACATGCTCATGTAATCATTAGTCAAAGGGGGTGTTTTGATCAGAGACAATAACAGTGTTATTGCAACTTTAGACACCAGACGTTTACCCATTCTAAAGACATATCAATGTCATCCTGTTCCTGGCACTCTGAAAACACTGCGATGTCAATAAGCCTGATGTATAATCATGGTTTTATTATGGTTTTCAATGTCACATGATCTCTTAGATTAGATAGATGCATATTGCATCAAAATTGTGGAAAGCATGAGGGAAGATTGTTGCTTTTTTTCTTGGCTGAATGAAATGCATTTTATTGCCTTTTGTGCACAGTGATGTTGATTGTCAGGTAGGCTACTGTATGTAAAAATCTGGGGAATAATGGTCCCCTTATTGGCTTGTTGCAGTTGCCGAGGGGAACCCGTGTCAGACATCAAACAGTTCCTTCTGAGGGGTCTGAACCTGCATAGAGAGCCACAGACTGAGGGGGCTGGACTGGCCTCACTCAGGGAGCAGTGGAAGGCTGCGTTCACAACCCAACACAGTGACTCTCAGACAACACTGGACAGCAAAGGTAAAGCTGTGTAATGTAACTCAGAAGACCATCACTGATATTGAACACTTTTATTACAATAGTCTGAGATTCCCACCATTTGTTTGAGTCATTTATTACACAGATTGGTTAAAGTCTGACATTATTGTCGTCAGTTCAACTAGTAATTTAATTATATTTGTAATTATTCCCCAATGCTGGAAGGGGGGCCTGAGTGAAAAGGTTTGGTCACCCCTGGTGTAGCTAACTACTGGAACTACACACTTTTTTTGCAAAAATAACAGAAAATATGGGTAAAGTAGGCAAAATGTCCTTTATTTTTCGGCATCAGACCTTCCTAATTTTCACTTGAAACATTGTTTTTGTATTTAATAGGCTAAATTACACATTATGTTAACATCTGACTCCTGAGTAATCTGTTCTTGCAATTTGTAGTCTATGGCATTTTAGATAATTGATGATAATGATAATTTTTCACGAAGTACTTTGGATGTAGTGAACTACTTCAGTTAAGTAAACTTATCTTTCTTAGCGGTAGCTTTAGTTTAGCTTAACTTCTTCCAGTGTGAAGTAATTGGTAGCTTGGTAAACTATATTTTCAGAGTAGCTATCCCAACACTGACTGTTATTCTCTATTTCAATAGAGAACTCCAAGCAAAAGTTATCTGGAAATACAACAGGGCCACACTGCTGTCAACTGGTCTCTAAGATCTACATACAAGGTTTGTGTCAAATGATAGTTCCTATTTTACTGCCAAATAAAATGATTGTCAATCTGACTTGACAAACACTGAAAAACCTTGCCAGTATGGTTTCCCACATGTGAAGTGACATGTGGTGTGTGGTCTGTCTGTCTCTGCTAGACCTGGGCTGGGAGAACTGGATCATCTACCCAGAGAGTTTTACCTTCACCCAGTGTGCAGCCTGCAGCCCACAGCTGAACCCTGCAGGCCAACAGTGTGGAGCGCACCTTCCCCCACAGGATTCCCCTCCAGAGGTAATGCATGTGCCCCTTGTCCCGCAACTTAAAACATTAAAGCTACACTATAAAACATTTAAACTACACAAAGATAGATTGCAGGTGTCACACTGCAAATGCATTACTAAGAAGTAATGAGAAGAATTGGCATATGATTTTCAAGTTTTTAGTCAAACGCACATTTTGCGTTTTGTCCTGCTATTCTATCTGACTTCCATGGAAACGTCTATTGGTGCTTTGTCTGTAAGTGATAAAATAGAATGTCTTGTGGATCTCAGTACAAGGTCACAGGTATAAAGGTTAGTTCCTTGCTGATCTGATTGGGTCTCAAACTAGTTCAACCAGGAAATGGTAGACTCAAACAGACAGAGCAGCTATCTTAACAACCAAATATGATTTAAGGGTCAAATTAAGACACTATGAGACTACCCTATGTCTTCTTTTTTTTTTTTTTTTACCACAACACAGCTGTTGCACTTTCCTTATTTATTTGTATTTTTTTTTACCTCTTTCTACCCCCTGAACAAATCTGCTACTGGACAGATCATACCTGATTACTTAATTGTATTCCTACAGTCTTTCAGTTCAGATTATCACTCTCTCTAGGAAGCAACCTTGCTAAGAAACATAACTATATTAAAATACTGTAGCTTTTTAAACTGTTATCTGATGGCTACTTACAGTAAAGTGACCTTTCCTTTTTTAGGTTTCCTGCTGCAAACCTGCATCCCAACACCTGGTGCCAGTGCTCTACCTGGATGACTTCAACACACTGATCATCTCCTCTGTGTATCTGACACAGGACTGCAGCTGCACACCAGCCATCAACCCCCATCGCCGTACTTACTAGACCTGTCCATTCTCCAACAGTTTTATACTATAGTATAGAGCTCTGTAAATAAGATCCATATTCTACATTTTATATACTGTGTATGGTCATGTTCCCATGGTCACATGAACCTCATCGCCCTACTAACTAAACAGATGTCCATTCTCAATGTTCTATACTATGGTGTAGAGTTCTGTAAATAAGACCTACTGCATTATATATGGTCATGCACACGTCACTGATGTTGCAGATCAAAACATTGGGTTTTGGCGTGTTACTTTAAATTAGGCGTTACTTTGAATGTCTGTTGTTGCTCATCTAGTTTTGGGATTTCTTTCAAACTATAATCACATTGTTCATGGAATAGACCTACTGTATTGTATAGTTGTTAGGGCTGACATGCAAAGCATCATTGTGGTTTTGTCAAAATAGCTTCATTACATTTAGTAAAAGTGTGTAATCCTGTGTAAGGTTGTATCCTTCATGTACCTTATTAGCTCTGAAAGATGTAAAAGGTGTATGAAAAAAACTACTTTGTACCTTCTTCTCTAAATAAGGAATATTTCACATGCAGGCACTAGAGACAGTGTGTATTATGTCTAAAATTCAATACGTTTGTATTACTGATGTATTAATTTTGCGGCAGTAACAGTAGCTCTCTGCTGGGTCAACAATGTAGAGACATTTTATTTTTATTACAAGTTTTATCAATTTTGACAGTGGACAATCTGTATAAATTTACATAAGGCATTTTATGTTGCATGAATTCATCAAAATTAAATTAGCTTTATTTCAATATAATTATGATCACCACTCTAAAATACTAGACTATGTGTGCGGACATAACCATAATTAACACGGACATGCTACATTTTAAAATCACATTTTGGCTAAAAATATACATTAATTTGATTACCTAAAAAAAATGCATGACAATTAACTATCATGGAATTTTTAAAAAAAGGGAGGCACTTTTAATGCAGAAAATCTCTGCTCAGCCCTTTCTGGACATGAATATAATCATAGGTTTAGTCCACGACTCAGCTTTATTCATCGCTATGGCAGCCCTGTAAACACAGGAAACAGAAGGTTAAATCAAAAACCACAATGATGCTTTGCATGTCAGCCTGATGTTTTGATCTGCAACATCAGTGACGTGAGCATGACCATACATAATGCAGTAGGTCTTATTTACAGAACTCTACACCATAGTATAGAACATTGAGAATGGACATAAGTTTAGCTAGTAGGGCAATGGGTTTAATATAATTGAATTATAAAAGGCATAGTGTAAGTAATCAACTATACTGTAAGTAATCATTGTGTATTGTATTGGGACTAGGGCTGTCAAACTATTTAAAACAATTGAGTTAATCGCAGAATTTGCTGTGATTAATCACAATTAATCTCAAATTCAGAATTTGCTCAAATTGAGCTGTAAATTAAGATTTTTTTTATACAGAAAGCATTACAAGAATATTGACATCTTAATTTTGTCCAGAGTAACGGTTAGCAAAATCAGGTTAATTGATAAAGCACATTTTCTTTTACCTCAATGAGTACGTTTACATGCACACTAATAAAATCGATATGAAACGTATTATGCAATAGTCATGTAAACGCCTTACTCTGCTTATCTTAATTGGCGTAAGGTCAAAGTCGAAGTAAGCATACGGCGATTAAAGCACTTTTTTTTTTGCAAACTATCTCATCATTAGGACATCTAAACACTTTAATCTGCATTCTAGCAGTGTATTTGTTCTGTGCATGTGCTAGCACCAGCCGAGCGAGCCTTCCCCTTTAGCGCGAGTTAAGTGAGTTGGGAACAACTGAATGTATGCGTCTTAAAAGTAGTTTTCACATACAAACTTTATATGTCCGTACTCAGAATCAAATATGCTTCTCAAAAATAACATGGTCGCTGTGGTAGAACGTTCATTTTGATTGCCAATTTTCTGCTTTTATGAGAGGGCCATCAGGTAGCCTGATTTCAGAAGTGTCCATGCAAACAGGATTATTAGGGAAATATTTTCTTGCAAAGCATGTAAACGTTTTAATCAAATTATTATATGAAATCTGAGTATCCACAATAAATCGCATTATTGTGTGCATGTAACCGTACTCAATGTCAACTTGTTTTGACATCGCATTGTTTTAGCTGTATCGATTATGTATTTTGGATGTTTTCAGTGGATTTTCAACGCTTTCAGACAATGCGATTAATCACGATACACTAACATTACAAAAAGTGAACTGATTAACTATGACAGCCCTAACTGGGACACAACAGAGAGCCAATGATTAGACATGCCAGTAGTTTCATTACCTCTAGTCTGACCTTTGTGTTGTATTTCTCAGGGCTGGCTGCACTCATTGTTGTGGTGTAAACAGTACTCCTGGGAAACAAGGAACCAAGTTTTAATATAAAACACACCCATCTACCCACATAAAGTTATATGACACATACAAATCACAGTTGTGCATGTATGGGTAAGATGGAAACCTACTTAAATAGTGTGACATGAAAACATGAAAAGCTTCAAAATGGGGACCATTCTACTCAAATCTTCAGTGAGAATATACTACAGCCATTTATTCAGACAGTTTCATAAGAGGCCTATTAACTTTTTGCTGTGGTAAGGCAAAGGGAAGTGAAAGTAATGTTCGTTGCACAAGAACCCTCCCTCCTGCTGCTCACACACAGTGATTCACATTGGGGACATAATAAACTTTCTTCCTTACCTGCTACATACTGGGTTCATTGACAGGACCTGGGAGACACAATTACTGATATAAGATGTATAAAAAAAAAAAAAATTTTAAATACAGTTATACAGTGCATTCAGAAAGTATTCAGACCCCATTTCTTTTTTTTTTATAATAAAAAACAGAAATACCTTATTTACATAATTATTCAGACCCTTTGCTATGAGATTCGACAGAGTCCACCTGTTATATATTCAATTGATTGGACGTGATTTGTAAAGGCACACACACCTGTCTATATAAAGGTCCCACAGTTGACAGTGCATGTCAGAGGGGGAAAGAAAACAAGCCATGAGGTCGGAGGGGGAAAGAAAAACAAGCCATGAGGTCGAAGGAATTGTCAGTAGAGCTCCGAGACAGAATTGTGTCAAGGCACAGATCTGGGGAAGGGTACCAAAAAATGTCTGCAGCATTAAAGGCCCCAATAACACTGCGGCCTCCATCATTCTAAAATGGAAGAGGTTTGGAATAACCAAGATTCTTCCTAGAGCTGGCTGCCCGGCCAAACTGAGCAATCGGGGGAGAAGGGCCTTGGTCATGGAGGTGACCGAGAACCCGATGGTCACTCTGACAGAGCTCCAGAGTTCCTCTGTGGAGATGGGAGAACCTTCCAGAAGGACAAACATCTCCGCAGCACTCCACCGATCAAGCCTTTATGGTAGAGTGGCCAGACAGAAGAAAAAAGCACGACAGCCCACTTGGAGTTTGCCAAAAGGCACCTAAATGACTCTCAGACCATGAGAAACAAGATTCTCTGGTCTGATGAAACCAAGATTGAACCCTTTGGCCTGAATGCCAAGCGTCACGTCTGGAGGAAATCAGGCACCACTCATCACCTGGCCAATATCATCCCTACAGTGAAGCATGGTGGTGGGAATGTTTTTCAGCGGCAGGGACTGGGAGACTAGTCAGGATCGAGGGAAAGATGAACGGAGCAAAGTAGAGAGATCCTTGATGAAAACCTGCTCCAGAGCGCTTAGGTTCACCTTCCAACAGGACAACAACCCTAAGCACACAGCCAAGACAACGCAGGAGTGGCTTCGGGACAAGTCTCTGAATGTCCTTGAGTGGTCCAGACAGAGCCCGGACTTGAACCCGATCGAACATCTCTGGAGAGACCTGAAAATAGTTGTGCAGCGACACTACCCATCCAACCTGACAGAGCTTGAGAGGATCTGCAGAGAAGAATGGGAGAAACTCCCCAAATACAGGTGTGCCAAGCTATTAACGTCATACCCAAGAAGACTCGAGGCTGTAATCGCTGCCAAAGGTGCTTCAACAAAGTACTGAGTAAAGGATCTGAATACTTATCTAAATGTGATATTTCTAAAAACCTGTTTTTGCTTTGTCATTATGGGGTATTGTGTGTAGATTGATGAGGGAAAAAAACAATTTAATCAATTTTAGAATAAGGCTGTAACGTAACAAAATATGGAAAAAGTCAACGGGTCTGAATATTTTCCCGAATGAACTGTACTTCTGGATTTGCTATGAGGATAACTTCTAGTCAAATATAGTCAACAGGTTTTTAGAAATGTTTGCAAATGTATTAAAAATTAAAAACTGAAATATGACGTTTACATAAGTATAACATTGTCAAATGTAATACTATCAAAACAAATATTCCCCAAAAACATACACCAAACAGCCATCTACTTGCCTTAAACATTGTATTCATATTGATATTATCTTGACCAGTAACATTTAATGCTTTGTTCGCTGCATCTCTGGAAGAAAGATACATCTTTTAACTTTAATTTAAAGTCATCAAGCGATCCATTCACATTAAATCTATTAAAATGTAATTATGGAGTCATGTAAAGTGAGCATTACACTTACCTGCGATTATCCTTTGTAGGAGGAGGCAGCCAGTGATCGAAGTTGGTCTCTACTCTGAACCACCTATAGTAGGAACGGACACTACACTTTAGTTACACGTCCAAGAATAAACACCCCGATATGTTTAACTATCTTATTTTAAAAGCCCAATATCTGCTGATAATGTTATAATAATAATAAATTACATTTGTAAAGCACTTTTCATTATAGAATCATCTAAAAGTGCATTAAATAAAAGTTAATCGAAAAATCGTTTTTTTAAAACAACGCAAATATATATAACCATATCATAAAAGCAACAAAGTCTAGGAGGAAGGGTAGACCAGCCGATAAAGAGGAGTCTTAAGGCCTGCTTTAAAAGCCTCAACAGTCTGAACAGCCCTGAGATTGTCAGGAAGGGAGTTCCAAAGACGTGGTGCGTGGGAGGAAAAGGCACGGTCCCCCATTGTTCGGCGATGGGTTCTGGGTGCCCTGGTCTGGTCCTATGCTTTGTAGACCAGGAGGAGAATTTTAAAGTCAATTCTTGGTGATGGTGATTGGTGATGACTGAGGAGAGGGGGGATGATGTGGCCATCTATGGCAGGGCGGATGCTGCAGGAGTTGGTGATCTGCTGGGGGGATGCCTATCAACATTGCCTTGGTCTTGCTGCTGTTGAGTTGTTCTGCATCCAAGACGTAACCTCTTCCAGACAGTTGGACAAGGTTGACAGAGCAGATGTGTCAGGCTTGTTTTTAATGTACACCTGTGTGTCATCTGCGTAGCAGTGGAATCAGACAATGTGCTGTCTGAATATCTGGCCAAGCGGGAGCATGTAGAGTAGGAAGAGAATGGGTCCTAGCACCGACCCTTGTGGGACACCGCAGGTTATGGTGGACTCCTCACCGAGGATGACGTACTGCTTGTGGTTAGAGAGGTAGGAGGTGAACCAGTTTAGGGCAGTCCCACAGATGGCAGTGTTCACTGTAAGGCACTGTAGTAGAATGGTGTGATCTACTGTTTCAAAACCAGCACTGAGGTCCAGAAGAATCAAGATGGTGGGGGATACTGTATCTGCTGCCATGAGTAGGTCATTAACAGCTTTCACCAGGGCTGTCTCAGTACTGCGCATGGGTCTGAAACCAGACTGGAGAGCCTCATTAAGCTGGTTAGCGCTGAGGAGTGAGTGTAGTTGAGTTGCCAACATCTTCTTCAGGACTTAAGAAAGAAATGGGAGGTTGATAACAGTTAACATAATTCGGCTTTATAAATCTCAGCAGCTCTTAAAACAAACTAATATAATATGTGTTATGGAATGTGTTATGGAAGAGACCCCTCATTTCCTACCCTCCATTTAAGGGTTCCAGAGGCCAGATATCAGCTGGGCCCTTCCTGTCCCTGGTGACCACAACTCCTTCCCCAGGCTTTACCCCGGCAACGATGTAGTACACGCTTGTGATGATGGGGATCTTAGACAGCCGCATCACAGCATCCTGAAAGTCTGCTGCTTCCTCCAACGTCTGAAGGAAAGCAAGAAAGGACAAGCCACAATAGTAGGTTAGTAGACAAGCCATAATAGTAATTTGTGGTTAGTAACGTGTTGATTTTTGTGGATGTTGATGGTTGAACTTCATGTCCATTACTTACCTCTCTCACCAGCCAGCTGACTGGAGATCTTTTCAGCAGGAAAGCAGAGACCCAGTTCTTCCACCAATTCCACCAGTGGTCTTCACCTGTTGATAACACACTGCCATTAAATGACTGACTCACACCGTTGTGGATGTGTCCTGGACACTTAAACAAAGTGAACCCTTACCTCGCTGGTCACCAGAGATTGTGAATTTATTTGGACTCTGTCCGGTCCACAGCCCGACATAGCCAGCAAAAGACGTACCACGATAAGCCACCTGGAAGAGTTTAGTAATTAGGAGGTCATTTTATTTGACCCTTTTTCAGCCTAACATCACACTACAGATTTACTTCACAGTGCCCAAAACAGACTACAATAGGAAGCACAGCCGCGAGCTGCCCAGTGACACAAGCCTACCAGACGAGATAAATCACTTCTATGCTCGCTTCGAGGCAAGCAACACTGAAGCATGCATGAGAGCACCATCTGTTCTGGATGACTATGTGATCACGCTCTCCGTAGCCGATGTGAGTAAGACTTTTAAGCAGGTCAACATTCACAAGGCTGCAGGACCAGACGGATGACCAGGACGTGTACTCCGAGCATGTGTTGACCAACTGGCAAGTGTCTTCACTGACATTTTCAACATGTCCCTGACTGAGTCTGTAATACCAACATGTTTCAAGCAGACCACCATAGTCCCTGTGCCCAAGGATACTAAGAACCTGCCTATATGACTACCGACCCATAGCACTCACGTCTGTAGCCATGAAGTGCTTTGAAAGGCTGGTCATGGCTCACATCAACACCATTATCCCAGAAACCCTAGACCCACTCCAATTTGCATACCACCCCAACAGATCCACAGATGATGCAATGTCTATTGCACTCCACAATGCTCTTTCCCACCTGGACAAGAGGAACACCTACGTGAGAATGCTGTTCATTGACTACAGCTCAGCGTTCAACACCATAGTGCCCTCAAAGCTCATCACTAAGCTAAGGATCCTGGGACTAAACACCTCCCTCTGCAACTGGATCCTGGACTTCCTGACGGGCTGCCCCTAGGTGGTAAGGGTAGGTAACAACACATCTGACACACTGATCCTCAACACGGGGGCCCCTCAGGGGTGCGTGCTCAGTCCCCTCCTGTACTCCCTGTTCACCCATGACTGCATGGCCAGGCACGACTCCAATACCATCATTAAGTTTGCTGACGACACAACAGTGGTAGGCCTGATCACCGACAACGATGAGACAGCCTATAGGGAGGAGGTCCGAGACCTGGCCGTGTGGTGCCAGGTTAACAACCTCTCCCTCAACGTGATCAAGACAAAGGAGATGATTGTGGACTACAGGAGGAAGAAAAAAAAAGAGGACTGAGCACGCCCCCATTCTCATCGACGGGGCTGTAGTGGAACAGGTTGAGAGCTTCAAGTTCCTTGGTGTCCACATCACCAACGAACTATCATGGTCCAAACACACCAAGACAGTCATGAAGAGGGCACAACAAAGCCTATTCCCCCTCAGGAGACTGAAAAGATTTGGCATGGATCCTCAAAAAGTTATACAGCTGCACCATCGAGAGCATCCTGACTGGTTGGATCACCGCCTGGTATGGCAACTGCTCGGCCTCCGACCGCAAAGCACCACAGAGGGTAGTGCGTACGGCCCAGTACATCACTGGGGCCAAGCTTCCTGCCATCCAGGACCTCTATACCAGGCGGTGTCAGAGGAAGGCCCTCAAAATTGTCAAAGACTCCAGCCACCCTAGTCATTGACTGTTCTCTCTGCTACCGCACGGCAAGCGGTACCGGACCGCCAAGTCTAGGTCCAAAAGGCTTCTCAACAGCTTCTACCCCCAAGCCATAAGACTCCTGAACAGCTAATCATTGCTACCAGGACTATTTGCACTGCCCCCCCCCCCCCCCCCCCCCCCCCCCCCCCCCCCCCCCCATATTTTACGCTGCTGCACTCTGTCTATTATTTATGCATAATCACTTTAACTCTACCCACATATTACCTCAATTACCTCGACTAGCCGGTGCCCCCGCACATTGACTCTGCACCGGTACCCCCCTGTATATAGCCTCCCTACTGTTATTTTATTTTACCGCTGCTCTTTAGTTATTTGCTTTATTTTTTTTACTTAACACTTTCTTCTTTTTTTTCCTAAAAAAAATGCATTGTTGGTTAAGGGCTTGTAAGTAAGCATTTCACTGTAATGTCTACATCTGTTGTATTCGGCGCATGTGGCAAATAAAATTTGATTTGATCTGGCATTATCGGCTGATTGACACCTTGGCCTTGCAAAAGTGAAACTGCAGAGGTAAAGGTTGAGCTGTGTAAGCATGTGTAACATACCGTTCCGTTTTTGAGAAAGAGAATGTTGATAGTGAGATTTCTGAGTATATCATGTGGGTAATCAAGGTTCCTGCCATGATACAAACGTCCACTTGTGTCCTGAGCTACAATACTAGTGCAAAACCTATGGAGAAGGGAAAGGGGGATATCTAGTCAGTTGTACAACTGAATGCATTCAACTGAAATCTGTCTTCTGTATTTATGAATGGCGCTGTGACTACATTCTTGTTTCAACTGGTTGAATGACATTTCTATCAGTAGGCCTACAGTCTATAGGTAAAGCAGATCAATTCATACATACGCAGATATTTCATAGGCAAAGTTGAGAAGGATGATATCAGAAAGGCTCCCTCCAAAATATGAGGCCAATCCTCTGATCTCCCTTGCGTATGGAGGAGGTACATACTTCTCCAAGGCCTCCACAATCGGAGTTATCGCATGATGCACCCATTTTGGAACAGTGGTGCTGCAACAAAAAGAATATTACAATGTTTTAGGTGTTAATATCAATCAACACCATGGACAAGTTTAGGCTACTCTGTCAATATACTGCATGCCTGCAGATATTCCTGCAGAATAAATTGCAAGCAGATATTTTTTATGCAAACAACATATCATGGCATATATATGATGGCATATTTTCTCATATTTGAGATTTTGAATGGTAAGTGAAAATAAGTGGTAGTCTGATCAATATCCATATACTGAAGTAAACTTAAACTTCTGCAATTCAGGTTTAGGCTACAGAATCAAAAGTCCTGTCCATCATGTGACTTTAAAGCAAAAATCTCTATTTTACAGTTTGAGACAAACATTATTAAACCAACTTTTGGAGGCTATTAGAACTTATGTAAATAGACATTCAGTCATAAGCACATACTCAATCACTTCAGCACCTGCTTTCTGCAGGTAGTCGACATCAAACACTTTGAATAGAGACGCCCATCGCACTTCGGGGGGATCATCCAAGCTGACGTTGACCACAGGTGGAAAGAAGTCTGCCTCACATGACACTACCAGACTGAGCAGGAGCAATGTTGAAAACATCGTGCCCTTTTCGCGGATAAGGCAGTAGCCTAGGAATTTGTGCGTTCCAATTCAAAGGGTCGCAACATTACATGCAACATCGTTGCAACTTCCCCATAACTTCCTTTGTTTCTCTTTTGGGAGTGAGCTGAGCATGGTTAAAGGGGCAATCTGCGATTGCAACATACATTTTTGGACATTTAAATTAATGATATATAGCCATTGATTCTTGTAGAATATCTCTTACAAATGTCTCATGAACTTAATTAAACTGTGTAACCCCATCAGAATCCCAAATATACGCTTGTTTTACTCCTTTGTTTGTAAACATTGCAATTCTAAACAAACGCTTTAAAACATGGTTAAAACTATAATTTTGATCTCATGGATGGTCAGTTCTTGCATCAATAGCTCTGTCTTTGAATTTCAATGGTTACATTTATCCAGCCCCATCCCTCAGCCGTATGCCAAATCTGTGGCGGGTATCTTTTGTTGTTGTTTGAACTGCAGATTGCCGCTTCAAGGTGAGAGCAGATCATCTGACCACAGCAGCGGATATGCGGATCCTGCCTGGGCTGCGTTCAGTACGTTTTTACGTTCTGGAACATTGAATTGAACGGAAACGGTGCTGTACTACACGACCAGTTAAAAAACGATGAAGGGTTGTGAAACGCCGTCAGCGTGGCCACTTTCCTTTAAATACGTCACTCATTGCTTAAAGCCACACCCACCAAACGGGAGAAAACGTAGTTCAAAGTCTGTTCAAGAACATACAAGAACGTTCTGTCGTTCAGAACAAACCGTTCCGCAACGTAGCAAACGTTCAAGAGAACTTAACGCACCTCTGGTCTCAGAGCAAAACAGTTTCATTGTTATTTTCACATAAAAAGGCTTTTTTCATTAAGCCTACAGCAAAACAATGCTTCATAATGAATAAATAATTGTGACTGTGATTAGAAAAAGTAACATTGACTATTTATATCGTGAACTGCTCAATCAAAAGACGAAACCATGTGAAACATTGCAGATCTTGAATGCATCCAAGTCACAAGTATTTATTCTGGGTGTATCAGGAAATGTTTTTAGTCGCAGAGACGATTGTGAAACACAACTTGGTTATATGATGCCCTTTACTACATAAGCGTGAGCTTTTACATTACTGTTGGAGCAAACGGATTGTTTGATCGCATTTGTGAGTCAATTACTCTACATGGTTAGCCATATTTGCAATGCATGAACCATTCGCAGTATTGTAGATTGTGTGGTTATAGCCCAACAGCTGACAAACCTTATGTAATTTGGTCATCATCACCAAGGGATAGGACATGGGAAATTAAATCAAGTTTCCTGCAAAACATATGAGTTATGAAATAAAACATGACAACTGTATATAAGATTATTCCTATGCAGTGTAGCCTACAGTCTGGAGGTTATTTTCAGTGCATGTGGAGCCCATCAGATAGAATAAAATACCTCTATTCACATTCTCATCTTCTGACATGTTCTAATTTCTTGGTTCGATTTTCATAATGCTGCCTTCTTTTATATTCCTTGCCTTAGCTTACTCTCCATTATCATTTCACAGTTGCAGAAATAATCATTTTCAGATGGATACAACACAGACATTGTGATCAGACCTCGCGCCACACAGTCAAATTTCCCCCTAGATTAATCCGGGTTTTATTCTGTCTCCTGAAGGGCCTTACAGGCAAACACAGGAGGCAGTCTATAAAAGTCCGGAACAATCAGTTCATGTTTTCTCAGTATTGCCTTTTGAACTTCAACAGTTCATAATCAAAATCCAAGTTCACTTTTCAGATAACAAATCGAGGGTTTTCCTCACTAAAAATGTATCATATTTCATTGTGATCCGCTTTGTTATGGCTCTCTATAAGGCTGCTTGTTATGCCCATTATGAAAAGAGATGCAGTTGGCAGTGGTGACATTGGGGTGGGTTGGTTTGTTAGTGGAATAATGAAGGGGTACACACTGCCATCTACTGTGTAAATAGACCTATTATAAATGTCCATTCAATACACACAGGTCATGTCCTTTCTTGGCGTTTCTAGTATGTGTCTGAAACATTTCTAAGTGAACGTTCCAATTCACACTTAAAAAATCCTGAAGGCTAATATGGGTTAAAAGTACCAAACTATGAAAGTGTATGACTCACTACCGTAAGTCACTCTGGATAACAGCGGCTGCTAAATGACTCAAATGTAAATGCAAATGGACATTTGTTGTTATAGAAGAATAAGACCTAATACATTTCAAGTTCATTATGTTTCAAGCAGTTATGAAACATGTGGGTGTTGCTACACAGTCTATTCATGTGATAAGTCTATTCACTGCACAACCTTGCTTGTAAACTTGCACTGTTATAAATGTGAGTTAATGCTTTTGTAACTTATCGTCGTCGGGATTTCTTTTTACAGAAAAGTATCTGGCTATGGTTTGATTGACTTCCTGACTGTACATTATATTTATTTTGCAGAGTGTCAAGATGAAGATAGCCGTGCTTGGAGCCACTGGACAGACGGGACAGTATCTGATAAACCAAGCTCTTCAGCAGGGACACACTGTCACTGCCATTGTCAGGAATCCAGGGAAATTGACAGTGCAACACGAGAAATTAAAGGTAAGTAATGTAATGTCTTGTCTGAGCACAAATTGTTGTCTTTTTACATTTCCTCTGTGTTGCAGGCAGCAGCAATGTTTTTAATAGAGGCTTTATGAAGTGTGAAATAAAACTGCTATTTTCTCTATTCTGTCAGGTGGTTGAGGGCAATATTTTCTCAGAAGACAGCCTAAAACTTCACTTCCAAGGACAAGATGCAGTTGTATCCTGCCTGGGGTTCCCTGCATCCTTTCTCTCCGGAGTCACTGGATACACCTTGTCTATGAGGGCCGCGGTAAACGCCATGAGAGAGGCCAAAGTGAACCGCATAATCACCATGACTTCATGGTACACTGACCGTAAGTAAAGTAAAATAGGACTGATTACTTTTGAGAACGACTTGAGAATGTGTTCTCAGTCAACTTACCTGGAAACTTACTTACTTAGGCCTCAATCCACCAAGGGATGCATAAGGCCTCACTAACCTGGTAAAATAAGGGTTAAATGAACAATGCCATGACTGTATTTCATCAGTGATCATGTTGCCTTTTAATGTACAAAGTCAGTTGTGTGTTTTTATCATTGTGAAACAGCATTCCCTTAACTTCTTCTCATTCTCATCCCCATAGCTAACTCTGGCACACAGTCATCTTACCTCATCCGCTTCCTGCTGCTGCCAATGATCCGAAGTGTCCTTAGCAATATGTTTGAGATGGAGCACTTTCTGAAGAAGACACCGGATATTAACTGGACTGTTGTCAGGCCGCCGGGTCTCAAGAATTTACCTGCCACAGGTAAGACCGACGAATAGGGTCTAGTTTAGATACACTATATATACAAAAGTATTTGGACACCCCTTCAAATTATTCGATTCGGCTATTTCAGCCACACCCGTTGCTGACAGGTGTATAAAATTGAGCACACAGCCATGCAATCTCCATAGGAAACATTGGCAGTAGAATGGCCTTACTGAAGAGCTCAATGACTTTCAACGTGGCACCGTCATAGCATGCCACCTTTCCAACAAGTCAGTTCGTCAAATTTCTGCCCTGCTAGAGCTGCCCTGGTCAACTGTAAGTGCTGTTATTGTGAAGAGGAAACGTCTAGGAGCAACAACGGCTCAGACGCGAAGTGGTAGGCCACACAAGCTCGCAGAACGGGACCGCCGAGTGCTGAAGCACATAGCGCGTAAAAATTGTCTGTCCTCGGTTGTAACACTCACTACCGAGTTCCAAACTGCCTCTGGACGCAACGTCAATACAAGAACTGTTAGTCGGGAGCTTCATAAAATGGGTTTCCATGGCCGTGCAGCCGCACACAAGTCTAAGATCACCATGCGCAATGCCAAGTATTGGCTGGAGTGGTGTAAAGCTCGCCGCCATTGGACTCTGGAGCAGTGGAAACGCGTTCTCTGGAGTGATGAATCACGCTTCACCATGTGGCAGTCCGATGAACTAATCTGGGTTTGGCGGATGCCAGGAGAACGCAACCTGCCCCAATGCATAGTGCCAACTGTAAAGTTTGGTGGATGAGGAATAATGGTCTGGGGCTGTTTTTCATGGTTCGGGCTAGGCCCCTTAGTTCCAGTGAAGGGAAATCTTAACACTACAACATACAATGAAATTCTAGATGATTCTGTGCTTCCAACTTTGTGGCAACAGTTTGGGGAAGGCCCTTTCCTGTTTCAGCATGACAATGCCCCATGCACAAAGCGAGGTCCACACAGAAATGGTTTTTCGAGATCGGTGTGGAAAAACATGACTGGCATGCACAGAGCCCTGACCTCAACCCATCAAACATCTTTGGGATGAATTGGAATGCCGACTGCGAGCCAGGCCTAATCGCCCAACATCAGTGCCCGACCTCACTAATTATCTTGTGGCTGAATGGAAGCAAGTCCCTACAGCAATGTTCCAACATCTAGTGGAAAGCCTTCCTAGAAGTGGAGACTGTTATAGCAGCAAAAGGGGAACCAACTCCATATTAATGCCCATGATTTTGGAATAAGATGTTCAATGAGCAGGTGTCCACATACCTTTGGTCATGTAGTGTATACTGTAACCTGGAGCTGGGTTAAAGGCAAAGTGCAGTCAAAAACATGATTTGTCTGTGTTTTATATATATTTCCACACAATGAGGTTGGAATAATCCTGTGAAATTGTGAAAATGATCATAATGCCCTTTTAGTGTAAGAGCTGTTTGAAAAGACTGTTGTGGTGGGATGGAGTTTTGGCCTGCCTGGTGATATCAGTAGGCAGTAAATTAGTAAAGAGACCAATAAGAAAGAGAGTTCCAAACCTCTCTGCCAATATCAGCTAGTTTTCAGTTTTCCCCTCCCCACTCAGAACACTCCCAGACAGTCCTAGCAAAATTCTTGCTTGACCAATTGCTCTTTGCTAAGAAGCTATTTTTGTTTATTTTTTACCATTTTAATTGAAAAGAATCACAATAAGGTGCTTAATTGTTTGAGAAAAGAACGGCTGCATTGGACCTTTAAAGATTGGTCTAAAAGACTCAAACATTTGCATTGTTACAGGATTCATTTTGTCATACAGTAATCACGTAAGTCATCACGTAAGACTGAACCACTTTCAGGTTCAGAAGTAACCCTCCCTGGCTAGCTTGAGGAGATAAAGGCATGGACGACGCAAAACTTCCTTCAACTGAACAGCAGCAAAACCGAGGCCCTACTTGTTGGCACCCCCTACCAGGTACAGCACTCACCAATAACAGACCTCACCATTGCAGGACAGAACATCACTCTCTCCCCCTCAGTTTCCAGTCTGGGTGAACTTTGACAGCCACATCAAACAACTGTGTAAATTGTAATTCTATCACCTCAAGAACTTTGCCAAACTCCATCCCACCCTCACTCAGTCTGATGCAGAGAAGCTCGACCATGCCTTTATCTCCTCAAGGCTAGATTACTGCAACACACTCTTCATCGGGATCCCTGTCAGGAATCTCCAGAAGCTCCAATAAATCCAGAACTGCCAGGATCCTGATGAGAGTGCGGAAACACCATCACATCACCCCCATCCTAGCATCTCTGCACTAGCTCCCTGTCTCATTCCGGATTGAATTCAAAACCCTCCTGCTGACTTTCCAGTGTATTCACGAAAACAGCTCTCCCTCCATAACCCCTATCAAGTGATAGCCTGCTCCTGCACATCCCTAGTACCAAGCTGTGCTCCTTGGGGGATCGGGCATTCAGCTCGACCGCCCACAGCCTCTGGAATGCCCTCCCGGACCACCTGAAGGAACCAGACTCTGGGCTCCTTTAAAGCGGGACTAAAGACCTTTCTCTTTAGGAAGGCTTTCTATTGAAATCTGTGCTCCTTGGTCAGTTGCCCTGCCTAGTTGTGTCCATTATTATTATTATTCTTTACTATTTCTTTTTTAATTAAAATTTTTTGCACTTTGAGATTATTCCGTATAATGAAAAGCGCTTTACAAATGTAATAAATTATGATTATGATTATTATAAGCACCTAAATTGGAACACAGTTGCTGTACAGTAACATGCTATACATGATGTCAGAGCTGAAGGTCTCCGCTTCACAGCGCTGTATTGGTTTTGACTGACAGCGGGTCTGAACTTGAGCACTGCGCACGGCAAGAAGTTGCCCCCATCCCTCCCGCTAATTGGGCAACTTTTGCAAATGTTTTGTTGTCTGAGTGAGGGAAATGCTGTTAATAAAGAGGACTCAATGTATTTTTGAAAGATGAGACGTTGAAGATTATCATAAATTCTGCTTTGATGTCATAAAAGCAAGCCAATGTGTCAACATTTATGATCACTATGCTTGATGTACAGCTCCAAGATGACATGGCGTCTTACCCTGGGTTGTTCTGAACAGAATGAGCCTATGTTTGTTGTATTGTGAATTATTTTGGCAGGGAACACGCATCTGAATGCAGTTATGACTATCCTATGCGCACCAAAATTACAATCTGCTTCTCTGAATTGCCTTGTGAAAGCATACTACTGTAAGATCGTATTTTGTAACTTAGCTAGCCGTGTTGGCAATAGAGCACACTTTCAAATGATGCCCACCTGACTCAGATTTATAATGGACCGTTTCTGGAATGCGTAAACAACAACAGTAATTGTGTGATGGCAGGGCTCTGTTCCAAACAAAACAATTACAAGTCTGCTTGCTCTAGTTCCTCAACAGCACAGCTAGGAGAGCTCAAAATAGCACCTTATAGTTGAAGACTCTTCTTTGAGTCATAAAAGAACATTGATATTACATAGGAACTGTGCACACTTTGGAGAGGTGTGTGGCCACTTGGAGACACCAGTTAGACCTCTCACTCAAACCCTTGTCATAGTTTTGTCTTATGTTGCACCTACCCCAAAGTACCATGAATATTCTTATTATGTTACTGAATGTCTCCAGAGTATTTTCAGATTTTGTTATCAACAAATGCGGCAAAAAGTACAGTAAATGTAAAATGCACATAAAATCAGCAGCGTAATGTTTGGAATCAGTCTCAGATTAACTGTTTTGTCCTCATCTTTAGGCTAATTATTTTCCCATAATCTCCAAACTGTTCCCTTTTGATTGATACTGTGGTTATGCATATGCTTTCCATATTTCTTCTGTAAGAAACATTTCAATTTAGCCCTATCCATATAGGCCAATTCCCACAAGTGTAAGGGTTTAACTTAGAGTCATAGTTCTGCTACTACCACAAGTCCCTGCACTTTTCTCAGAAGACTTAGTGAAATTGACCTTTGATCCAATCATAATGATGATGGGAACCAATGGGTCTCTATTTAATTTGTTCTTTTCACCAGCTAAAGAGTTCCTTACCCACGAGGGCTACTTTGTTCCTGACTCCAATGGCCAGCCTGTAGGAAGTGCTGTAGGAAGGGGTGATGTGGCTCGTTTCATGCTCTTCCTCCTCAACACCAATGCCTGGTTCAACAAGGCGGTTGCCATCACAACCAAACATGAATGAAACACTATCAACGTTCTGTTTGCTTCAGCCTTTAATTGTAATATTGTTTACCATCTTGTGCTATTTTAATTATTGTGAAAATTAAATTACATTTATTTTTGCTGGTTTCGACAAAATGTATCAATGTTTTTATTCCATTTGTGATGTGGAGTTTTTTACCCTAAAAAGACATAAGCTATATTTTTGTGACTTGGCATGAAGCAAACATTTAAAATGGTAGAATGAGTCATTGAAGGTCTAGGGACTCTTTGAAAAAGAAATTACATAATTTTTCATGTATTATGCAAAATTATGTTTATGGTAAATCTGCACTATGAAGGTATTGTCATAAATCTGAGTGGCGCAGTGGTCTAAGGCACTGCATCGCAGTGCTAACTGTGCCACTAGAGATCCTGGTTCGAATCCAGGCTCTGTCGCAGCCGGCCGCGACCGGGAGACTCATGGGCGGCGCACAATTGGCCCAGCGTCGTCCAGGGTAGGGGAGGGAATGGCCGGCAGGGATGTAGCTCAGTTGATAGAGCATGGCGTTTGCAACGCCAGGGTTGTGGGTTCGTTTCCCACGGGGGGCCAGTATAAAAAAATATATATTCACTAACTGTAAGTCGCTCTGGATAAGAGCGTCTGCTAAATGACTTAAATGTAAATGTAAATAAATGATTGTTACCACATAGGGGCATTACAGTATCATAAACTGTCATCATCACTGTGAGGGTACAACTTTTTGGACTCACTTCATATGGTGTAAAATAGCATATTTTCCATTTTGTGGTTGTTATTCATTAATACTTGTCAGATATTATTGATTAATTGAATACTGTAATACGTTAACACATTTTGAACATAATAATTAACAAATGTTTGCCCAAGTAGGTCAGCATTCTGCGTGTAGGTGTGTAATTGACCAAAGGTTCCTGGTGCAGGTGTGAATGTCGGTCAGTAAGGAGCTCACTGTTCTGTCGAAGGATCATTTGATTGACCCATTACATAAAATCTTAACTTTTTTGGGAGATTTGGCTTATATTCAACCTCAGAGAAATGTCAGTTGCCTATCATGCTGTAAGCCCCTATGGGATTTAACTTTGTGCAATCAGTATGCAGCCATCAGCAACCTTTCCCCACTAATAAATTGTGAAATTACTTTGACCAGTCGCTGATTGACCAATTTGTCTGTTGAAATGCTGTTTGACAATTGGCCAAATTCTCTTTGTCCTGCAGTAGCCTTGAAGCCTCCTAAACTAGAAGGACACTGCGCTGAAACAAAACATGAGAGCAGCAGTCTGTCTGGTTGACCAGGTTAATGGCCTGGAAGGCTTTGAGATGACATCCTTCCCAATCACAACTGACCCCTACTGTCTGTCACCCACACTACTGCCAGTCCTTACCCCATAGGCTTTTCTTGACACTGATGTGAGGATCTGAAAGGATATATGTAAACAGTATGCCAGAAACCAGATGGAGCTATTACTGTACCTATAGTACTTACCTAGCCAATCCTGTTCAATCTTTTAGGGGAAATTAAAAAGGGGCATGAGGTCAGTTTACATTTATTTTTATTTTATTTAACCTTTATTTAGCTAGGCAAGTCAGGTAAGAACAAATTCTTATTTACAATGACGGCATACCAAAAGGCAAAAGGCCTCCTGCGGAGAGAAAAAAGTAATGTTGGACAAAACACACATCACGACAAGAGAGACACCACAACACTACATAAAGAGAGACCTAAGACAACAACACAGCATGGCAGCAAAACATGATAACACAGCATGGTAGCTAAACTAGGGATAATTCAATGGTAATTCTAGTATTATAAGAATTTAAAGGAGACCTATTTGTGTTGAACCTCCACGCTTACGGCTTCAGTTCCCATAATTACAAACTTTACCGTGGGTTCCTGTAGTTTGGTGACATCAGTAGGTTTAGATACAGTACTTGAGAAGGACCAACACCACTGTACCTGGTGCTTAGTGTCACTGTAATACATTACTTTTCCACACTGCTACATCATCTCATGGTGGGGCATGTATCCCAGTTTGTAATACATACCATTATAAGACCACGGTCCAGGGAGTTCCCCATCAGCCCAATAGGCTCTTGCCTAATTTACACAGGATGGAGGTTTCAATAATTAAGGGGTCACCTGTAAAAGACAAGTAGCAGACATTCGTAGGAAAACTATAAGAACATACAGTACGTAGCTAGTTCAGCATGAGCTATCTCAGCAGAACCTCCGGCGTATAAAGCCTCTTGTCAAATGGTTTCTATGAAGTCATACAGTAGCTGTCACATCACAGGCACTGTCCTCTGATGAGGAAATTCATAATTGCTGTTCAAGTGAAACAACAAAGACACTACCTTGGACAGGAAGTAAGGTTCGTGTGAGATACTACCAACGTTATGGTTTTTTTGGGGGGTCCAGAACAGTTTGTTTGCGTTTTGCTTTTATTGATCATGTTCATTTAACACATAAAAATAAACATTTTAATATTTATTATAATGTACATGGAAAAGAATTGGCTAAAATCTAATACAAAATTAATATTACAGTGTATCATCCAAATAACGATGGAATCACTTGACAAACATTACATTAATGATACAATGATTTTGTTTTGATAGCATTCTCATTTACTTGAAGTGTGTACAGTATAGCATTGCTACATTTACATTCTCCTTGGTATCTCCTTAGATTCTCCTGGCACATCTTGAGAGAACATAACAAGTGGTTTTTGCAAACATGTTCATATATTTAACAAATAATAAACTAAAAAGCCTATGATAGTGATATGACTTTGAAACTATTGCCATGGTTGCAATAACAGTTAATTTTTGCAGAGTAGCTTACAAGAAGCACAAACTGCTTTCACTGTTGTGGACACTAGATTTGGCGATGATGATTATACGGTTTATTTACAAAAAAAGTGCAAATATCATTGCTGTGAAATCTTATGTACATTAAAACAGCATAAATATTGATATGGAGCAGATACCAATGGGATAATTCTCTAGTTACTGGAGAACGAGACACATTCAAATGTCTACATATGCATTTAATAGTCCAATAACTACAGTCTTCCAATTTTCTCTAGTCCTTGTTGAGTTCCTCTGTTATTCTTGTGCCATTCCATAAATCTCGTTGATTTTCTCCTGGAACATTTTGACAACAACCCCCCTCTTTAGCTTCATGGTAGGTCCTGGAGAGAAGATAGAAGAAATAATGGACTTACTGTGCTCTCAAAATGGGTGTCCTCGCTTTCCTGTGCTTCTTCAATCACAACATTTGACTTCCTCAACAGCTTCGTAGAAAGATTATGCAAATATGCAATGGTATCCACAGGAATGTTGTTTGGTATAAAACAGTCACAAGACTGCCGCATCAGATACTGTCCATGATAAACATTACTGTCAAAACACTTACTTACTTCTCTCTGAGTTCTTTGTAAAAGTGTGTCAAATTATGAAAAAGCAAATGATCTATTGAAAATGACCTACAACCTCACAAGACTAGCTTTAGTTTAGTTATCTAGCTTTAGTTTAATATATATTTATTTTAATCCCACAATGAACAAAGAAGCACACAAAATCAACTCACTAAGATGAGGAAGAAAATGCGATCCAAGACTATTCACTGCTCTCTTCTGTCACATGCTCAAACAGACAGAACCAACCAATAAAAACCAGCCACTGATTTCTCACACTGACTGACTCACCCAGTTCCCCCCCGGATATGGAGAAATCTCTGTCCAAAATGACCCACTTCTGGACTCTCTGGGCGTTGGAGGTGGCCTTAGCATTCACGCGCTCTATGCCCTCCTGGATGGCCTTGTAAATAGCTGGTTCCTTACTGGCTATGATCTCAGAGGCCTTGGTTGCCGTGACGCCATGCTGCTGGCAGAACGCCACAGACTCTGGGGTCAGCTCATCCGTCGGCTCACCATTGTCGTCGACTACACACTACGGAGGGAGAGTGGGGTCAAAGGTTAGGAGTGATCCAGGAGTTGTAGTATTTGCTGAACAGAGCAAACATCAAATAGCCTGGTTCCAGATCTGTTCGTGCTGTATAACTATATTCTAATTGCTTAATAATTCTAAAGCAAGAATTCTAAAGCATGCCAATGACCATAGGAATTGGCAATACAGGACACATATAACGTTTGAGGCCTTACTTTGAGCGTGAGCATCATGGAGAGGAATTTCAACTTGTCTCCGAGCAACATGGCGTTGCTGATGATGGCGATCTCTGCTTTCACTGCATCCTCAATTGGTACAGGTGGGATGTTCTCTCCTCCTGCTGTTATGATAAGCTCTGCAGGACAAGAGATTTCATTCTTAGGATATTTAGATCATAGGTCTACATTTTACATTTACATTTGAGTCATTTAGCAGACGCTCTTATCCAGAGCGACTTACAGTTAGTGCATACATTTAAAAAAATTCATACCCCCTGTGGGAATCGAACCCACAACCCTGGCGTTGCAAACGCCATGCTCTATCAACTGAGCTACATCCCTGCCGGCCATTCCCTCCCCTACCCTGGATGACGCTGGGCCAATTGCACGCCGCCCCATGGGTCTCCCGGTCGCGGCCGGCTACGACGGAGCCTGGATTCGAACCAGGATCTCTAGTGGCACAGCTAGCACTGCGGTGCAGTGCCTTAGACCACTGCGCCACTCGGGAGACTGTCTACACAGTGTTCTACTATCAAGAATGGTCCACCACCCAAAGGACATCCAGCCAACTTGGCACAACCGTGAGAAGCATTGGAGTCAACATGGGCCAGCCTCCCTATAGAACAACACCTTGTAGAGTCCATGCCCCGACATATTCAGGCTGTTTTGAGGGCAAAAGAGGGTGCAACTCAATATTAGGAAGGTGTTCCTAATGTTTTGTACACTCAGTGTATTTGAAATACTACGGTATTATCCGCAAAAAAACACTGTATTAAATACTACAGTAAGATTTTAAAACTATAGTAGTACAACAGTATTTCATTTGCATATACTCCACCCATTCCCATCCCCCATATCCCTATTTGTACCACCCATGATTGAGACACCTACATGCGAAGTATATTCCCTACAGGTTATAGAGAAGTGCAGAGGCTCTGAAATATCCGATCAGACTCCATTCCTACCTACCTACAGGTTATGGAAAATTTGCTCAAGGAAAAAGGCCCACTTCTATGTCAAAGATAATGAAACAAAAAACACTAAATACTACAGTAATATCTGCAAAAACACTACAGTAATTGCTATAGTATATACAATAGTTCTTACTACAGTATTTATACTATTTTACTAGAGTATACTACAGTCATGTCCACAAAAATAGTACAGTGAATACTATAGTATTCTATGGTCATGTCCACAAAAACACTTCAGTGAATACTATAGTATACTACAGTCATGTCCGCAACAACACTACAGTGAATACTATAGTATACTTCCGCAAAAACACTAAAGTCAATACTATAGTATATAAATATAGCAATACTACAGTATTTAGAGCATAGTATACTATAGTATTTTTTCATATGGGGAAGTTACCCTTAGGCACAGACTTAGGATCAGGAGAAGGTACATAAAATTGAACGTAGATCAGTGTCTAGGAGCAACTGCATCCTATTCCCATTGACACCCAGCACTGGCAGCCATGTTGTATAATGGCTACTGTATATACATCTATAAAATAAACTATAAGTAAGTACTATACCCTTTATCCTCCCTGTGATGAATAGGAAGTTGTCCTTGTCGTGCTTGCCCAGATCTCCAGAGTGCAGCCAGCCCTCCTGGTCCAGGGCCTCCTCAGTCTTCTCTGGCTCGTTCAGGTAGCCCATGAACACATGACGCCCCCAGAAACAGATCTCACCATTCCCATCCTCGTCTGGCTTATCCAACTTGGTCTGGCAGCCAACCACTACCTTTCCACAGCTGAGGATAACATCACGGTGAGACCGAAAAGCAAGAATGTTTATTAGATGTCACTTCATATCTGATGGCTTATCAGTATCAATTAATTATTTGCTATTATGCAATGATAGCTTTGTCAACTACAAATTAATTAATGTAACTGTCATTAAAAATGTCAGTTCACATCCTAGTTTTCCAGTTGCTGACCTCATGATCTTGAAGTTATTCTCCCAGGAGATGGTGTGAGGGCCGGTGCTTTCACTCATCCCATACAGCTCATACAGGGGGAGGCTAAGGCTCATGAAGTACTCCAGAGTCTCCTTAGTGATGGGTGCGGCCCCCGTTAAGCAGTTCTTGCAGCGGTCCAGGCCCATGGCCCAGCGAACCTTCTTAAACACCAGGTTGTTTGCCAGCATGAAGCCCCAGGGCACCAGGTTCTCACTGTAATCCACAACAAACAAGGAGGAATACCACACATTGTGGAAAATATTAGGGGTGGAATTTAATCTAGTTTAGGATGTAAAAAATGCTATTTGGGCGTGAGTGAGGATGCATGTTTTTTCTAATGTTATTGATAAGATCATATCTATGGGTGAAACAAATCAAAAATAATTTGGTGCACTGAAAATATGCCTTCTTTCTGAAGTGTGGGTTTAATGAACAACAACAACCTGACATAAATCCTTACCCATTCATGGCACTGTAGCTGACTTGCAATCCGATGGATTTAGCCCTGTCAGCCACTCTTTTCTTCATACCAGAGGACTTGGCACCGATGGCTTTCATCTTCTCCTGCATCTTCTCCCACACACGGGGAACTCCCAGGAAACTGGTGGGGCGCACCTCTTTCAGAGTAGTCCCCAAAGAGCCCTATGAAATCAGAAAGTTACCAGTTATCAAGTCATATAAAGTTACCCCAGTCCCACCCTTCCCAACCCAGTCAAAACCAAACCACCACACCTCAATCAATTATTGCCTTAGTAAACAGCATTTTGAAAGGAAAGCAATGCACAGCATCATTATCTGTAATATAACAGTTAGGGATTCTGACCTTCAGGGCGTCTGGGTCTGCGAAATACGTTGCCCCTGCAAATCTCATGGCGATCCACATGTCGTTGACCTGGGCAGCTACATGGCTCAGGGGCAGGTAGCTCACCACGCACTCCACACCATGTTGCAGACCTGTCATGGCGCCCGCCGCATTTGAAGTCCAGGTAATCTGAGGAGAGAGTCAGATGAGGCTTTCAACCAATGTTATTACAACCTCCTTTACCACAGAGGAAACTATAAGATGTTTTGTTTGTCCTTTACTTGATGTGAACAATACATGGATAAAACTGTGACACTTTCACATACTGAATCCAGTGCCCAGTGGCCCAAGAGCTATCTCCACTATATAGTACATATAATGTGTCTGATGGCGTCACCACATTCTGTGAGGATGAAGGAGGAACCACCTGGATACTGCGGTACAGTAAATGTACATGTAAATATAGACCTTTTTCCTGACTAGTCTATTTTCAGTGCATTCGGGAAAGTATTCAGACCCCTTAACTTTTTTTCAGATGTTGTTACGTTAAAGCCTTATTCTAAAATTGATTAAATTGTTTTTTTCGATCATCAGTCTACACACAATACCCATAATGACAAAGCAAACACAGGTCTTTAGACATTTTTGCAAATGTATTACAAATAAAAAACTGAAATAACACTTTTACATAAGTATTCAGACCCTTTACTCAGTACTTTGTTGAAGCACCTTTGGCAGTGATTACAGCCTCAAGTCTTCTTGGGTATGACGCTACAAGCTTGGCACACCTGTATTTGGGGAGTTTCTCCCATTCTTCTTTGCAGATCCTCTCAAGTTCTGTCAGTTAGTCATGTCTGAGCACAGCTATTTTCAGGTCTCTCCAGAGATGTTCGATCGGGTTCAAGTCCCGGCTCTGTCTGGGCCACCCAAGGACATTCAGAGACTTGTCCCGAAGCCTTGGCTGTGTGCTTAGGGTTGTTGTCCTGTTGGAAGGTGAACCTTTGTCCCAGTCTGAGGTCCTGAGGTCTCTGGAGCAAGTTTTTATTCTTTTTGATTTTCTGGATATTTTTTTCTCATTTTGTCTGTCATAGTTGACGTGTATCTATGATGAAAATTACAGGCCTCTCTCATCTTTTTAAGTGGGAGAACTTGCACAATTGGTGGCTGACTAAATACTTTTTTCCCCTACTGTAAATGTGATATTTCCGATTTTAATTTTTAATACATTTGCAAACATTTCTAAAAACCTGTTTCTGCTTTGTCATTATGGGGTATTGTGTGTAGATTGATGAGGAAACAATTTCATTTAATCCATTTTAGAAAAAGGCTGTAACGTAACAAAATGTGGAAAAAGTCAAGGGGTCTGAATACTTTCCGAATGCACTGTACATCATCATGTCCATGTAAGTTTTTTTGGGGGGGGGCTTGCCTGTTTTGCATGTTATTTTGCCATTAATACATGTCACATATCAGTTTGCAAACAATGTAAAACAAATATATATATCTTTGAGTTAATAAAGCCACATACAAACATGGTCTCTTTTTTGTTTTCTTGAGTAAGGCAGCTCCAAAATGCAGGTGTTTCAGCCTAGCTCAGTGCTTTCTGTGGTGGTGGGGCAAGCCAGCAGAAAATACGGAGCGTTGCGCCGTGATTGGCTCAGTGTTATGTCACTCATGGGGACACTACGTCACCGCCAAGTCTAAGGGTAGAGCTAGATAATTCAAGCCCCTTGCGTGCTGCCATTGAGTTACATTAGAAGTGCCCATCCAAGAAGGCTCAAGGTCATTGGCCACAGATAAAATGATGTAAAATCACGTTACATCTACAGTAGCTTTGATTGGACTGATCATGTTAACATCATACTTTCAAAATCTTAACTAGCAGTCATCATCATTAATCAAGTCGACAATCTACTGGCAAATCCTTTTTAATCCTTGTCATATGAAGATAAATAATGAAGAGAAATTATAGATAAAATGTATCGGTGCTCATCAGCCATTGGACATAAACATTACACAACAAGTTGCAAATTCAACAATGAGTGGGTTGGAACGAATCAGTGGCTAACTGCAAGCATTGCAAAGCAATCATTAGCCTGCTATTCAGTGGAGTGGCTGTGTGGTCCCAAGTCTAAGATTAAAGGTCTCTTTTCATGGTTTAAATGATAAACATTCAACATTGGCCATGCTGTCAATGAAGCATGATTTGTGTCGCGCTCAAAACAACTGTTAACTCGGAACTGCAAAATCTGACTTCAGTGAGTTCAAGACAACTGGGAACTCTGGAAAAACGAGCTACGACTGGGAAAATAAGTGTTGAACTTAGTTTTGAACTTATTTGAACTTTCATCCAACTCGGAATTGTAAATCCGGAACTCGGGCCTCTTTCTAGAGCTATGACCTAAAGATCACTGACGTCATCATGATTCAACCTTTTCCCAGTTGTCTTGAAAGCACCATAAATCCAGAGAATGCCAGACTTTGATGACAAAAATTGCCCACGAAGGACCGCTGCGCCACCTTCCTGTTCAAGTGAGCACAGCACAACAAGGTGAGTCTAAAAATGTATTGTATGCTGCTGCATAAATAATGTAATATGCCAGGGAGATATGTATGCTGTAGCTAAGAAAGTAATACTAAGTGTATGTTGTGTAGTAAGCTGTTAGTAGCCCATGTGCCTCACCCTAATAATTTGGTCGATTTTCACCTCTTAATTTCGCCTACTGTTCTGACTTGGTGGTGCACATGTAGCCTATAACCTGTTTTTGAGAAATGTAATCATCTAATATTGTAAGAGCTTTCATTGTCTGCTTATATGCCCCCTTTATTTATCCTACGGTTCTGACTTGGTGTACAGGGAGAACACTGTAAGAACGGCCCATGTTCTGAATTCTGTCGCTGTACATTTCAAAAGTGCTGAACAAATAGTTATATTGACTACGTCCGTCCTAGCTCGCTCATTAATGTCTTAATCGAAATTACGGATTGCCTCTTATCTGCTTGTCGTCCCCTTATGCCATTGTTTGTACATCTCAATTGTCAGTAGAAACCACATTTGTTTAAGCAAGTCAGCCATATCAGCTATGTTTTTTTTAAAGAAAGTAAATGAGTCTGAATGAACTGTTTCGCTGCCAGACAAGGCTCTGCTGATAGCCAGGTGTAGCAGTGGTAAGGTGTTGGGACTGCTGTTGTGACTCTGCTGTTGGGACAGCTTTATGTAGGCCCTAACAGTTTGTGGGCACCATTTGTCACCGTTATAGTGCAATGAATGTATTGTTTAGTGTTGTGTTGTGTAGTGTAGTGTAGTGGCTTTGCTGGCATGCATCCCACATTATTTTATTTTTTGCCCCACCAAGATTGAAATCGCGTACTGATCATGTCATTGTCAATACTCACATTGTCATGGCTTAGCATGACCCCTTTGGGGTTGCCCGTGGTTCCAGAGGTGTAGATGAGCGTACAACACTGGTTAGCCCTCTGACTGTCCACCACGGCATCCAGCAGTTCATCAGACACCTCCTCGCCCAGCTTCATAAACTCAGCCCACTGTAGGAGGACAGAGGTTGAGTCAATAACACCTGATTCACAATATAGGGCCAATCTCAACCGTACTGGCTTGGATATTTTATTTTCACATTGTCCTTTTCAGAAGGGTTCCATCAACTATGGTGGATGCGTAATCAAGCCAGCCCAGTACAGCTTGACTTGGCTCAGTTTGCTCAGTAATGTGAAGGGATTAAGAGTCTCACAGTTACAGTTACAGTGTGTGACAGGAAATATTGTGTACTACAATATTCAAGGAAATACTGTGTGCTACTAACATTGCTATATCCGTTATGCAAATCAGGAATGTTTTTTTCCCGGGCGGCTAAACATGATGATGCTTATAGATCTTCTTCATTTCAATACAAACTTACAGTGTACAGGTTTGGCAGCTTCTGTTGCAGTTCATCCTTGTACTGAACAATAGCTTTCAAGTGTGGAAGCTGGTCCTTAATCTGAAAGGTATGGACAAAGTAGGGAATTATACCCTTTGTTGGCAATGACACAGGTCAAACGTTTTCTGTAAGTCTTCACAAGGTTTTCACACACTGTTGCTGGTATTTTGGCCCATTCCTCCATGCAGATCTCCTCTAGAGCAGTGATGTTTTGGGGCTGTCGCTGGGCAACACGGACTTTCAACTCCCTCCAAAGATTTTCTATGGGGTTGAGATCTGGAGACTGGCTAGGCCACTCCAGGACCTTGAAATGCTTCTTACGAAGCCACTCCTTCGTTGCCCGGGCGGTGTGTTTGGGATCATTGTCATGCTGAAAGACCCAGCCACGTTTCATCTTCAATGCCCTTGCTGATGGAAGGAAGTTTTCACTCAAAATCTCACGATACATGGCCCCATTCATTCTTTCCTTTACACGGATCAGTCGTCCTGGTCCCTTTGCAGAAATACAGCCCCAAAGCATGATGTTTCCACCCCCATGCGTCACAGTAGGTATGGTGTTCTTTGGATGCAACTCAGCATTCTTTGTCCTCCAAACACGACGAGTTGAGGTTTTACCAAAAAGTTATATTTTGGTTTCATCTGACCATATGACATTCTCCCAATCCTCTTCTGGATCATCCAAATGCACTCTAGCAAACTTCAGACGGGCCTGGACATGTACTGGCTTAAGCAGGGGGACACGTCTGCACTGCAGGATTTGAGTCCCTGGCGGCGTAGTGTGTTACTGATGGTAGGCTTTGTTACTTTGGTCCCAGCTCTCTGCAGGTCATTCACTAGGTCCCCCTGTGTGGTTCTGGGATTTTTGCTCACCATTCTTGTGATCATTTTGACCCCACGGGGTGAGATCTTGCGTGGAGTCCCAGATCGAGGGAGATTATCAGTGGTCTTGTATGTCTTCCATTTCCTAATAATTGCTCCCACAGTTGATTTCTTCAAACCAAGCTGCTTACCTATTGCAGATTCAGTCTTCCCAGCCTGGTGCAGGTCTACAATTTTGTTTCTGGTGTCCTTTGACAGCTCTTTGGTCTTATAATTAATCATTTTGGCACAAAATCAATACATGTATAAAGAGACTATGTTCACTCGATCTACTTACAAATACAATTTAGAGCGCAGTATTGGATTATTGTAATTTTAAAATCTTCGTGTTATGGGGTCTCACCTGGAGGATTTTGAGGAGCTGTTTGTGGTTCTCCACCACCAGGACGTTGGCCTCACAGTTGTCTGCCACATACTGACACGCCTCGGGGGAGTTGGTGGTGTATATGCCTGCAGCAAAACCCCTGGCAGACCACACACATCAGGTCAGACAACTTTCTTATTGAGGTAGTTTAGACTGTGATTGCTGTCCTTGGAGTGTGTGGGATGAATTAGCCTTCTATGAGTAAGCAGCTGGTTGTCTAAGTCTCACAGAATGCAGTATGAACAATAGTGCAGGGTAGTGCATGGTAAGACAGTGCATGCTATATGGAAAATTATTGTTATTATTACCCAGCCAGGATACAGCCGATGTCTGAGATGAACCACTCGGGAGAGTTAAAGCCCAGAATACCGACGCCATGGTAACGCTCCAGCCCCAACTACAGTAGAGGGGGGAAGAGACCGAAATAAAAATGTATAATCAATGAGAATGTGGCACACTGCCTCATTTACTGTTGACCTATATGATGCTTTGTAAACTACCCCACTTTATCGCCTCTCCGTGACAAGTAACTTTAGCTTTGAATCTAACACACCCAAGTGTTGGTTTTAACCAGCACCATTCTTACAAGGAGACAGAAATGACAATGGGAGAACATTCTTTCTGCTGTGCAAACATTCATAATCCCCTCTCTCTGGAGGTCAAATTCTAAATAGTCCATAGCCTATTTGAAGATTCAGTGATGTTAACAGATCTGCATTATAGTTAATATTCTATTAGAATTCACTGGCGCAGTTCAAAAATACTCCTAGGCCTCGAGCCATTGAAAAATACAGAGCACATCCAGGTACAAGTACATCATAACATAGAGCATAGAAAACCTTTTCTATTAAATCTCACGCAAGCATAGACCATAGAGCAACTAAAGAGCACAGACACTCACACAACTACATCAATATACAGACCTTGAGGAAGCTCTTGGCCGCCGCTCGGCACTGCTGGTAGTACTCCCTCCAGTTCAGGGTGACCCACTGCCCCTCTTTCTTGGACGCCACCGCGGGCAGGTCTCCATAGATCTTCACCGTCTTCAAGAACATCTGGTGGACGGTCATGGGGGCCTCGGATCCCGGCCCCGTCTCAGCCATCCTCAGCTTGACTGCCTGGTCCCTGGAGGTGCACCAGAGCTGCTCTGCTGGGGCCAGGGACACATCCGACAGCTTCAGGGGCACCGAGGCACCTGTAGTACGGGGACAGCAGGGGTAGCAGTTGCCTGTCATCAGTGGTCGTTTATGGAGTAATCTTAGAGACTAGTATTCCCCTTCCCTGTTCCCACAAGAATGCAGTGGAATGCAGGTAGGTACAGCTTTACTCCTTCCTCCTTCGCAGCCAGTGTGAAGCATAAATATTTGGGCTGCCTGTATCAGATTACTTCAGAGAATGTCCCTGCCTACCCGCCAATCAGGTTTTAGTGTTGAACATTGCTCTGATTAAATAGAAAAGGTTAAAGTTGATTGATCGAAAACAAAAAAAGAATTACAGGCAAAATAAAAGATTTCTCATAGTCATAGATCAAATAATAATTGACTGTTCATGAGTGTCTGCAACCCTTAAATGATTATGCTTTCAGGCACAGTTCTGTCAACCTGTTTCACAAATGTCTTTATAGCTGCTATATTATGAATTACAAAACATATACCATGTGCCTCTTACAGGTGATAAAACATATGTTCTGCTTCAGTTAGGTTGAGTCAATATCCTATTTTAAAAAAATGTATCCCTACCACCATAAGCTGCTATTACCTGAGAGAGGATCCCCTTGAGGTCCCTCTAGTCCAGGTGATCTGGGTGGTTTGTCTTCTCCATCAGACTCTGACTCAGAGTTTGGTTGTGTATGTTCTACTACTCCTCCGTTGACGAGGGGACTGGAGTAGATATCCTTCTGTTGGAGTTTCGCAACTTGTGCTAACTGTTTGGTTTCTCCAAGAGGAATGTCACTCACACAACTAGAATCAAAAACATGAAAATAAAATATACTTTAAATGAATAAACACTCAGTAATTAAATACTGTACCATTATTTGGTAAATATTAAGTAATAATAAACTGGTATTTCAACAGTCCTGACAGAATTAGTCTCCAGCATAGAAGGTTACGATAGGTCCACATACCTCTCAGAACTCTTTTCTATGACAGGAACCCCATTGGTGACAACGGAATCCTGTTGGTCAGACATCTTGTAATTGCTTAAATAAAAGAGGTCAAATATCTATATTAGATGTGCAAAAACCGCTAGATCATCAAATTAATAAAATATCTAACTAGGTTGTGCAAAGGCTCCTGATATTCTACTAATTTCAAGAAAATAAGTGTTCCCTCCTGGATCCTTATATGAGTGGGTATTGCAACATGACATTGTCAGAGGCAGTGTGCCAATGGCTGCTTGGTTAGATTGATAAAGAATGGCGAAATTAAGGGGTTTGTGCCAAAAACATGTAACAATTTGCAGAGCTTTTTCCAACCTTTAACTTAAATACAGTAGGTTACACCAAGACAGTTGACCAAGAAAGTGACATTGAAAAAGGGTCTGAGACAGCTAAGGGGTGAGCATGCATTTATGCTGAGAAACACTTTTTTGTCTTATCTTCAAAGGCAGATAGATCTCAGTCAAGATTCTGTTCAGTAGTTATCTTCATACACACACATAATAAATGTGTTGGTTATTACATGTGTTCAAATACAACATTGGCCCAAAGCTTGTATTGAAGTGTATATAAAGTAACATGCTGGGTTACTTGTAATGTTGGGTTACTTGACCATGATCCTTCATCATTATCTCTGACATGAAGTCAATCAGGCTATGATGGACAATTTCAGTGAAATTATGCCATCTAGTGGTTTTATCTTGAAATTGTGAAGACAATTTTCAAGCGGAGCAGCTATAGTTTAGCTATGACATTCAGATCATAATGATAACATACCTTGGGTATACAATATTGCCAATACATTTTTAAACATGTATGGAGAGAAAGATGCGGTTAAAATTCAAACAAGCAATTAAAATGTTGAGACATAGAGCTTATAACAGCGATATGAAATTTGAATCTGGTTCATGAGGACATTGCTCTATCACTATCACCACTTAAAATAGAAAAGGACAGAAGATCTGACCAGATAGATCAGATAACTATGGCCAAGATTTCTCTAGGGCAAAGTTCATCATAATTGCAAAATGATTCCCTATGCTATGTGGCAATATAGTAGCCAATAAACTTTTGCACAGAATTATGCAAACATTACTGCTCACTGACATTTCTGCCAAAAAACAATTAACTGTAATACATTAATTGGATAGAATCTCTATGCTTACCTCTTAACAGATTATCTATTACAGGTAGCAACTTGACACAAAAATATACACCTGTAGCTATGCTCCTACATGTCCATTTGAAATATTGAAATATATTTTAGAAATATTTTCATAGATGCTCACAGTCTGTGTGTATCTCACCAGCAGCAACAGCCTCAGAGGGACCCAGGCTAGCACTAGAGAGACCTTGTAGCAGGAGACAATAAAGAAGAAGCCTGAGCCTGTTGGCCAAACAATAAAACACGAGGAACCTGCTTGGTTCAGTTTAGTTCTAACATGGTTTTACATTAATGTCCTGAGATGTAGGCTAGGTCATGTTTGTTTCTTTCTATATACTGTATATCTTAGGCAACCAACGCTTGCAGCTATTATAGGCTACTGGTCAAATTTTTTCACTCTGAACATGCCTTCGCCACTGAGATTCAAACATTATATATGGTGAAGGCTACTGTATCATTACCAGAGGGCAATCTAAAGGTCAAAATCACAGTTACTCTTGGTTTTAATGGTTAGACAAATACATCCAATTACAGGCAACTGAACACATCCCAGCATCAGTCAATGCTTTGCTGTAGACGCTGACTACCACATTTGTCTTAATACTAAATATTCACAGAGGTTTATAATGCAAGAACTGTCCAACTGTTTCAAATTGATTTCACAAACCAAGACAGACAGACAAATGACCCCTGTTCACCACTCTGACATGTGAGGAAGGACTGTAGGAACATGTTGCAAGAGCTGTCTGTGAGTTGTAGATTGAGGTGGTGCTCTAACACATAAAAAAATAAGCATATTGTGAAAGAGTCCAAGGACACATTCAAAAAGAGTAGTAATATTCAGCAGAATATTATAATACCATTCTATTGAATAAAGACAGAGAAGATATCCTACCTTGTTCAGAGACCTTGTTCAGACAGGGACAGACAGAGGCAGGTGCTATACGATATCAACTTGGCAGGAGAGAGTGCAGGGCAAACTTGGATGGGCCTCGATGTGATGTGCACAACATGGGACCCAGGACAGCAGCTGATAAGCTTGTGGAGGTCTTGTTCGGGGGACAGTACCGTCCCACTCAGATCCATCCGCACTGTTACGTAATTTCCCCAACACCTACTAAGGGTCAAATGGCTAGTTAACAATCCACCAATAGATTTGAAATAAGGTTCCCTTCCGCAGCCATATGTGCTGGAAACTGACAAGGAGGCTGTGTGGGGGTAGCAGACTACATTATAGCCTAAGGATCTGAGTTAAGCCAGTGTTGACATTGCTGTGCCTGTTTAAGTAAATGTAAAACAGTTTTAAGACTAATTTCATGATCTTTGTTGTGCGTAGAGGACAAATATTTCTGATTAAAAGTATATTCTAAGAATATGAAGTAAAACCACCACTTTCGGTTAAGACACTGGTCATTTAGACTGGACCAAAGCAGCCCTTATCGGATTTATATCATCGGGATATAACATGAGCTGATAAAGCAAGATAACTTCTGAAAGTTTATGAGGAAAGAGTATACTTTGACCCACAATACACAGATCTTTCATCTGTAGAACAAACATTGTGCAACAATACCTTTTTGTGATGTGAAACACCTCTGCATTGAATTATTTTTAACAAATCAATGTGAACTAAGTTGTTTTCTAAGATTAATAGATATTGCTATTGACCTGTTATTACACATATCTCTGGGGGTTAAATTCTGTATCTTAGGTCAAAGTATCATTCTTATTTCATGTATTGAGGGGTGTTTGTACGATTTGAGAACTGCAATCGTCTGAACCTGGACATGGTGTTTTAGTAAATGCAGGTGAAAGTTCAACCATGCACTCCAGATGATACAGAGTAACCTACAGTATATCCTGGGCACCAAGGTCATACCAACAGTCACACCACACCTGCCCAGTTATATTGCCGCAACAAGTTTCTGGAGATCTGCCAGAAATATTAAGGGGGCTACAATATCAAAATAGCACATAGTAACAACAACATCTAACATATGTGACATTTCCTATGGAATTGGGTCAGCTTGTGACATCTCCAAAACAGTTGCATTAATTTTGACAAATGTAGAAATATTGTTGAAATCATTCACAGAACTTTGTTTTATTCCATATTTTTACATACAGGCAAACTGTACAATTACATCAATCAACATATCACATTACACAATAGTTAAATTACATAATAGTTCAATAGGATGAAAATATTTAACTTTGGACAAATTGAAATAGTCAGACCCAAGAGCTTCATTATATTTGTATGTGACTGAGGTTAAAGGGCGACTGCACTTCCTGATCTGGCCTCATTTTAAATTTGGTTCATTAAGAAATGCTAGCGACCATGACTGAATTCAAACATGAGTTGATTTCGGGTGTGGTTTTATGTGGGTGTCTCGTGTGTGTTCGCAGGTGGGAAGAGTGGCGCAGTGGTCTAAGGCACTGCATCGCAGTGCTAACTGTGCCACTAGAGATCCTGGTTCGAATCCAGGCTCTGTCGCAGCCGGCCGCGACCGGGAGACTCATGGGCGGCGCACAATTGGCCCAGCGTCGTCCAGGGTAGGGGAGGGAATGGCCGGCAGGGATGTAGCTCAGTTGATAGAGCATGGCGTTTGCAACGCCAGGGTTGTGGGTTCGATTCCCAAGGGGGGCCAGTATTTAAAAAAATATGTATTCACTAACTGTAAGTCGCTCTGGATAAGAGCGTCTGCTAAAATGACTAAAAATGTTTGTTTTTTTTTAAGAGTTAGCCAATTAGTTTAAGCCAGCTGGTGTGCGACTATGGCAATGTTTGCTCGACTTTGGATAGCCTACCTCCGGGGCAAGTTAGGAACTGTCAATAAATTACACAATGTAAATGACAATATTTTCATGTTGCACACCTTTTAGTTTTCTAATTAAATGCTTTCAATATTTGTATATGAATTTCTACAATTTATAGTTGGTTTGAGGTGAAGTCATTGACATTTGGAGCTATCGGAATTTAACATATTGTCCCATGTACAATGTGTAATTTACCAATGGTCCGTAACTAGCCCCATAGGGATATCCAAAGTAAACCCAAATTGACCATGGGCATTAAGTTCCAAATTGATGATTACTTAATGGGTGCTGCCAGATGTGGGAATTTGGGCTGGACTGAAACAAACCCAACCTTAATATACGTTGTGATGCAGTCCCGACCACAAGTCTCACAAAACTATTTTTGGACGAGACTGACTTTATGACCAAAATGATCTTATTTACACATTGTAGTCAATTTTGATAGTAGAATAAATGTTTTCGACTCATATCGATGCCACATAGGCTGTTTTCTAAATGAGAAGTTGTTTTTTTGGGACAGTTGCTCTTTAAGGTTAACATGAAACTAACCCCGCTAAGACAGGAAGTCCATCTGTTAGCCTGGCGGCCAGTTCAGCTGTCTGCCTCCCAGGACGTGGATGTGGAGGTGGTATACAGACTGGGCACCATGCTTCCCATCGTTGATCACTGTGGAAGATAGAAATGCAGTTATATGTTTATAACAACTAAATATGTCTCTGTGAAATGTGTGACGCTCATATGTAGATTGATACTACATATTATGGTCATCTTAATACTTACCCACTCTGTAACCTTCGTGCAATGCCTCTTTCTTCGCCACGTTTTTTGCAACCACTAGGAGATGACCTAACAGCTACACAAAATAGCAAAGAGTTCAACAATTCAACATAATAGGACTCTTTCTTGTGATCAAAATCAGAAAAGGACATATAGAGAAAGTAGAGACAAATCAGTAGGCTACCTCAGCATCATCATCTTTGGCCTCACTGATTTTTGGGATAGGGACCCTGGGAATAACCAGGAAATGCACAGGAGCTTGTGCACTGATATCTCTGAAGGCTAAACACTGAAGAAAAGGAAAACAACAAAAGCATGATAACATTCCGAAATATTGAACATCAATATAATGCCCTTATACCCTGTGGCTGAATATTGATCATATATTGTCTACGTGGAGTACAGTAAAATAAACATACGTATGTGAATACATGTCTGTGTGTGGTGTATACCTTATCATCTTCATAAATGATATCTGCAGGAATACTTTTGTCAATCACTTTGGAAAAGATAGTTGGAGCTGGAGATCCATATTTCTTGCTTGCTTCTTCTGCCAGACGCACCTCATCATTCTTTGTGTTTGATGTGCAGAAGTGTCTCTGTGACATGACAAACAAGAATACAGAGGTTGACAAATTAGCAGCTTGCAAAAATGTTGCATTAGCTTCTGTATTGATCCTTAGAAGAAGGCATGCTATTGCAAACACTGCACTGCAGATACTGCGGCACCGTCAATTGCAAAACCTCCATGAACCATTCTAACAGCCCCAACCTCTTCGTGAGTGGGTACTGCTACCGTACCAGCTGGAGGACACACTTGCCCATGACCATTACGCTCTCCGACAGTCAACAACATGAAAGTGTTAACTACTAAGATTAAAACAATTAGGTTTATTCTCGGAATAGCTACCTCTGCTCGGCATGCAGGGCGCAAAATGCGTAAACGGTAAACACTTGTCCTGAAGCATTGTGTTGGCAAAAGTTGGCGAAAATTCATAACTATGCGTGCACCGTGCAAATTCCGTTTGGAGAGTTGCAATCTTCCCGGATATGATGTCGGCGCTGCCCCGGTCGTCACTAGTTAAAACATCCACAAAGTCATAAACCTCGCCTATTTCTACAATTTCTCTTCTTAAAATCTGATGTTAAACCTGAGCCTAACCTTAACATTAACCCACTGCTAACCGTATGCCTAACCTTAACCTTAAATTAATAAGCACATTTTTGTTTCCATGAATTTTTACGATATAACCCATTTTGACTTTATGGCTGTGTTATCTAGTGGGAACCATTCCCCCGAGGACAAACTTGTATTCATGAATCGAAACGTTCTCTGATGTTTCAAAACGATTCAATTTTCAAAAGCTTGCCTCCCATGATTGGTGTAAGATGCTGTAAACATAATATTTTCGATTAGAATAACCATCCCATTTATAGCATACACATTCCGAATACAAGTGGCCCAGAAATATTTTTCTGTAAAGTAGTCTTTATTTTTACCCTCCACGTGGTGGCGATATTCCGCATTTAAACAGTTTGCACGAGACGCAAAGGAGAAGAACTCGCTGTCATCATCAGTGACAAACATGGCGGCGCGCACTCGGTTGCCCTTGCAGTCATTAATTCATAAAAATGGACATGTGTTTAGAAGCGACCGGATCGTTCATACAAAGACAGCGATTCAGGAGCCTGTATACCCTCCCATTGTACCTTCGCTGACAGCTAAAAGTAAGTCTGCAAAAGGACGTCAGATTACAGAACATCTTGACAAAGTACGTGCCGCCGATGTGCAGGAAAAACTGACATTCCTCACACGAGTTCAGCGAAAGAAATATGTGTTGTGTCCGCAAACGTTTGCTCTTAATGCTGATAAATGGTATCAGCACTTCACAAAGACGGCATATCTACCTGGTTTACCTGAGAAGTTCATCGTTAAAGAGACCAAGGAGGAATCGGCACCTGCCACTCCGAATGCATCATCCACCATTGACGAAAATGCATTTGCTGACATCCGTTCCCATGTCTGCCATTCAATTTTACAAGAGAACTGGTACATGAAGAAACGTCAACCGTTCTTGCAAAGGGAACAAGAACATTATGTGGCACCTTTTCTGAGAAACCTGGTATCTGGACTCACACACACTATGGCCAAACACAACTCTGTACTCCAGCTGTCAAGTTTAGGTAAACCATTCATTCTTTAATTTATTAATAATCACCGCTGATGCCACCCTCAGTCCAAGACATGATGTGTAAGCATTAAAAAGTCATCAGTGGCACTAACTCAATTATATGTATGGGGAAGTTGTGATTCTGTCAGTGTCTGCTATGCAAAAGACTGGCTGTCTCCTCTTATCACTTTCTGTTGTTTAGATCTTGACCCTCAGGTAAACTTCTACTGGATGAGGGGACAGAGGACCGTTCCAAGGGGACATCGGGGTGGCCGCGTTGAGCCAATCAGATTCCAGATTGATGATAAGCCACACAGTCAGATAAGGATACCTCAACAACTTCCACAGGTACTACATACGCAGTCACTAGCAGATTGTAAAGGGCTAATGTGTCCAGTTGCAGGTGGTTCGTTTAAATGAACCACCTGCAACTGGACATGGACATTTTAGAAGATACATGTTTGGCCGACTCGAGAACTAAGGTAGTATCTGCAAGTTAAGGTTGGTGGAAAATTCTGTGTTACACCAAACAGTACCTATCCTGTAACAGCTAATGGAGCATCGCATTAGCCCTTTACAATCTGCTAGCTACACACACAGCAACACTGATCCAAAACTCAGTGATCATCTGGCTATTATCATACCTCAAACATTGACATGAAATTGTGAAGCTGGGATTTGGCCAAACAGTTTTTTTAGACTCTACATTTGAGTGCAAGTAGTTTCCAAATTTAATCTCCACTGACCCTCTCTTCCAGTTTGTCCCCCTTGAGGCGGTGATCTCTGCAGAAGTCCCAGAGATAAAGTTTGCCCCAGACCTGCTTCCCATGTTCAGGAGACAGTATGAGAACAAAATCTTCACAGGTAATAATGGAGTAGGCCAGGGTTCCCCAACTGGCGGCCTGGGGACCGAATTTGGGCCGCAAGTGATTTTATTTGGCCCACCAACGTTTTGTAGCAAATTTGAGTGCTTTTTAAACTTTTTTATTGTTGGACATAAAAGATTGTAAAAACACCAGCAAATCAACTCCAAGTGATTTTAATTTTGGAAATCTATTCCAAAGTATTCCCATGCATAATGGATAGATATGTGATCATATAGAAATGTAAGCTAGGTTAGAAATTGTTTTAGTCCAATATTATATCTGTTTGGGCTTCTTGCATTCAATTTGCAGTCTACAAATTTATTTTTAAATATGTTCTGGCCCCCTGACCATCCACTCAAGAAAAAATTGGCACCCGGATGAATCTAGTTGATGATCCCTGGAGTAGGCTCTGGATGTAAAATTAATGTCACGAGGTCTTGGTTGTTAATCTAGTAATATTGATCAAAATATTTGTGCCTGCCTGGTTGCCGGTCTGTTTCTGCTTTAGCCATTTACTATGTCATTGTCATGTGGTGCATCAACCAACCACACTTCATCCACTAGTGGTGGTAGTATCAAGTTATTCCGTGTAGGTGTCTATTTCAACAACATTATTTTCCCGTCTTTACTTTCCCAGGAGCCAAGCTTCCTGATCCAGGCTGTTACGGCCACACCCAGTTCCACCTGGTCCCTGACAGGTACCGCAGGGACAAAATGGCCAAACGGAATCAGACTGACCAGATCGAGGTCAACCTGAGAGCCAATGGCATTGCCAGTCTATTTGCATGGACAGGAGCACAGGCCATGTATCAAGGTGTGTAGTCATTAACTGAGAATCATCAGTCGTTTTTTAAAATTCATTTTACCATTCAGCTGTTTTGTCTCTGACTGCTCTTGAATTAATGTATTCTTAATAATTGATGCATTTTAGTTGTGAATAACACAATTTGTTGTTAAAGCACATTTGTAATCTTGAACAAAACATCACCAGGTTTCTGGAACCATGAGGACGTGACCAGGCCTTTTGTATCCCAGGCTGTGATCACCGACGGCCAGTACTTCTCCTTCTTCTGTTACCAGCTCAACACCCTGGGCCTGTCCATGGAGACGGACACTGGGAACCACAGGAAGAACGTGTGCTGGGGGACAGATAGTATGCGTCTGTATGAGGAGGTGAAGGATGGGGCTGTGGTGGGGCTGGACAACAGGGTCCTCAAGCTCCTGGTCCAGTTTCTACTGAACAGGTCTGGTTGACATGGATAGTTTGGTGTTTGTGAGGAGTGTTTCCATCTGTATTCAACATTGGCCAATATCAACTAAAGGACACAACTGAACATGCATGCCTACAGTACATTGCTGGTATGATCTGGCAGAATGTATTCATGTAGAAAGGAATAAAAATGTTAGACACCATTGCATACAGGTCAATGGGTTGTTTGTCAGCTGTGTGTATGAAATTAAATGAATGCATAGCCCCATGTTTTCAAACTGATTGTTCTGATGTTTGCCACTAGGTGGCGCTTAGTCAGTGGGAAAACGGCACAACCATTCTTTAGGCACACTGACAAAGCTGATCTATCATTAGGATATGTATTTACCATCCACATACAACAGGAAAGTTACATCTGAGTTAGAAAAAACATAGCGTTTAAAAATGAATTGTTATAGGCACACTGCTTTAACATTTACAGATAATGTCAAATAAACAACCACGCATCATATGGGGACTTCAAGGGATTCATTACCTGTTTATGAAAGTATAAGGAGCTGCACACAAACGAGTTTGTGTAAATGATAAGTGCAGTTGAAGATGGATAGGCTAGAAAAGTGCAAGAGTAAGAAGTCTTGTCAAACAGGAAGATGTTTATTTCTGTTAAACCACAGACACACACATCCTGTTAGGCAACAGAGAAGGCCTCAAACTGTCTCACCAACCGAACCAAACAACACACTGCTCAGATATTACTGTGCTATTTTCGCAACCTCATAGGTACTGGTAGTATGATGGTGAACGAAACATGGACAAATACAAACATATGGATCATTTCTGTCAAAATGCAGATTTTTTTTTTATTGTTCCATGAATATAATTGTTGCTTAAAAAAGAAACATTTTACTAAGATGTCTCAGTTCCTACATTCAGAAAGGGTGACTCATTTTGTGGCATTGGTAGATGCCTCTTATTTGGTAGAGAGGATGTTGTTGTTTCTGTAGAAAAGGTGTTGCTGCAACAGTTTGCAATAAGATGTTTCTTTTTTGAGTAAGATTATGGAACTACTTACAACTATTCTAACATGTTTACCATTGATTAGCTATTGATTCATGAATAAGAAATTGATTCCAGCAAACTCAGAAAAAAAAATGTAACACTTTTTCTTATTTCTTATAGTTTACTCTGATACAGTATTCTTCTGTAGCTGTTTAAACCGGTTGTCTCGTTGTATTCTCATCCATTCCATTATCTTCCTGGGTCCTGAAATAGCAGAAGTTATAAAGAGCATCTTAGTCTTGAAAATATACAGTATTCACAAAATGTCACAGTAAGCATAAATCAGACAAAAAATAAAATTCCCTTGAAATATAAGGTATGATCATAAAAATAAACTCAATGTATGCATTTGGTTAGCATGTATCCCATTTTCTGAGACTAAGGAAATATAAGAGTTCAGTTTTATGCTTATGAAGGCCAGGAATACAAACAAAACATGAGCATCATGTTATATAGAACACAGTACATGGAAGATAAAACCGTGCTACTGCATAGCAGTATGTATGTTATTACCTGTGGGCGAGTTACTGCTTTTCCGTGAGCTCCACCACTCATAGAGGAGGACCAGGATGATCACCTCAGCCACGATGGCGATGAACAGTTTCAGAGGCTCCATGAAGGTGATGACCCGAACATCCACCCGGCTCACACTGGCCTTGATGTCATAGACGGCACTGCAGACATAGACACCAGAGTCCCCCTCTGTCAGGTTCATCACAGTGAGTTTGGTTGCGTTCCCATCAACCTTGATCTTGTAATGAAGGGGGTCAGTAGTTGCATTGATGAGTTCCTGAAAACAAAATAATTGAAAATGAAGGGGATGAAGCCTCTAAGACAAAGCGGTATTATTGATAATTTTTATAATCACTGTCAAAAGAAATAACATGATATGACTTACTAATGTTCAACTATAAGTTGAGCGAAATAAAAACATATTAGGTTCCAATATACCGTTAACAGAGTTATTAAATACATCTCCCCTTACACAGTGATGACATTTGGGCCTCCTCACCTGCTCAGTTCCATTTTCTTTGTACCAAAGCCAGGTGTTCGGGGGAAGCTTGATTTTACAGGCCATCACCACAGAGTCCCCCACATAGGCAGTAAAAGGCTTGTCCCTCTAATCGCCCATCTCTGGGGCTGGAGGAAAAGAAAGGGACCAGTATCAAGTTCACCATTTTATCTATAGGCACACATCATTATTCAATACAAATCGCAAGCACCTTTTTGCACAGATGGGATCTTAGTCAATTTCTGTGCATTCCTGTAATGTTATGAAGGATCATGGCACGTAACATGAACAATTGAACGTTTTATGTAATGAAAACAAAAGTGCAATACTGGATGACAGAGAATATGTAGCCTAACTTGACATGCATGTATCAATACATGGCTTTGATTAAGACTAGAGAATGTGAAATAGAATATATGCAACAACTTATGACATACAACACACTGTACCTACCAAATTGAAATCTATTTTTGCCTCCTTGTCTGCACCACTAAAGACGCATGAGTAATTCCCAAGGGTATCTCCATTAATGCTGAACCTGTAAAATAAGATATAATCATTGCTAATATAATCATAGCTTTAATTTCACTTACACATGTCTAAGGAAAATATATCGAAAATAGAGACGTTCTGTCAGTCTAAGAAACTTTCACTGTCAAATTTCAATTAGCCACATCATTAGATGTTGGAAAAGCATGGGTTCTGGCCACTGGCAATGGGCCTGGGTTGGTTACAAACTGACAAACAGGTGATTGCTGGTAGTCATGGAACCCACTATTCTGGGATACAATATAGCACAGGCAAAGTGCATCATTTTAACTCCTGCAGTAGTGAAATATTACCAAAGTATATTTGCATACGGTAATACATAGCTGCCTAATTTGGACATTTCTCCCAAACTCTATGAATAACATAGTTATAATAGACCATGGTAGATTTACATACATTTGCATGAAAAGTTGGCAGAGTGACATTTCTGGTTTACAGTCTCTAAACCTGATGGAACAATAAATACATACTTACACTCTTTTGAGATTATATTGTTCATTTTCCAAAAGTATAGTAAGCCGAGAGTTAACCATTTCACTTCCATATTTTCTCCAGTAGCCAGTAATGTTTGGTAATTTGTTTGGATTACCGGTCCAGGTACATGCTAGCTCTAAATCGATGGGTTTCAAGATTTCAACTTATTCAACCAGACTGTCACCTTTATTAAGAATTTTGGTGGGATTTCAAACAAATAGAGAGTTTTGCTGCACAAGTAGGCTAGACATTGTAATCTTTAATTTAAGGAACCAACCTAAAATACAGCTATAATAGATCTGTAAACTATACACAAAACATTCAGATGAGCATATACCAGAATTTCAGACAAAATTAAATACAAACATTTTCTAAAGTATCACAAGATGACTGAGTGAAGAATGGAATAAAAATGTGACACTACAATATCAAATTATGAACACAAACTAGTGTCTCAAATAACAACTCTCTAGTAGTTACCTTTCAGGACTGCACTCTTAAAGACTGTTGTGACTGGATCCTTCAAAACCAATGGAGGATTTGTTTCTAACTCTCTCTCTCTCTCTCTCTCTCTCTCTCTCTCTCTCTCTCTCTCTCTCTCTCTCTCTCTCTCTCTCTCTCTCTCTCTCTCTCTCTCTCTCTCTCTCATCCGCTGCCTGCTACTCTCTCTCATCAGCTTCCTGCTACTCTCTCTCTCTCTCTCTCTCATCTGCTGCCTGCTACTCTCTCTCTCATTAGCTTCCTGCTACTCTCTCTCTCATCAGCTGCCTGCTACTCTCTCTCTCTCATCAGCTTCCTGCTACTCTCTCTCATCAGCGTCCTTCTACTCTCTCTCTCTCATTAGCTGCCTGCTACTCTCTCTCTCTCATCAGCTGCCTGCTACTCTCTCTCTCTCATCAGCTGCCTGCTACTCTCTCTCATTAGCTTCCTGCTACTCTCTCTCTCTCATTAGCTGCCTGCTACTCTCTCTCTCTCATTAGCTTCCTGCTACTCTCTCTCTCATCAGCTTCTTGCTACTCTCACTCTCATTAGCTGCCTGCTACTCTCTCTCTCTCATCAGCTTCCTGCTACTCTCTCTCTCATCAGCTTCCTGCTACTCTCTCTCATCAGCGTCCTTCTACTCTCTCGCTCTCTCATCAGCTGCCTGCTACTCTCTCTCTCTCATCAGCTGCCTGCTACTCTCTCTCTCATCAGCTGCCTGCTACTCTCTCTCTCTCATCAGCTGCCTGCTACTCTCTCGCTCTCTATGGGTCCCCCTTCCCTCCCCTCCCCTCCTTGTTCTTCCCCTCAGCATCGGCGACACAGCAAAAATATCAGCCCACTGCCTCATCTGCCTACTGGTATTCCTTTATTATTCATACAGACACAGACCCAGGGAACGGACAGTCCTGTCCCATTGTGCAACAGCAACCCTGTAATGGAAGGTGCAAACAAAGTACAGTGAGTATCATATGACAACCACTACACTACAGTACAAACATTTGTTTGAAAAATGACTTGGGGTGGGAGGGGAGGTAAATGGATACACAAGTCATGTCAAATGTGATGTAGGACAGCTGTAGGTCACATGGTATGCCTGTTATCTTGGAGATCATTGTTCAAAGACCGTGTCCATTATTTCCCAAAATGATATATGCAATATCACATTTATACCGTAAACATCACCTGTGTTAATATTGGCAACATTTGAGTTTACTTCTGTATTTACAATTTTTATGTCCTAATGAAATGTATATGTTTAAAGTTGTTTACTTTGGACAAGACAGTATAGTTTCATTAATTGAGTGCAGATTTAGTGATTTACTCAGTTGTATAGTATACAGATTGCACTCTCTCAGTCTGGGACATCTATTGGGACTCAGGATATGGTTGGTGATATAAGGGGATTAAGGTCAAACTCACATACACAGCATGACTCTGAGTAGGCCTAGTGCCCTATCTGTAGTGGAATATACCACTGTACCAGTCTAGACCACAATGGTACCCATCTCAAAAGCAGTCCCTGTGAACTTTACTTTTATTACTTATATTAAATGTTTCAATTTAAATAATCTGTCCCCAAAAGGATTAATCCAGATCATGGCGTCGGCAGAAATGACTCTGATTTTGGGGGCTTATGTAGTCAGCTGGCCCATCAGGGATCAGTCGTGCCCTTCACAACGCCATCCCTCAGTCGGAGGCCTCTCTCGGCTTAGCCCGCTGGGAGACCAATCGAATCCAGGGACTCAGTGACCAAAACTTGAGGACAGAAAAAACAAAAGTGCTGCCTGCAAATCCCCTGGTAGGATATTCACACAGTTGAAGCTGATGGTGAGTAGTGGAGCAATTTGGTGAAGAGCTACAGTAGTAGAGCACTGTCGAGTCCAGCTCTCTCCTGCAGTGGACTACCAGAAGAAACACCGTCACCATGGCCACCGAGGGGATGTCTAGAGAGGAGGCAGAGGAGTACCAGAAACAGCTGGTGGAGGAAAAGTAAGTCACTACCAGAGTTGCCATCGATTTCCTGTTAATCACCTAAATTACTGAAGATTCTGGTAACTTTGGTAAATTACCGGTAGCTTTGCAACCCTAGAAAGGAATGCTTTAGAGTTGGGGTCCATTCCATTTCAATACAGCAAAATACAATTGAAATTAAATGGAAAATAGATTGAAAATAAATGATGCTCCTGAATCTGATCCCAACCTCCTTGGAATTATTAAAATTGACATTTTGTATTCAATAGCAAGCAAGAGCAGAGCATTTACAGTGAGGGAAAAAAGTATTTGTTCCCCTGCTGATTTTGTACGTTTGCCCACTGACAAAGAAATGATCAGTCTATAATTTTAATGGTAGGTGTATTTGAACAGTGAGAGACAGAATAACAACAACAAAATCCAGAAAAACGCATGTAAAAAATGTTATAAATTGATTAGCATTTTAATGAGGGAAATAAGTATTTGACCCCCTCTCAATCAGAAAGATTTCTGGCTCCCAGGTGTCTTTTATACAGGTAACGAGCTGAGATTAGGAGCACACTCTTAAAGGGAGTGCTCCTAATTTCAGCTTGTTACCTGTATAAAAGACATCTGTCCACAGAAGCAATCAATCAATCAGATTCCAAACTCTCCACCATGGCCAAGACCAAAGAGCTCTCCAAGGATGTCAGGGACAAGCTTGTAGACCTACACAAGGCTGGAATGGGCTACAAGACCACTGCCAAGCAGCTTGGTGAGAAGGTGACAACAGTTGGTGCGATTATTCGCAAATGGAAGAAACACAAAATAACTGTCAATCTCCCTCGGCCTGGGGCTCCATGCAAGATCTCACCTCGTGGAGTTTCAATGATTATGAGAACAGTGAGGAATCAGCCCAGAACTACACGGGAGGATCGTCAATGATCTCAAGGCAGCTGGGACCATAGTCACCAAGAAAACAATTGGTAACACACTACGCCGTGAAGGACTGAAATCCTGCAGCGCCCGCAAGGTCCCCCTGCTCAAGAAAGCACATATACAGGGCCGTCTAAAGTTTGCCAATGAACATCTGAATGATTCAGAGGAGAACTGGGTGAAAGTGTTGTGGTCAGATGAGACCAAAATCGAGCTCTTTCGCATCAACTCAACTAGCCGTGTTTGGAGGAGGAGGAATGCTGCATATGACCCCAAGAACGCCATCCCCACCCTCAAACATGGAGGTGGAAACATTATGCTTTGGGGGTGTTTTTCTGCTAAGGGGATAGGACAACTTCACCGCATCAAAGGGACGATGGACGGGGCCATGTACCGTCAAATCTTGGGTGAGAACCTCCTTCCCTCAGCCAGGGCATTGAAAATGGGTTGTGGATGGGTATTCCATCATGACAATGACCCAAAACACACGGCCAAGGCAACAAAGGAGTGGCTCAATAAGAAGCACATTAAGGTCCTGGAGTGGCCTAGCCAGTCTCCAGACCTTAATCCCATAGAAAATCTGTGGAGGGAGCTGAAGGTTCGAGTTGCCAAACGTCAGCCTCGAAACCTTAATGACTTGGAGAAGATCTGCAAAGAGGAGTGGAACAAAATCCCTTCTGAGATGTGTGCAAACTTGGTGGCCAACTACAAGAAACGTCTGACCTCTGTGATTGCCAACAAGGGTTTTGCCACCAAGTACTAAGTCATGTTTTGCAGAGGGGTCAAATACTTATTTCCCTCATTAAAATGCAAATCAATTTATAACATTTTTGACATGTGTTTTTCTGGATTTTTTTGTTGTTATTCTGTCTCTCACTGTTCAAATAAACCTACCATTAAAATTATAGACTGATCATGTCTTTGTCAGTGGGCAAACTTACAAAATCAGCAGGGGATCAAATACTTTTTTCCCTCACTGTAGTTTTACATTTTCCCTTTTGTGAAAAATTAGAGCTACACTGCATGACCAAATGTATGTGGCCACCTGCTCGTCAAACATCTTATTCCAAAATCATGGGCATTAATTTAGGAGTTGGTCCCTCCTTTGCTGCTATAACAGCCTCCACTCTTCTGGGAAGGCTTTCCACTAGATTTTGGGACATTGCTGCTGGAACTTGCTTACATTCAGCCACAAAAGCATTAGTGAGGTCGGGCACTGATGTTGGGCGATTAGGCCTGGCTCGCAGTCGGCGTTCCAATTCATCCCAAAGGTGTTCGATGGGGTTGAGGTCAGGGCTCTGTGCAGGCCAGTCAAGTTCTTCCACACCAATCGACAAACCATTTCTGTATGGACCTCGCTTTGTGCACAGGGGCATTGTCATGCTGAAACAGGAAAGGTCCTTTCTCAAACAGTTGCCACAAAGTTGGAAGCACAGAATCGTCTAGAATGTCATTGTATGATGTAGCGTTAAGATTTCCCTTCACTGGAACTAAGGAGCCTGAGCCATGAAAAACAGCCCCAGACCATTATTCCTCCTCCACCAAACTTTACAGTTGGCACTATGCATTCAGGCAGGTAGCGTTCTCCTGGCATCCGCCAAACCCAGATTAGTCCGTCGGACTACCAGATGGTGAAGCATGATTCATCACTCCAGAGAACGCGTTTCCACTGCTCCAGAGTCCAATGGCGGCGAGCTTTACACCACTCCAGCTTTACACCACCACGCGCTTGGCATTGTGCAAGGTGATCTTAGGCTTGTGTCCGGCTGCTCGGCCATGGAAATCCATTTCATGAAGCTCCCGACAAACAGTTATTGTGCTGACGTTGCTTCCAGAAGCAGTTTGTAACTCGGTAGTGAGTGTTGCTACAGAGGATAGACGATTTTTACGCGCTACATGCTTCAGCACTCTGCGGTCCCGTTCTGTGAGCTTGTGTGGCCTACCACTTCATGGCTGAGCTGTTGTTGGTCCTAGACGTTTCCACTTCACAATAACAGCACTTACAGTTGACCAGGGCAGCTCTAGCAGGGTAGAAATTTGACGAACGGACTAGTTGGAAAGGTGTTATCCTACGACGGTGCCCGTTGAAAGTCACTGAGCTCTTCAGTAAGGCCATTCTACTGCCAATGTTTGTCTATGGAGATTGCATGGCTGTGTGCTCGATGTTATACACCTGTCAGCAACGGGTGTGGCTGAAATAGCCGAATCCACTAATTTGAAGGGTGTCCACATACTTTTGTATATATAGCGTATGTTTTAATTAGACCATATGTGAAGTAAAAAAGCCAAACAGATGAAAGGGAGATACAATGGCAATGAGAAAACTACCTGTAAATGTACCTTGAGAAGATTATTACACTGATAAAAGGTACAATACAATTAAAATCTTTGTGAAGAATGTTTTACCTCATATTAGGATCATATCACAAGAGTCGAACTGAAAGCAGACTACCACCATGCAGTCCTATATTACATCACATCCAGATTATTTCTGAATTACTTTCTGTCTCCAATTACTAAAATTGGTGGGATTGACAAATGCTGTCGTAATCTGGAGATTAACACAAACAAAAGTATTACTCTGCGGCCCTAGAAACTGAGTCTTCATATTTTATTTAGAACTGACACCAGTAACATTGACTGATATGAAAATTGCAACGGCCATTAGGAATTATGATGACAAAAAAGCCTAGAAACACATTTTTATCTCTGAAAATATTATGCTAACCTTTACACAACCAGTATCACACAGTGAAAACACAATGCCTATTTAGCATTTTGGAAGAGTTACATGATATACTATAAGTTTTTTTATAGGTTTGATACCATGGTTTCTGTTCTTGTCTGAAAACAGGATGGAGAGAGATTCAGAGTTCTTGGTAAAGAAGGCTGAGAGGGCCACACTGAGAACGTGCTTAAGAGACAAATACAGACTACCAAAGGTAAGACAGTCTCCTCTCATTCTCATGTCATATGAAACAAGACGATAAATTCTTTAGATACAAATGCCCTCAATAATAAAAAACTATACTGAACAAAAATATAAACGCAACATGCAACAATTTCAAAGATTTTACTGAGTTACAGTTCATATAAGGAAATCAGACAATTTAAATAAATTCATTAGGTCCTAATTTATGGATTTCACATGACTGGAAATACAGATATGCATCTGTTGGTCACAGATACCTTTTTTTTAAAGGTAGGGGCGTGGATCAGAAAACCAGTCAGTATCTGGTGTGACCACCATTTGCCTCATGCTGATCAAGCTGTTGATTGTGGCCTGTGGAATGTTGTCCCACTCCTCTTCAATGGCTTTGCGAAGTTGCTGGATATTGGCGGGAACTGGAACATGCTGACGTACACGTCGATCCAGAGCATCCCATACATGCTCAATGGATGACATGTCTGGTGAGTATGCAGGCCATGGAAGAACTGGGACAGTTTCAGCTTCCAGGAATTTTGTACAGATCCTTGCTACATGGGGCCATGCATTATCATGCTGAAACATGAGGTAATGGCGGTGGATGAATGGCATGACAATGGGCCTCAGGATCTCGTCACAGTATCTCTGTGCATTCAAATTGCCATCGATAAAATGCAATTGTGTTCGTTTTCTGTAGTTTATGCCTACCCATACCATAACCCCACTACCACCATGGGGCACTCTGTTCACAACGTTGACATCGGCAAACCGCTCGCCCACACAATGCCATACACGCTGTCTGCCATCTGCCCGGTACAGTTGAAACCGGGATTCATCTGTGAAGAGCACACTTCTCCAGCGTGCCCATGGCCATCGAAGGTAAGCATTTGCCCACTGAAGTCAGTTACCGCACGCCGAACTGCAGTCAGGTCAAGACCCTGGTGAGGACGCCGAGCATGCAGATGAGCTTCCCTGAGACGGTTTCTGACAGTTTGTGCTGAATTTCTTTGGTTGTGCAAACCCAGTTTCATCAGCTGTCCGTGTGGCTGGTCACAGATATCCTGCGTTTGAGCCCCAGACCAAACATGCCCTGTGTTTTTGTGTGTGTGTGCGTCTGTATGCCCTCTGTCTCACAGGCTATGCAGGGAGTGTCCCTCTCTTGCAGGGTCATAGAGGGTCACATGTGATGCTAAACTAAGTTGTTGTTTGAAGTGTTAGCTGTTGGACCTAAATTCCCTCAGTAAAAACGGTACCTACAGTATGCTAAAAGATGAAAACAATAGAATTTAAACATGATGATATTGATACAGCACATTGGCATAATACATTCCTCCTCAATCAGTCTGACCTGTGCCTTTCTTGCTGTGCTTAGAGTGAACAGGATGCAAACCTGTTGGAGTTGGCAGGAGATGACATCGACGTGCCTGAAGAACTACTCAAGATGGTGGACGAGGATGCCACAGAGGAGGAGGAGAAGGACTCTATCCTGGGCCAGATACAGAACCTACAGAACATGGACATGGACCAGATCAAGGAGAAAGCCTCAGCAACCATGGTTGAGATGAAATCTAAAGCAGAGGAGAAGTGCTGTGTCATGTGATGAGAGAAAACATTGGTTCAGTTGATTTGAGATTAGTTCCTAAGCACCAAGTTTGACCAAGGATATGACTTCCAAGGTTGAAATATACCAGCATTCAAGTATTCTAATCTAGACTGTGGACTTGGACTGATCTGACACACGTATAGTAGGCCTTCTACACAAAGTCTAAATGTAACCAGTCTTAGGTTGGCTAATCTGCCAATAGAGGGTTGTAGAGATTACTCTTAATCTGTCTTTCTCAGAAAGCTGTGGGGAGGAGGTCAGGAAAAACATCACAGGGATGGGAGGGAGTAAGACTATTTTCGTTATTGTGGTTAAAAAGGTTTTCTGTTCTTTTTATATACAGTAAACCTCATGTCTTCTTTGCAAGAAGGTACAATTTGGAAGAGAAAAAACAATGGTATCTTGGTTATAAATGCTCTGAATTGCTTCATGTTAAAAAATATTTCCCTCTGAATTTTCGGCCTTTGTAAAACAGTGTATACAACTGGATTTGGTATTTTTGTTTGTAATAAATACAGAGACGTTTCATAAGAACTCCTTGAAAAACAATCAAGTTCCAGAACTCTGGTTTATATAGTGAGACAATGCCTCCCTGTGGATAAAGTCATTACATTTTATTACATTTAGTAACTGCTCTTAAAGATCCCGGATATAGATCATCTATAGAATATGAAAGAGGCTGGTTAAGATCGTTTTAGCAAAGCTTAATATTACACATTATATCATCATTATCTAACAAACGGAAAGATAATCGCAAAAAACTACCTTTTCACAGCAGGCTGGATATGTAACCTTTTAAGTACAGCTATAAAACTCTGACGGTTATTTCAATTTAAAAATCTAGTCCAAAGTACTAAATACATGTAATCTCCACTCAAGCCAGGCAACTGTATCAAAGAGTTTGCCATGGAATACACTAGGATTTATAGAGTAGACGTACAAAAATCCACCATAGCCCAAAATCCACCATAGCCTGATTCCAGATCTGATGGCAATAGGAGAAGGCAAAACAGCACAAACAGATCTGGAACCAGGCTACCAATGCCCTAGAGAGGGCCTTATCACTAGTGGTGAAACTGCAGGCTATTAATGAAGACTGTCTGCAGCTCGTTTATGTCATCCGTGGTCTCTATGGGAATGCTGGCTCTGCCAGGGGAGTTCAGTAACACTGAGTCACTACTAGTACAGCCATAGTGAGAGAAGCTACAGTTGTCATACAGCGTGGAGCTCACACAACCTGAGCCTCCCACAGCTCCCTGTAGAGGCTCGTACACATCCAGGTAAGGGCTGGAGCAGTGTGGGGAGAGAAGGCCATGGTCTTGGGGGTGAGGGTGGTGGATGTGTGGGTGGAGGTGCTCGGCTCCGGGGCTATGGCAAGGGCTGTGTGAGGGACTGTGGGGCATTGGGCAGGTCTGCAGGCAGCTGTTCCTCCTCATGGTGCGGTGGAGGTCTAGTCTGGCGATCAGGGGCTTGCCGATGTTGACGTCAGTGGTCCAGTCCACCAGCTCATCCACGGCCTTGAAAGAGCCCTGTAGACAAACTGTGAACCCCAGCTGATCCTACAGAGGAGACAAGGAGTAGAATAACATTTTATTGACCTAATATGTTTATACTAGAGCTCCAATGGAGATCAAAACTGTCTTGTCCAAGGTGAGCACTGCCCTAACATGACACCAGCTGCTCCTACAGAGGGGACACAGAGCACAATGAACAGGAATAAAGTCATAGTAATGTGAGAATGTAGAAAGTGGTGATTATCTTTTGTACACCTACCCTGAGCTTCTGTAGAGAGCTGAGGCGTGTGTACAGGCAGTGCTGGGGAAGACTGCTGGAGAGCAGGTAGATGCCAGTCTCCTCTGGTGTCTCCCTGTTCATCTCTTTGGGGTCAATGTCAAGGTCCTGGACAGAACAAAGGAAATGTTATAGGACAAGATGACATGCAAATGCATAGTTTTCAGGCAGGTAGTGTATCTTCAGCATCTTCAGCATAAAGACAGACTCTTTACTATGCTCCTAATGTTGTTTCAGTAAACATTTACATTTACATTTTACATTTTAGTCATTTAGCAGATGCTCTTATCCAGAGCGACTTACAGTTAGTGAGTGCATACATTCTTTTTATTTTTTATTTTTTCATACTGGCCCCCCGTGGGAATCTAACCCACAATCCTGCCGTTGCAAACGCCATGCTCTACCAACTGAGCTACATTCCTGCCGGCCATTCCCTCCCCTACCCTGGACGACGCTGGGCCAATTGTGCGCCGCCCCATGGGTCTCCCGGTCGCGGCCGGCTACGACAAAGCCTTTCATCTCCATGGGAGCTCTAGTAAACCCCAAAAAGACAATATTATTGCTGTCATTGATATTGAACAGAGCTGAGAAAAACCATAATGACATCAGTGGCATATTGAGCTTAAATTCCTTTCCCTATCCTCCTATCCCTTTGGTGTTCACTGATCTGAAAAACTTGGGATGGATTAGTTACACCTTGTCAGTCTTTTCAGATCTGTGGACACAAGGTGTAGGGGATAGGGAAGAAATTGGTGACAGGAGCTTGAGGAAGGAACAAGTTTGCATAATTGAACAGGGCGAAAGACTGTAGCGTCTCACCGGGGAGAAGTTGGTGACGTGAGCCTGGCAGAAGAACATGTCCTCTGGTTTCTTCACGATGTGGGTGTAGATGACCAGCACATTGGAGAACTCTGCAGCGAAGCCCAGCTTGATCTGAGCCCCACAGTCAAAGTCCAGAGACATACTCTCAGGCAGTTCTAGAGTGAAAACACAACGTTACGTCCACACTAAGTACGTTGATAGCTTCAGCTAAACAATTCAAATTTAAATGTACTGTATTTACTTTCATTGTTTGATTGTGTCTGAGGTGTGTCCTTACCATGAGCCTTGGCCCACTGACGGTTGTGATCCAGGGCCATGTCAGAGCTGTCACCAGGCAGAATAGGGTCAGTCAGAGCCCTCCTCTCTGATAGGCTGCTGCGGATCTCCAGAGCCTGCTTCCCCTTAGTGGCATCGAACTGGCCCATGTCTGGATAACACAAACACCACTGTCACGGATTCAGCCGAGGCTGCCCCTCCTCCTTGCTCGGGCAGGCTTCGGCGTTCGTCGTCACCGGAGAACTAGCTGCTACCAATCCATGTATTTATGTTCGACTTGTTTTGTCTTAATTGGTCACACCTGTTTCCCATCATGTAGTTATGTCTTCCCTATTTAACCCTCTGTCTCACACTGTGTGTTGTGCGTGTTTGTTCATGTTTTGGTTGTCGTTAGTGTGCGGGTTTGTTCCCTCCCTGCGTGGAGGTTGTTGTTCATTATTTTACCTACAAGTAAAGTACGCCTTTTGATTAGCTCTGTGTCCTGCGCCTGACTTCGCCTACCGCATTACACTGACGCCTTGACAGAAACATGCACCATAATATGGAGTCAGCAGGTACAGCTATGCCAGCCGGATCGATGGAGGAACGCGTCCAACAACAAGCGACCATGATCCAGGCTCTCGGCACCGCTATGGAACGAGTAGTTAATACTATGGAGCGATGGGAGAGAGGAGGTATCCCTATACCTCCTCCAATTACACCACCACCTACACCAATGTCCATCTCTTCACCATCTGGGTCCAGTGGGATTCGGCTCTCGCTCCCGAGGGCTTATGATGGTACAGCTGCCGGGTGTCAGGGTTTTCTGCTCCAGATAGAGCTCTACCTGGCAACCATCCACCCGGCTCCCTCGGGATACGAGAGCGTGTCCGCCCTCATCTCCTGTCTGTCCGGTAAAGCGCTGGAGTGGGCCAACGCCGAGTGGAGGGGAATAGACGCCGCAACTGTAAGCTATGTAGTGTTCACCCGCCGCTTTAGGGCAGTATTCGATCATCCACCAGAGGGGAGAGCGGCGGGTGAGCGTCTATTCCACCTCAGACAGGGGAAGAGGAGCGCGCAGGAATTTGCACTGGACTTTCGGACTCTAGCTGCCAGCGCAGGATGGAATGAGAGGGCCCTCATCGACCACTACCGTTGCAGCTTAAGGGAGGACGTTCGTCGGGAATTGGCCTGCAGGGACACCAACCTAAACCTGGACCAACTGGTGGATATGTCAATCCGACTGGATAACCTGTTGGCCACCCGCGGACGTCCGGATCAGGGGCCGTCCATTCCATCCCCCAGCACCTCCGAACCTACCCCTATGGAGCTCGGAGGTGCTGCTATGAGGGAGACCGGTAGAAGGGCTGTCACCTGCACCAACTGTGGCCGCAGAGGACACACTGCTGGTCGATGCTGGGGAGGGCCTTCAAGGAGTCGAGGCAGTAGGCAGCGCACTGGTGAACCGTTTCAGGTGAGTAGGCACCCAACTCACCCAGAGCTCCCTGTTGCACATATGTGTATAAATGTTGTATTTCCCGAGTTTTCTTCTCATTCCCAGCATAAGGCGCTAGTAGATTCAGGCGCAGCTGGGAACTTTATTGATCGTCAGTTTACCCGTAGGTTAGGGATTCCTATTGTGCCAGTTGATGTGCCCTTCCCTATACATGCCCTAGATAGTCGCCCTTTAGGGTCAGGTCTGATTAGGGAGGTCACAGCGCCACTCTGGATGAAGACGCAGGAGGGGCATGAGGAAATAATTAGTCTATATCTGATTGATTCTCCTGCGTTTCCAGTGGTTTTGGGGCTTCCCTGGTTAACTTCTCATGACCCCACTATTTCATGGCAACAGAGGGCTCTCAAGGGATGGTCAAGTCAGTGCTCGGGGAGGTGTGTAGGTGTTTCCGTAGGGGCAACTACGGTGGAAAGTCCAAGCCAGGTTCCCACCATGCACATTCCGCCTGAATATGCCGATTTGGCTCTCGCCTTCTGTAAAAAGAAGGCGACTCAATTACCACCCCATCAACAGGGGGATTGTGCGATAAACCTCTAGGTAGGCGCTGCGCTTCCCCGGAGTCACGTGTATCCTCTGTCACAGGAAGAGACGGCGGCTATGGAAACATATGTCACCGAATCTCTGAGACAAGGATACATTCGGCCGTCCACTTCTCCTGTGTCATCGAGTTTATTTTTTGTGAAGAAGAAGGATGGTGGCTTACACCCGTGCATTGACTACCGTGGTCTAAATCAGATCACTGTAAAATAAAGCTATCCATTACCTCTGATTGCGAGCATGACGGAGTCATTGCACGGGGCGCGCTTCTTCACGAAATTGGATCTCAGGAGCGCGTACAACCTGGTGCGTATCCGGGAGGGAGATGAGTGGAAGACTGCATTTAGTACCACCTCGGGGCACTATGAGTACCTCGTCATGCCATACGGTTTGATGAATGCTCCTTCAGTCTTCCAATCTTTTGTTGATGAGATCTTCAGGGACCTGCATGTACAGGGTGTAGTGGTGTATATCGATGACATTCTCATATACTCCGCTACACGGGCCGAGCATGTGTCCCTGGTGCGTCAGGTGCTTGGTCGACTGTTGGAGCATGACCTGTATGTGAAGGCGGAAAAATTTCTGTTCTTCCAAGAATCCATCTCCTTCCTAGGACACCGCCTGTCCGCGTCAGGTGTGGAGATGGAGATTGACCGCATTTCGGCCGTGCGTAATTGGCCGACTCCAACCACGGTGAAGGAGGTGCAGCGATTCTTGGGTTTTGCCAATTACTACCGGAGGTTTATCCGGGGCTTTGGTCAGGTAGCGGCTCCCATTACGTCCTTGCTAAAGGGAGGACTGGTGCGTCTACAGTGGTCAGCTGAGGCGGACAGGGCTTTTGGGCATCTGAAGGACCTGTTTACTTCGGCTCCGGTGCTCGCTCATCCGGATCCTTCCTTGGCATTCCAGGTTGAGGTGGATGCGTCCGAGGCTGGGATTGGAGCTGTACTGTCTCAGCGCTCGGGTACGCCACCAAAACTCTGCCCCTGTGCTTTCTTTTCTAAGAAGCTCAGTCCGGCAGTGCGCAACTATGATGTGGGGGACCGGGAGCTGTTAGCTGTGGTTAAAACTCTGAAAGGGTGGAGGCATTGGCTTGAGGGGGCTAAACACTCTTTTCTCATTTTGACTGACCACCGTAATCTGGAGTACATTTACATTTACGTCATTTAGCAGACGCTCTTATCCAGAGCGACTTACAAATTGGTGCATTCACCCTATAGCCAGTGGGATAACCACTTTACAATGTATTTATTATTATTTATTTCTTTATTTTATTATTTTTTATTTTTTTTTGGGGGGGGGGGGGGGGGGTAGAAGGATTACTTTATCCTATCCCAGGTATTCCTTAAAGAGGTGGGGTTTCAAATGTCTCCGGAAGGTGGTGAGTGACTCCGCTGTCCTGGCGTCGTGAGGGAGCTTGTTCCACCATTGGGGTGCCAGAGCAGCGAACAGTTTTGACTGGGCTGAGCGGGAACTATGCTTCCGCAGAGGAAGGGGAGCCAGCAGGCCAGAGGTGGATGAACGCAATGCCCTCGTTTGGGTGTAGGGACTGATCAGAGCCTGAAGGTACAGAGGTGCCGTTCCCCTCACAGCTCCATAGGCAAGCACCATGATCTTGTAACAGATGCGAGCTTCAACTGGAAGCCAGTGGAGTGTGCGGAGGAGCGGGGTGACGTGAGAGAACTTGGGAAGGTTGAACACCAGACGGGCTGCGGCATTCTGGATGAGTTGTAGGGGTTTAATGGCACAGGCAGCCCAGCCAACAGCGAGTTGCAGTAATCCAGACGGGAGATGACAAGTGCCTGGATTAGGACCTGTGCCGCTTCCTGTGTAAGGCAGGGTCGTACTCTCTGAACGGCGAGGAGGCTGAACCCTCGTCAGGCAAGGTGGGCCATGTTCTTCACTCGTTTTGTGTTTACTCTCACTTACAGACCAGGTAAGAACGCTAAGGCAGACGCCCTGTCCCGACTGTATGACACAGAGGAGAGGTCCATTGAGCCCACTCCCATACTTCCGGCGTCGTGTCTGGTGGCACCAGTAGTGTGGGAGGTTGACGCGGACATCGAGCGGGCATAATGTACCGAGCCCACTCCCCCCCCAGTGTCCAGAGGGTCGGATGTACGTGCCGCTCGAGGTTCGTGATCGATTGATCTATTGGGCTCACACGTCACCCTCCTCTGGTCATCCTGGCATCGGTCGGACAGTGCACTGTCTTAGTGGGAAGTACTGGTGGCCCACTTTAGCCAAGGACGTGAGGGTTTATGTTTCCTCCTGCTCGGTGTGCGCCCAGTGTAAGGCACCTAGACACTTGCCCAGGGGGAAGTTACAACCCCTACCCGTTCCACAACGGCCGTGGTCCCACCTATCGGTAGATTTTGTCACGGACCTTCCCCCCTCACAAGGGAACACCACGATCCTGGTCGTTGTGGATCGGTTTTCTAAGTCCTGCCGTCTCATTCCTATGCCAGGTCTCCCTATAGCCCTACAAACTGCTGAGGCCCTATTTACACACGTCTTCTGGCACTACGGGGTACTTGAGGATATTGTGTCGGATCGGGGTCCCCAGTTCACCTCAAGGGTCTGGAGGGCGTTCATGGAACGTCTGGGGGTCTCGATTAGCCTTACCTCAGGTTTTCACCCCGAGAGTAATGGGCAGGTGGAGAGAGTTAATCAGGATGTGGGTAGGTTTCTGAGGTCCTATTGCCAGGACCAGCAGGGGGAGTGGTCAGGTTATATCCCCTGGGCAGAGATAGCCCAAAACTCACTCCGCCACTCCTCTACTAACCTTACGCCTTTCCAGTGTGTGTTAGGTTATCAGCCGGTCCTGGCACCTTGGCCTCAGAGCCAGATCGAGGCTCCTGCGATGGATGAGTGGTTTCGGCGCTCGGACGAGACCTGGAACGCTGCTCATGTACACCTGCAGCGGGCAATCAGGCGACAAAAGGCGAGCGCCGATCGCCACCGCAGTGAGGCCCCGGTGTATGCACCGGGGGACCGGGTCTGGCTCTCGACCCGAAACCTGCCCCTTCGCCTGCCCTGCTGGAAGCTGGGTCGGCGGTTTGTGGGGCCATTTAAAGTCCTGAGGAGATTGAACGAGGTTTGTTATAGGTTACAGCTTCCTATTAATTACCATATTAACCCCTTGTTCCATGTGTCTCTCCTCAGGCCGGTAGTAGCTGGTCCACTCCAGGAGTCTGAGGTACGGGAGGTTCCTCCGCCCCCACTGGACATCGAGGGGGCTCCGGCGTACTCGGTCCGTTTCGAGGCGTCGGGTGGGGGGCCTGCAGTATCTCGTGGAGTGGGAGGGGTACGGTCCGGAGGAACGGTGCTGGGTCCCTAGGAGGGACATCCTCGATCCCTCCATGTTGAGGGATTTCCACCAGAGTCATCCGACCCGCCCTACTCCGCGTCCTCCTGGCCGCCCCTGAGGCCGGGGTCGGCGCATGGCTGGAGCTGCGCGTCAAGGGGGGGGTACTGCCACGGATTCAGCCGAGGCTGCCCCTCCTCCTTGCTCAGGCAGGCTTCGGCGTTCGTCGTCACCGGAGTACTAGCTGCTACCGATCCATGTATCTATGTTCGACTTGTTTTGTCTTAATTGGTCACACCTGTTTCCCATCATGTAGTTATGTCTTCCCTATTTAACCCTCTGTCTCACACTGTGTGTTGTGCGTGTTTGTTCATGTTTTGGTTGTCGTTAGTGTGCGGGTTTGTTCCCTCCCTGCGTGGAGGTTGTTGTTCATTATTTTACCTACAAGTAAAGTACGCCTTTTGATTAGCTCTGTGTCCTGCGCCTGACTTCGCCTACCGCATTACACTGACGCCTTGACAACCACAATAACATTACCTCAGGCTCTCGCAGAATACATTTGTTAGACTAAGTATTATTGCCATGATAATCGATGCATGGAGGTATACAAGATAGGATAGATTTGTTTCTGTACTCCTGTTACTTACGTTGCATGGTACTGCATTAGATCAATACTGTATATTTCATGCTACATTGGCTTATACTCCATAACCACAAATACTGTAGATGGGGTGACATTTACAAAATTCTTATTTCACCAATACATAATTGGTCCATTGCTCCTTACCCTCAGCCACTCTGTCCAGCAACACAGTGATCTTCTCATCCTCCAGAAGACGTTTCTTTAGAAACTTGACAAAGACACCGTTAGTGAATCCACTAGAGCTCAGCTCAAACGCTTCTGCATCTTGGCAGCTGCACAAGAGAAAAATGGAACAGCATTGGGGAATATATCATTTAATTTGTTCATACAAAGTTACGAATAGAAGTTTAGACATTTTTGAGTAACCATCAGATTACTTACGTTGCATATCCAAAGACAATGTTAGCTGTGACCCTCAATAGTATGTTTGGGGTGGTATCATCATGAATATTTCTAAAAATATCAATTTAATAGTCACAGTATTAAAGAATAATACAACAAACAAGAAATGGTGAGTGGTTTATATCCCATGTTACTAACAGGGAAGGGAAATTGAATAGTAGTGAAAAACAAATTAATATAAAACAAACATCATGGTTATCATAGTATACTAGTCTTTACCCACCTCTTCCTGCACATATCCAGCAGGAACACATTGAGGCCTGTCTCCTTCTCCTGCATCAGTTTGAGGATGCTCTGCACACACAGGCAGTTGGCTGAGCGGTACGGGTTTGGAGCATCCACCGGTACCATGAAGCTGTTGCCATAGTTCTCATAACCATGTCCAGCATAGTACAGCAAACCTAGGAGAAGGTTATGGAAGTGAATTGAATGAGAGAGTAAATAGAGCAGTGAATGAAATAAGACTGAAAATAGACTTCACTTTTTAAAACTAGTATTTTTTATTTTTTGTTTTTTTTTGTAAATTATATGATTCACTATATTTTTGGAAAACCAGATCAAATAAACTAATATTTGACTGAAACTTGACAAGAACGGATCAAATTATTCTAGGTCGGTCTCTCATACTCTAAAAGGCCATAATAATGAATGGTGTACCATAGACACCCTTGTGAAGTAAGAGCAGAAACTCGTCCACGGCGTTGCGCATCTCTGACTCGGTGAGGTCCAGCAGCGATACTACCTTGAAGTTGAGCTGGCGCAGGAGGTTGGTGAGATCATACACATCCACCATTGGCGCCTTGAGCTGGGGGTGGTTCTGGTACGAGAGGTTCCCGATCAGCAGGGCCACTTTATCTGTCGCTGTGATGGGAGACAAATACCATCAATGACTAGGAGTTCAAATCAATTGTGGAATAATTAAACATATCAACATTGACCAACATGGAGAGAAAATTGTACAGAAGAAATGTTAAGAGGCATTTGATATTCTAGCAGTAATAAAGATAACCGGGTACTGGGTGGATACATTTTTTGTTCTGCTTACCATAAGGTGGTTCTTGATCGCTGTTCAGGATTAGTTCACTGATACCTACAATCACAATACTATCATTATATAATACAGATATTGCACATTGATACAAATTCTCAACTGCTCTATGTACTGTGCAGAAACATTTATAATTGCTGGAAACAATGTCCAATAAACAGTGATAGATCAGCTCAAATATACTTTCAATGCGTGTCACTTGCCTGCTCCAAAGGCAAAAACATCATCTGTGGGAAAACAATTTCAGAACAATTACTGGAATGTATATTTCCTGTGCTTTTATTTAAACTGAATTAAAGTAAAAGTGTCACTGATTAGGTGGGGTCAGTCAGAGGCCAAAAGGATCAACATGCCTAATGTTAGCAATTAGTAAATGAGTACCCACTGAAAATATGTCCTGTCTTGAACATTTATAAATATTAATTGGAAATGAATAAGGGACATCTAAGCTGAATCACTGAAAGACGCGAATGATTATATAATTTAAAATGTAGAGATTTTGAGCATCAGTAAAGACAATTTTTCAAATTTCAGAGGATAACATATTTTCTGTGGGATTGTTATGATTATGTTGTGCTCTCAAAAATATAATATTAAGAACAGGCAAAAATCCAAAGGATGAAAAAAATGCATGCAACACCTGGAACCAAACCCTCATTCTCTGAAAACGAGTTCCTATAAAAACAGATTCATTTTGCCATCCCATTGTTTGCAACATGGCCCTGTTCTATTCATGCACATACTGTACATCCCAGGTGGCCAAACTAAGAGAAACCAGGCATTTTAACTATACCTTCAGAACACTCCATTGCCCCTGAAAATGGGACAGATATCCTTGGTCCTTTCATTCAAGAACAAGAGTAAGTAATCATCAAGAACTGTCACCAAATTCAATGCGAGTAGTTTTTGCTCATATTGTATACTGATAAACAGATATTTTGTTTAGGATCAATATCATCATTATAGTGCTGTAAAATAAAGGACAGTGACATACCCACTAGAACGTCTACTTCATTCGTCCACGTCCTCTCGTTGTTAATGCAAATCTCACAGCGATACTTTCCCTGATGTTCCAGCAGCAGATACGGAATCTGTTTGAATTAACGAACAATCTCAAGCTATTTGAAAAAAACTATACTAACTAACTGTTTTCATCCGATTTGTACAACATCTAACATTATTGTATAGTTACTGTACTGTAGCTACAAAAGATACTGTAACAGTGTACCTATAACAGTATAAAAGTGTAACTTTCTATATAAGCGCTCAAGGATGTTAGCATCCTCCTCTGTCCTCCTTACCGTGAGTCTCCTCTTGGAGGCCTCTGGAAAGGGAAGGGGCACCCCGTTCCTGTGCCACTGGTAGCGGGGGATTGGCCTCCCTACCGCCCCACACTCCAGCTGCAGAGCATCCCCCACCAGCAGTCTCTGGCCCTGGGGCTGGATCACCACCTTCAGCCTGCCCTCCAACGAGTGGGACCCCAACCCTGCATGCAAAACATACAAGTATTTTCAATGTGCAGTTGCTCTGGGGGCGAGTTTAGCAAAAGCTTTGGAGGGATAAAAGACGATGTAATTGCTACAAAGCATTCAGCAAATTCACCCCTGTTTTGTCTGTCTTTCACAGAAAGGAGGAACCGACAATGTTAGCCTTATTAAAATGGAAACCGATATTATTTTTTAAATAAATTATATCCCAGGCAGAAGAAAGATACAATAACAATGTTGTCCATGAACTGATTGGGAGGTACAAGATAGTGGCTCACCATAAGATGTGGCAACATTCAGGACATCCACCTGAACCCACTGGCTGAACTCAAAGGAGTCTCCACAATTAACCCTGCAGATGTAGAAACCTGCGTCTGTCAGTTGGACTGGGCTAACCACCAGGTCTGGAGAAGAACTGTTGGGTACCTAGAGAAATCACAAAGAAGATGTGTCAAATCAATTCATAATACATGAAAAATCATTATGAAGCCACAGCTGTCACAATGTCATCTGGTCAAGATATCAGCAATATGATTATCTGAAAACATGTTTAATAACATGTTTATAACCAATGCATAAACAGTACGGTCTACCTTCAAAACATACCCTAGTCGGCTACCCACCTCCTCCTTGGTTTTGAACCACTGGTACTTAACACCAGCCTTTCCCACAGCATAACAGCTGAGTCGCAGGTTGTGTCCCACTATTATAGCCACAGACTGGGGCTGAATGAGGATCTGGATACCTAAACACAACCATTATGGGAAGAAGGGAGCTCAGCACTGTTAGGTCTGTACAATCTGCATAAGAAATATTAGAATCTCTATAAATCAATACATTCTCAATAATTATTAAAATATATGTACAATAAATAATCAATACATTTACATACAGGCACGAAAATCAAGAGTCGAGATTAACCTGTCACCAAAACCATTTATAATCATGAGCCTTCCCTCCAGGTAACAACCAGATAATAGTCAGAGAACACATCTTCTAAAGATGCTCTGTATACCTGGTGGTTTGACACACTGTAGGGCCTCTGTCTGGCCCATGGTTTGTAGTAAGTCTACCAGATGGCCCAGGGTGCACCCTCTGTCTCCCATGAGCCTGAGCAGCATGTGGCTGGGGCTGCCCTCCAGCTCCAACACTTTCAGAGAGCACATCTCCATCTCATCTGGACTGCACAGTGGAGGAAAAGGCATCATTTATCCACACAGTAATGCATACACATACTGTCTAAGAGACTATTTAATAAGAAAATGATATGAACAGCAGAGGAGGCACATAGCTCACAAGTTAGTTCACACTTAGGAAATGAAAAATGCACAGGAATACTGATAACATGTATTATTGTGTTGTAAAATATAAAAGTGGGAGGTGTACTACAGTATGTTGAGGATTGGGATAATATTTCTACTGTAAAATCAAACAAGTAAACTAACATGTTTAAAGAGTAACCATTCAGACTAGCCCAACCGGCTGCAAAATGGCGCTATTATTCATTTTAGGTCGTTAGGTAATACGGCATCAGGAAGAACTACGCCCTCTAGGGGTCTCGGCGTGACCGTCAGACTGGCTGTCCGACTGCTTAATTAGGCTTACCTCACTCTAAAACGCCGGTCATTGCCGACCATCTCCCCGAGTTTACGCCATCCTTTACTGTTGGTTTTATCCAGAACCTCACACAGTTTCCTCAAGACAGGTTCTTTCAGAAAATGTAAGTTTAAAGACCGGTCAGATGAATCCGACATCTCAACGAATAACTGCAGTTCAATTCAGCCAATTTGAAAAAGTTTCTTTCAAAAAATCGGAACATTTGTGAAATGAAAACTATGTCGCAGTTTTCTAAACAGAAGAAGTAGATACATGGGCATGGTCACGGCAGAAGTTTGGGGGATTTCCGAAGATCATTCTAGAGATGCCAAAAAGACACAAATCTTCAGACGAGTTGATGTTACTTCCTGAAACAGTTTACAAATAGTGATAGACACTCCTACCACTGGGTGGGACTTTCGGTTTAGGCATGGGTCTTCCGTTTTTGCCCCAATACTCTAAACTTGCATCCTTCCTTACCTCCTTGATCACGAACTTCTCTTAAGGAAAGAAGGAAGCTGAGGGAAAGGACGAGTGATAGAGGAAGGGTGCATTATTAACCCAAATTGGGTTGAATAATTCCGAATTTAAATTTTATTAGTATTACTTATAAAATGCTTAAACAGTTCCCACATCTTAAATAAATTATTTGTATTAATCTGTTTGGTTCAACTTTCATTATTTCTAGTCATAAATCATCTCACTTTTTTCAATGTTTAGTAATACCAAAGATATTACATTTACATTTACATTTTAGTCATTTAGCAGACGCTCTTAACCAGAGCGACTTACAGGAGCAATTAGGGTTAAGTGCCTTGCTCAAGGGCACATTAACGTCATTTAGCAGACGCTCTTAGCCAGAGCGACTCACAAATTGGTGCGTTCACCCTATAGCCAGTGGGATAACCACTATGTTCTATTATATTGACAAGATAGTCGAGTGACTGCTCTAACAATGAAAATACATGTCCTCAAAGATGGAAAGCAGGAGGGTGGGGGCGCGGTCAGGTTGGACCATTGTAGCCAATGAGAGGGCAGACACACAGGCTCTACTCTGATATATAGTCATATTTTTCAAAGCTGCCGAAATGCCACGTGCGTCCACTTATATCAGTGCATTCATAAAAACCTAACCATTAGGACATTTCTATTCCATCAAATAAGACTCACGTAGCAAATTAGCAATTACATTATTTGTTGACCAAATTCGACATGCTCATTGTCGAATAACATCGACGGGGCCTTGGTGTCCACATCACCAACAAACTATCATGGTCCAAACACACCAAGACAGTCGTAAAGAGGGCACGACAACACCTTTTCCCCTCAGGAGACTGAAAAGATTTGGCATGGGTCCCCAGATCCTCAAAAAGTTCTACAGCTGCACCATCGAGAGCATCCTGACCGGTTGCATCACCGCCTGGTATGGCAATTGCTCGACATCCGACCATAAGGCGCTACATAGGGTAGTGCGTATGGCCCAGTACATCACTGGGGCCAAGCTTCCTGCCATCCAGGACCTCTATACCAGGCGGTGTCAGAGGAAGGCCCTCAAAATTGTCGAAGACTCCATTCACCCAAGTCATAGACTGTTCTCTCCGCTACCGCACGGCAAGCGGTACCGGAGCACCATGTCTAGGTCCAAAAGACTCCTTAACACTTCTACCCCCAAGCCATAAGACTGCTGAACAATTAATCAAATGGCCACCCAGACTATTTACATTGACCCCCCTTTGTTTTTACACTGCTGCTACTCGCTGTTTATTATCTATGAATAGTCATTTTAACCCCTACTTACATGTACAAATTACCTCGACTAACCTGTACCCCCTGTATATAGCCTTGTTATTGTTTTTTTATTGTGATACTTTTAATGATGTTTTACTTTAGTTTATTTAGTAAATATTTTCACGGTAAGGTCTACACCTGTTTTATTCAGCGCATGTGACAAATAAAATGTGATTTGATTTGACCTCCATTAAAGATTCTCTATTATATTAACAAGATATTAGAGTGACCGCTCTAACAACAGAAATACATGTCCTCAAAGATGGAAGGCAAGCGGGAGGAGGCGAGATCAGGTGGGACCATTCTAGCCAATGAGGGCAGATACACATGTGAACAACGGGCCATAGAGATAGATAGAGGATTCATCTTTGTATCTGTGCCATTATAGCGTCTGTGACAGCATGGGTAGCGCCATTGAGGCTATCTCCATTTTAAAGTAGTTTATTTTTTTCTTCTTCATTGGCTAATTGCTCCAACTAATAGGAATCCCCAACTAGTTGACAACTTTAAAATGGCGGAAGCCCTCAATGGCAATGTCCATGCTAAAATATATAAGTGGATATCTAGATAAAGTCGTTTTTTCAAAGTTGGCGAAATGCCATGTGCTTCCACTTATATTAGTGCATTCATAACAATCATAATAATCTCACCATTACGAAACTTCTATTCGATCAAATAACCCCCATATAGCAAATTTGCAATAAAAAATATTGCTTACCAAATTCGACACTCTCTAATTGACCTCCATACAACAATTATTTATTTCGTGGGCTTTTTTCGTGGACAGATTTTGGGTGGAGCAAATCCTCTCACTTCGCCTCTTCCTCTCTGACTAGACTGACTGCCGTACTATACAGGTAGCGATGTGAATTGTACCAATGCAGCAGAGGCTTCGACAACTGTAGACTACAAAATAAGATGTGATATTCGTTGAGATAAGAAATAGTCATGCAATTCAAGAACACACCTCTTATGTCAGCACTTTAACCACGAGTCCAGTGGATTCGTGCTTTATCTAGGTGAGTACTATACATTTTACATTGTAACTCATTTTACCTTTTTTCTCAAATACAACATTATGTAAGTTAAAACATATTGCGTGTATTACATACTTCATGTAAATTCAATTTTTATTGACTTACCTTTATAGACTAAAGTAATGTGACATGACGATTTGGGTTATGTTGGCTACAGTAGATAGTCAGGAAGTAATGTGACATTACGATTTGGGTTATGTTGGCTACAGTAGATAGTCAGGAACAGTCTTTGGCCTCGTAAACAATAGCAATGTGAACTTGGCCTGAAATAGCCCTATAAATAACTAGTATGCCAAATTCATGGTGTTAATAATAAAAATGTACACTTGGATATTGTCGTTTTATTTATGTTATGATTACATAAATAAATAAAAACAATATCTAAATGTAAATGTTATTATTAATATCAAATGTTTTCTCACAACCATATTTTCTATTGAACACCAAAAGCAAATTCAGTAACTTTCCATGAGGCCATACCCCAGCTCTCCCCAACCCACCTAAGCATTGCCCTGAGCAACTACCATCACATAACCTTGTAAATTATCTGGGTTACTCATACCTGTATTGACCTGTATTACCTGTATTTATTTGTATTTTGAATGACCCACAGAGTCATAGCCACTGTTTGTGGTGACGGGTCATGAGTGCAGCAATAACATTCTTAGGCACATCTCTTTTCTATCAACTGTTTTGGGTCGTTAGTCTTTGGTCTTTCAGTTGTTTATATCAGGGCAGAGACTCAGAAAGATGGACTTACCAACAGGGTAACACAGGGTACAAGTACTAAACACTAAATATGTTTCAGTAAGTTAATTAAGCTGTTATTAATCATAACTGTCATAAATGTGTTCAGAAATTAGGCCAAATGATCCCAAATTGTACAAGAATAGCCTCCCTCCTCATTACAAATGCTCATTTTAGCCCTCCTTGATTGTCCTCAGTGGTCCCTTTAAACTCCACTTTCATTTGACTTTGCACTCTCTTGCACTAGTAGTGACATTCCTTAGATCACATAAAGGGGAAATATAGCCCTGAAGAATATGGTTGCAAAGTTTGTTTCCAACTTATCATTTCACATACTACCACACATTGTACTCACGTGCATTGCTAATATTTCATGCAGAGAAACATAGTATGTGTGTAAGCATCGTGAGAGGGTTTACTGAATAAATGTGTAGGATTTAAAAAGCTATACTAGCTATACTACTTTCAACACCCCTTTCTGGGTCAGTGCAGTGCGTCCGACAGTACCCTTTACCTTCCTTCCGAAAACAATCACTTAGTCAAGGGCCCTAGTGACAGGATCCTACCTCTCACAGTGCTTTAAACTGCCAACCGTCTTTAAAAGGAGATATTTATGATTTATTTATATTTATGGTTTTGATAAGTTCGCCGTATTGTACATTGCTCTCCGTTACTCTGTTTTTTGTATGGTCATTAGCAGAGTAAACATGATCCCAATTTTAGCTTCAAGATGCCAGCAATATGAAGTAGAGTAGATTGTAGATTGTGCTGATTTATTGAACCATATCGCGCGGCGTAGTTTAAAATCTCAGTGGAAAGTGCTAAAACAATGACGCCATATCTGAATTCAGCGATCTTTATGCACATTTGCCATTGTTTACCCTTTATATGTTTTTTGTCAAGTAAAAACAATACTTTTGTAGCACTTCATTAACTTAATTAAGCCATGGGATGTCACATCCCTTTCCAGGGCCCATCACCACTGTCTGTGAGGTTAGGGGCAAGATGTGGGGAGAAGTTGGAGGGGCACTGGTGTTGTTGCTGCTGCTTTCTGAAGTCTTGGACTGCATTGGTAAGTTATAATAAAGGCATAGATGTAACTGTTGCTGTATCGCAAACATACAACATTTAAGTCTTGGGAATTCCAATTTTTTATTGGGATTACATTGTATTAATTGAAATTGGCATTGTACACTGAGTTTACAAAACATTAGAAACACCTTCCTACTATTGAGTTGCACCCCCTTTTGAACTCAGACCAACCTCAATTAGTTGGGACATGGACTCTACAAAGTGTCAAAAGCATTTCACAGGGATGCTGGCCCATGTTGACTCCAATGCTTCCCCACAGTTGTGTCAAGTTGGCTGGTAGTGGATCTCTACTCCGAATAGCTTGTTTAATCTCATCCCACAGATGCTCAATTGGATTGAGATCTGGTGACTGGGCAGGCCACTGCAGTAAACTGAATTCACTGTCATGTTTGTGGAACCATTACTGGACAATCCTAGCCTTGTGGTATGGGGCAAAAATTAATTGCAGATGGATACACTGCTACCATGAGGATGCATGTACTCATGTGTTTTTCTCCATACCCTAGTCCTCCCATCAGAGTGAAACAGCAGAAACCGGGATTCATCAGACCAGGCAATGTTTTTCCAATTCTTCAGTGTCCATGTCTCAATTGTCCATTTTTTTCTTCTTAAAAACCATTCTTTAACCTGTCTCCTCCCCTTCATCAACACTGATTGAAGTGGATTTTTGACATCAATAAGGGATCATAGCTTTCACCTGGATTCACCTGGTTGAAAATAAAATAAAATAAAAACAATGTATGCACTCACTAACTGTAAGTCGCTCTGGATAAGAGCGTCTGCTAAATGACTAAAATGTAAATGTAAATGTCAGTCTATGTCATGGAAAGAGCAGCTGTTCCTAATGTTTTATACACTCAGTGTATATGGTGTTTATATGTTTTCATATTTTTTTATAAAGGGTTGGTCACCATTGAAACCAGGGTCTCATTTACAAGGGAGCCCTGTGAACATGAAGATATACAATAAAATGTAATACAACATAATGTAAAATAACAATATCAATACAATACAATAAAATACAACAAGATTAATCAAAACAAACACAACTCTCACATACAGTGGGGGAAAAAAGTATTTAGTCAGCCACCAATTGTGCAAGTTCTCCCACTTAAAAAGATGAGAGAGGCCTGTAATTTTCATCATAGGTACACGTCAACTATGACAGACAAAATGAGAAAAAAAAATCCAGAAAATCACAATGTAGGATTTTTAATGAATTTATTTGCAAATTATGGTGGAAAATAAGTATTTGGTCAATAACAAAAGTTTCTCAATACTTTGTTATATACCCTTTGTTGGCAATGACACAGGTCAAACGTTTTCTGTAAGTCTTCACAAGGTTTTCACACACTGTTACTGGTATTTTGGCCCATTCCTCCATGCAGATCTCCTCTAGAGCAGTGATGTTTTGGGGCTGTCGCTGGGCAACACAGACTTTCAACTCCCTCCAAAGATGTTCTATGGGGTTGAGATCTGGAGACTGGCTAGGCCACTCCAGGACCTTGAAATGCTTCTTACGAAGCCACTCCTTCGTTGCCCGGGCGGTGTGTTTGGGATCATTGTCATGCTGAAAGACCCAGCCACGTTTCATCTTCAATGCCCTTGCTGATGGAAGGAGGTTTTCACTCAAAATCTCACGATACATGGCCCCATTCATTCTTTCCTTTACACGGATCAGTCGTCCTGGTCCCTTTGCAGAAAAACAGCCCCAAAGCATGATGTTTCCACCCCCATGCTTCACAGTAGGTATGGTGTTCTTTGGATGCAACTCAGCATTCTTTGTCCTCCAAACACGACGAGTTGAGTTTTTACCAAAAAGTTATATTTTGGTTTCATCTGACCATATGACATTCTCCCAATCCTCTTCTGGATCATCCAAATGCACTCTAGCAAACTTCAGATGGGCCTGGACATGTACTGGCTTAAGCAGGGGGACACGTCTGGCACTGCAGGATTTGAGTCCCTGGCGGCGTAGTGTGTTACTGATGGTAGGCTTTGTTACTTTGGTCCCAGCTCTCTGCAGGTCATTCACTAGGTCCCCCCGTGTGGTTCTGGGATTTTTGCTCACCGTTCTTGTGATCATTTTGACCCCACGGGGTGAGATCTTGCGTGGAGCCCCAGATCGAGGGAGATTATCAGTGGTCTTGTATGTCTTCCATTTCCTAATAATTGCTCCCACAGTTGATTTCTTCAAACCAAGCTGCTTACCTATTGCCGATTCAGTCTTCCCAGCCTGGTGCAGGTCTACAATTTTGTTTCTGGTGTCCTTTGACAGCTCTTTGGTCTTGGCCATAGTGGAGTTTAGAGTGTGACTGTTTGAGGTAGTGGACAGATGTCTTTTATACTGATAACAAGTTCAAACAGGTGCCATTAATACAGGTAACGAGTGGAGGACAGAGGAGCCTCTTAAAGAAGAAGTTACAGGTCTGTGAGAGCCAGAAATCTTGCTTGTTTGTAGGTGACCAAATACTTATTTTCCACCATAATTTGCAAATAAATTCATAAAAAATCCTACAATGTGATTTTCTGGATTTTTTTCCCTCAATTTGTCTGTCATAGTTGACGTGTACCTATGATGAAAATTACAGTCCTCTCTCATCTTTTTAAGTGGGAGAACTTGCACAATTGGTGGCTGACTAAATACTTTTTTCCCCACTGTATCACCTTCCTTAAACGATCCAATGGAGACCAGTGAGTCTAACTTCAAGGTGGCCTGAAGGCTATTCCATGAGCTGGGGGCATTAAAACTAAAAGCATTTTCCCCCAGCTCAGTGGAGACCTGCGGGAACTCCAGAACCAGCCAGTCCAGAGAGCGGGTCTGAAAATTGCTGGATCTCTGAGGTAGTGGGGGAGTCAATGAAGAACAGCGTTAAGTACAAAAAGTAGCCCATGCTGGGCCCTTCTGGTAGTCAGAGACTCCCAGCCAACAGAACTATACAAAATGCAGTGATGTGTACGAAAATTGTCCGCAGTGATAAAAATCAGTGCTGAGTGATAGACTGAATCTAAAGGTTTTTAAACAGAGGCTGCCGTGTGCATGTACTGTAGATTATATCACCGTAATGAAGTACTGCAAGAAGAGTTGCTTGAACAATCTTTCTCCTACTTTCAAAAGTGAGGCAGGATTTATTTCTTATAAAAGAAACCAATCTTAATTCTCAGCTTTTTTGTCAGTTTTTCAATGTGTGTTTTTTTAAAGACAGCTTATCTTCAATTCAAATACCCAAGTACTTATAATGGGGAACTTGCTAGATTTGGGCTCCCTTCAATGTGCAAATACGCAGGTCCTCAGGGTCAATATTACGAGACTTAAAGAACAACATAAACTTTGTTTTATTAGCATTTAGCACTAGTTTAAGATCAGTAAGTGATTTTTGAATTGAGTCAAAACCATGCCGTCATGAATGGCCTGCTGTACTGAGGGGTCATAGGAGTAAATAACTGTATAATCCGCGTAAAGATGAATGTTACAGGTTTTAACAGATAGACCAATATTATTTATATAAATAGTGAAGAGAACAGGGCCTAAAATCGACCCCTGCGGCACACCTTTCATAATATTGAGGAAACTAGATTTGATACCGTCAGTAAGCAAACATTGTGTCCTGTCCATTATATAGTTCTTGAATCAATTGCAAGATGCCTGATCTAGGCCTATTTCAGACAAACTTTGAATAAGTAATAAATGGTCAACCATATCGAACGCCTTTGACAGGTCAAAAAATATGTTTATGGTCTAAACAATATAGCACAGCATCTAAGACAAGTGTAGCCGCTGAAACTGTGATATGTCCAGGTCTAAAACCAGATTGGTGCTCCTTAAGAATAGAATAAGAAGTTAAAACAGTTCTAAGCTGAGAGTTGCCTAGGGATCTTTGGCAAGGCAAGATAGCTTGTAAATTGGACAGTAGTTATCCAAGTCAGAAGGATCTCCGCCTTTGTGTAGAGGGAGGACTTGTGCCGTTTTCCAGATCTTAGGGATAACCCCAGTAACAATTGTCAAGTTAAATAAGTGGGGCAGACCGCTGCAGCAGAAAGGGATCAAGTGAGTCAGCCCCAGTGGATTGTTTTACATCGATCTTCAATAAGACACTTAGTACATCATAGACATCAAATGGTTGAAATGAAAATGAGGAAAGTGTATCTGGGAATGTATCGTTCTCTGCACCCTGTCTCGCGATGAGTAAAGGACTCCCAGTACTGGAATCAGAGTTTTCAGAAGCTATTCTATCATGTATGTAGCCCGCTGAGGCAAAGTGGTTATTAAAAGCACCACAAATGTCCATCTTATCTGTTATGGGACCAGAGGCTGTCATAACCTGCTGGGGTATTGAGGGGGTGAAGTTTTGTTTCAGAGATTTAACTACCTTCCAGAAGGCAGCTGGATTCCCACCATTCTCACATACACAGTTCAAGAAGTATGTCGATTTTGCTTTTCTAACCAGTGATAGACATCCATTTCTCAAGAGTCTGAAGGACTGCCAGTCAAACGTAGAATCAGTCATCCTAACCTTAGCCTGAGCTAAATTTCTCTCCTGACGTTTATCTGATAGTTACTTCGTGAACTTAGCTCTATCCTTTACCCTTCATTTCTTGAACAGTGCATGCTTATCTGCAATCATTTAGGGCCTGATCGGAGTCAGAGATAGCTGACACAACCCTCCATTCACACAATCCCAGTTCAGACAAGTATTGTTGCTTATAAAAATTCCTAAAATGGCTCTTTGTAAAACTGGTCAGACGAGATTTAGGTACAGTTGAAGTCGGAAGTTTACATACACTTAGGTTGGAGTCATTAAAACTTGTTTTTCAACCACTCCACAAATGTCTTTTTAACAAACTATAGTTTTGGAAAGTTGGTTATGACATCTACTTTGTGCATGACACAAGTAATTTTTCCAACAATTGCTTACAGACAGATTATTTCACTTATAATTCACTGTATCACAATTCCAGTGGGTCAGATGTTTACATACACTAAGTTGACTGTCCCTTTAAACAGCTTGGAAAATTCCAGTAAATGATGTCATGGCTTTAGAAGCTTTTGATAGGCTAATTGACATCATTTGAGTCAATTGGAGGTGTACCTGTGGATGTATTTCAAGGCCTACCTTCAAACTCAGTGCCTCTTTGCTTGACATCATGGGAAAATCAAAAGAAATCAACCAAGACCTCAGAAAAAAAAATGTAGACCTCCACAAGTCTTGTTCATCCTTGGGAGCAATTTCCAAATGCCTGAAGGTACCACGTTCACTGTACAAACAATAGTATGCAAGTATAAACACCATGGGACCACGCAGCCGTCATACCGCTCAGGAAGGAGACTCGTTCTGTCTCCTACTGATGAATGTACTTTGGTGCGAAAAGTGCAAATCAATCCCAGAACAACAGCAAAGGACCTTGTGAAGATGCTGGAGGAAACAGGTACAAAAGTATCTATATCCGCAGTAAAACGAGTCCTATATCAACATAATCTGAAAGTGCGCTCAGCAAGGAAGAAGCCACGGCTCCAAAACCGCCATAAAAAAGCCAGACAATGGTTTGCAACTGCACATGGGGACAAAGATCGTACTTTTTGGAGAAATGTCCGCTGGTCTGATGAAACAAAAATAGAACTGTTTGCCCATAATGACCATCGTTATGTTTGGAGGAAAATGGGGGGGCTTGCAAGCCGAAGAACACCATCCCAACCGTGAAGCACGGGGGTGGCAGCATCATGCTGTGGGGGTGCTTTGCTGCAGGAGGGACTTCACTTCACAAAATAGATGGCATCATGAGGAAGGAAAATTATGTGGATATATTGAAGCAACATCTCAAGACATCAGTCAGGAAGTTAAAGCTTGGTCGCAAACGGTCTTCCAAATGGACAATGAACCCAAGCATACTTCCAAAGTTGTGGCAAAATGGCTTAAGGACAACAAAGTGGCCATCACAAAGCCCTGACCACAATCCTATAGACAATGTGTGGGCAGAACTGAAAAAGCGTATGCGAGCAAGGAGGCCTACAAACCTGACTCAGTTACACCAGCTCTGTCAGGAGGAATGGGCCAAAATTCACCCAACTTATTGTGGGAAGCTTGTGGAAGGTTACCCAAAACATTTGACCCAAGTTAAACAATTTAAAAGCAATGCTACCAAATACTAATTGAGTGTATGTAAACTTCTGACCCACTGGGAATGTGATGAAAGAAATAAAAGCTGAAATAAATAATTCTCTCTACTATTATTCTGACATTTCACATTCTTAAAAAAAAGTGGTGATCCTAACTGACCAAAGACAGGGAATTTTTACTAGGATTAAATGTCAGGAATTGTGAAAAACTGAGCTTAAATGTATTTGGCTAAGGTGTATGTAAACTTCCGACTTCAACTGTAGCTTTGCATCTCTTATGCAGGCAACGGGATAAGAGCCACTGAACTCATTAGCAAAAACTGCTTATGAGGGGCTTTTGTCAAAACAATATCTAAAAGAGTAGATTTTTCATGGTGTTTAAAGTTGGGGCGGGTTGGTTCACTTATCAGTTAAGTTAGATTTAGCTCAATGCCGATATCTTTCAGCCTATCAGAAGCTGGCATCAACTAATCCAGATTAAGATCACCCACAATTAATACTTCAGATTTAGTATAGTTAGATAGCAAGTCAGACAATCGGCTAAGAGCACATGTTGAGGCAGGGCATTATTACCAAGGCCCTCATTTAGGACTAGACATTCAAATTGCTTAGCGACTGAGGTAGTGAGAGGTCCAGAAACATTTAAATTGTCCTTTGTAAATATGGCGACACCCCAACCTCTGCCAACTCTATCAGATCTATAAACATTATGTCCACATCAATTTTCAAGATCAAACTTATGGCATTAACATGAATCAGTCCAGGGCTGCGAGACCTCAAATCAGACGGAGTCTCCAACACAAGCATACTATGTTCAGTGGGCAGTCCCACATTTGAAAATACTATAGGGCTGGCCCAAATTTGTACAGATATAAGATTGCATAGAACTGCACCATTGGGCCTATGCCTCGAGCGAGAACGTGGAATAAAATAAGAGTCAATGAGGGTTACCTTACATGTGCTTGCTCCAGTAGACCTAACAGCATCACATCACTGAATGACTCTTAGCACAGAGCTAATGTTGGTTGATAGCAGTCTGCATCCTTTTTCATTAAGATGAAACCCGTCATGTTTTCATATATTCGTAATATAATAATACAATTGTATTGAATTTCTATAGAGCTTTTCATAACCATTTCAATGCGCTTCAAAAGCAAAAAACAAACAAGAAATACATCCTCATGAGTAGCCTAGCTATAGTTAGCTAGGTCAACCAATAGAGGCCAAGTCTTTGAGTGCATGCATCCTACAAAGATGGAGAGGGACAGTTCATGGCTTGATCAGAGGAATGTGGTCAGGTGGCTCCTATCCCCATCAAAGTTGCCCTTCCTTGCTCTAATGCATCTCCCATTCCTCTCAAGCTTCAGGCGACTCTTCAATTTACTGTATTTTTTTAGTTTCCCGCTGTATCATTCGAACAAAACCAATTAGCCAGCTAGCTAACTAGAACTCAGAGCGCTGGAATTCCATAACTACTAGAATGGCCATGACAGTCATTCTGATGTTGATATTTCAATTGTGTAAATATTCCAGAATAAATAATGCATTTATTATGTTAACATGGGTCATAGGAAACCTCAGGACACCAAATGTAAATTGGAATCAGTCAGAAAAATGATTAATTTATCCAGAAGCGCATAGACTGTAAATACTAAAGTATTTTCTGACTGTAAGACAACAGTTGCCTGCCCAGCTAGCCCGTCCAATATACACCTAAACTATATTCAAACTAATTTCACACATATAATTATAATAATAATAATAATAATAATAATAGATGTGGCCTAAAGACAAGATTAAATTGACAATAGTCTGATGGGTGACAATATTATTAATTGTCAAATAGAGAATGAAGAGACTGATGACCAGCGCAGCGTGCATTGAGAAAGAAGGGAATGGAGCTTACCAAATAGCACTTTTTCCATATCAACCTAGAGGTCCCTGCAGGCCAGATGTTTTGATTGCTATACCCTATCAGAAAAAGCAGATTCCAAGGTTTCTAATTAACCTATTTTTGGTCTCTGCTTCAAAATATTACTTTTTCCTAGAATAACTGTGGCTCCATGCATGTTCCTCATCTAAGTAAGCTACTGTCGAATATCAGCAATAGCCATTTTGGAAAAATATACTTTAATATTCTTCTGAGTTTCACCCCTTTTGCCCTCAGAACAGCCTCAATTTGTCGGGGCATGGACTCTACAAGGTGTCGAAAGCATTCCACAGGGATGCTTGTCCATGTTTACTCCAATGCTTCCCACAGAATTGTCAAGTTGTCTGGATGTCCTTTGGGTGGTGGACCATTCTTGATACACACGGGAAACAGTTGAGCGTGAAAAACCCAGCAGCGTTGCAGTTCTTGACACAAACCGGTGCACCTGGCATCTACTACCATATCCCGTTCAAAGGCACTTCAATCTTTTGTCTTGCCCATTCACCCTCTGAATGGTACACATACACAATCCATGTCTCAATTGTCTCAAGGCTTAAAAAACATTATTTAACCTGTCTCCTCCTCTGATTTACGTAGATTTAACCAGTGACATCAATAAGAGATCATAGCTTTCACCTGGATTCAACTGGTCAGTCTATGTCATGGAAAGAGCAGGTGTTCTTAATGTTTTGTACACTCAGTGTACATGTAAACAGGGCTAAAAGTGAGTGGTAGCAGGAATATATACATACTTATGGTAATATACTAATGGCAATATTACATGTAAACAGGAGTAATAGTCACCACTAGCAGGATAAATAGATGTATACTAATGGTAATGGCAATCAATAATCAATTAACAGCATTGTAGTGGTAGTAATACATCTAATCAATAATCATTTTAGCAGTAGTTGTTAGCCATTTAACAGTCTTATGGCCAGGGGATAGAAGCTGTTAAGGAGTCTGTTGGTCTGAGCCTTGATGCACTGGTACCGCATGCCGAACAGTCCATGTCTCGGGAGTCTTTGGCAATTTTCCTGGCATATAAATATAGATGTTCCACAACATGTTATGTGCAGTTACAGGTAGATTGTCATGAGCTAATGTCCAGCTGTGGTCTGTGTGTGCACCCAGGTATCTCTCCCCCAGGGAAACCTGTGCTCATCAACTGTCGATCCCCTGAGAAGGAGACCTTTACATGCCGGTGGGAGCCTGGTTTTGATGGAGGACTACCCACAACCCAGCACCTCTACTACCAGAAAGAAGAGTTCGTAGCACCCATTTTAATCATTTATATTTTGGTTGTGTTCACTGTTGATTTGTAGGTCTAGAGTCAAGACCACTCTTATTATGATTATATGGTGCTAGTTCTAGTTACCCAGCTTCAACATTATTGATATGTGTATTGAAGCTGTCCTGTGTCAGCACTGAACACCATTGAAATCCACTGACTGTAGAAAAGTACTAGTCTCCATACAGTCTCCATACTTAACACGTGCAAGATCAGTCAACTGAGTACACAACTTTGTTTCTGAGTTACCTACCTCTGACTTATCAATTTCATCAGAGCAGTCAACCAGCCCTGCATTGCAAAACAGCCTTGAGTGTTCACGTGTTGTATTTATCTAAATTGATGTAATGCGAGCTTTATTGTGAGGCCCGCACCAGCACACATCACCAGCATTCACCCCTATGAATGTCAGAAAAGGTATTGTTTGTCTTTGTGCAGCTCCGATGGAATGTACGAGTGTCCAGATTACCAAACTGCAGGGAGCAACTCGTGCTTCTTCAACAAGAGCCACACCTCTATATGGGTCAACTACAACATCACGGTGGTGGCCATCAACTCTCTGGGCAGCACTGTCTCTGACCCACTGGAGGTGGATGTCATGTATATTGGTAAGCTGCTCTCCCGATGTTAGAAATAATCAATCGATCATTCATGCATTAACAACTTTTTTGATTAGTTGACACTTTAGGTAGCAGAGCTTGCAGCACACAAACCTACAGTAGAATATTCATCAGTCACCACAAGTCAATTTACTGTAAAGCAGTATCCCTGAGAATAGAAAAATACACACTGACTGGTTTGGACACAGGAACCACCTGAATTTACTGGACTAGAATGAGAATGAGCTGGTTTGTGTCCTGTGCATAACTTAGATCATGTTTAATATCTTGTAGTATGTGGTCACATGCTCCCGACCCGACTGTGTAGACTCTGGCTTACTTTTTGTTTGTTTTGTCATTGGATAAATGCAAAGAAAACAAATTGGGTTATTGATGTGTTACTTTATTGACAGGTGGCTGGAATTGTGTATTATATTGATCTACTCCATTATGACCAAAAAACAAACAAATAATTGAAAAACAGGAAAACAAAATATTACAATGTTTAGACTATATTTATAAAACCTGATTTGATTTGCATATGTTTGAGGGAACATCCATTCTTATGTCTATATAGAGCAGGGATGGGCAACTTTGATGGGGGTGAGGGCCACAAAAAATCTGGACTCATCATGAGGAGCTGCAGTGACTAGCGGGTCTGTGTACCAACATCCATACCCAAATACTGTATGCAGGCAGAGCCGGCCCTAGCCTTTTGGAAATTGCCCCCAATTTGCGAGCAAAACATTGACAGCGCAGCGTTTTGGATTTAATTTCCTGTAATTCTACACATTTTGCCAGGGGGTAGAGAACATTTTGCAGTTTTGAAGCAAGTTCGCTGCAATTCTACATATTTTGCCATGGGGCGGAGAGAAGATTTTGTAATTTGATAACTCATTTCATACAATTCTACTCATATTACCATGGGGCAGAGAGAAAAATGTGCCGTTTTACAGCTAATTTCCTGCAATTCTACATATTTTGCCATAGGGTGGAGAGAAATGTTTTCAGTTTTTTATATTATATCTGAGTGAGCGTGACTAACAAAATCAATGGGGGCCCACCGGTCGGTAATTCGACCATGGTTACTACAAGTTTAGATAGCTGGCTAGACTAATTTACCAATCTAAAACATTTTAGCTGACATGGGTTAAGTGACTGACTGTCAGTTGACTGACATAACAAGACAAAAACTGCTGATGCACAACCACATTTCGAAATTGCTCCTTATGTATTCTACTATTCTAACTCTCAACAGTAAATTGAGACCCCGACTGAGGTCCCCCCCCCCCCACCCCCCCCAAAAAAACGTATTTTTTTATTTTTATTAATCCGCGGGTCTACAAAAGGGGGGGTGGGCCGTCAGTTGCCCATCCCTGATATAGAACATACTGTATATGGATCAAGTGTATTGGAGCCCTACAGAAATTGGTTGTGTTCTAACTGTGCTTCATGCAGTCCAGCCCAATGCCCCAGAGAATGTGACAGTGTCTGTGGTGGAGACTGAGGAGAGCCCACACCTCCTGGTGAAATGGGATCCCCCTCACGAGGCCGACACACGCTCTGGCTGGATCACTCTCACCTACCAACTACGGGTGAAACGACAGAATAAGAAGGACAAGTGGGAGGTGTGTTTGCGGATGGGTTACTCTATAGAGTAGACAGACAAGGCAAAAAGAGATTTGATAAATTCCCCGTTATTTATTTTACTCTCATTGTACTTTACTCAGCTAGAGGGTCAATATGTAGGAATGTATATAAAGTTTGAGTTTAAGAAATGTAAATGTTGCCTTATTTATTAACTGTTTAGTATCCATTTAGTTGATGTTATATACAAACAGTTGTTCAGGTCCAGGCTCTTCTTAGTTTCCTTGTATTTGTCTTTACAGGAGTATGCCTCAGGGAAGCAGACCCAGTTGATCATCTACAGTCTGCATCCAGGAGAGGTCTACATGGTCCAGGTTCGCTGTGAACTAGACCATAGCCTCTGGAGCGAGTGGAGCACCACTATACACACGGAGGTCCCTGACTGTAAGATTTTTTATGATTCTTTTATTTCCATCAACAAGTTGCAGAGGTCAATGGTTCTATGCTATCTTGGTCCTTACTGTACCACTTTGTGGCATCCAAGGTGGTTGATGTACAGATGGGATCAAGGTTATCTGTCCACCAGTAAGAGAATTTCAGATAAGCAGAAAGTGCATAGTGAACATACTTGGACATACAATACTTACTGTTGATATAAAGCAGGGTTGTGCTCAATTCAGAATTTGGGAACTGACTCCTATTCAACTTAAATTGGGAGAGGCTATATGGACACATCTGCAGGGTAGGGGAGTAAAGGAATACATGTGAACTGTAACTGTAATCTGTTACGTTCCCAGCAAAAATATTCCATTCAGATCGCAGATACTTTTGAAAAACTATTACATTAGGATTACATTAAAATTCAGAAATATTTGACACCTTTCTGTTTTCTCAATGACATTCAAATCATCATTGAAAAAGGCGCAAGTTTAAGTTTGTTCCGCCTGAGCGAGTCTGACCACAAGTCAGAGACCGCTATGATAACACACCAAAATGTTTTTGATGGTTCGCGAGAAGAGCAGGAATAGGCTAATGTCCAAGCTATGTCTTCCAATGGTGCGACTGCTGTCGGCATCAAAAGAATATCCAACTTGAATAAACACATGGAGGTAAGGACGGCAGCAATCGTGTAGCCTACAGGAGATACGGATAGCACTTATTATTGATATCTAGGCTATATAGGGCATTGGTGTGAATCACACTGCTGCTCTCATTTGTCTATTTCAGCTTTATGGATAATGATTGCTGTTCACAAATGTACGTATATGTGTATTTTTAACCCAATAATGGTTGAATTGAAGAAGTTTAAACTGCCTATCAATCATTGTTTTTGCGACCAGGGATGCATTGATTACGGAAACCGTTTACCGTTTAAGAACCAAATGGAAGCAAACTGAGCAAAACAAGAGTTTCTATTGGACAAATTCAGGTAGGTCCCTCCCCGTTTCGTTCGCTTCCGTTTAAGAACAACAGCTGCAGAGATAGGTTGGGTGGGATCCGCACTATCAAATAAAAGTTTGATTCCTCCCTTCTAAACGGCCCCGTGGTATTGTGCTCCATACTGTCATAAAGTTTTATTTAAGAACACCACGAGTGGGGCTTTTATTGCTCAATCTAATTCGTGCTGATTGAAAAATAAAATGTCCATAGGCCTAACGGACACATGCTCAAACTGGGGCACTTTTGATAGACTTAAACAGCTGCAAATGATCGCGATATCAAAGTGTCAGCAACAAAAACGTAAACAATAGGCCTATAGCAAATGCAGCATATGGCATACATTTTTCACATGCAAATAGTATACAAGCTCATACAGCGCAATGCAACGTGACTGTGACTGCACACATTTGAGATCAAAGGGGTTCCCGCCGCACGTGTACTACAAAACATAACACCGTCATCTTCAATACAGGGCAACAACTGCACAATGAACTTGAAGACCTCTAAACAGTGAAATACAATGTAATACCCACATACTGATATACCATACACCTATACAATAGCAGGGCATATAAACGACGCACTGGGGCACATTATCCTATACAAATATAGGGTTAAATGTCCGAAATGATATGACAACCAAAACAGAGCTAGCCAGCTCACAGCAGTAGAAACTACTAATTAGCATACCCATAAATATGACATTATCGTCGCAGAGTGCATCTTCAGACATAAACACCTGAAAGATATGTACTTGCGTATCAATAAGGACGTACACTGGCCTTGGCTAACACAATGAAAGCTAACTGGTGGGAAAACACAAGGATGGCTGGAACTTTCTCTCACTTGACTTCTCTCGAGCTGATCTTCTGCTCCACTTCACCGGTGGGCGGAGCTACAGCTCTGATATGATGAACTAACATTACTGATATGATTAAATACAAATAGTTCACAGCCTTTCGTACAGTAACTGTAACGGATTACATTTAGAAAGTAACGTACCCAACCCTGGCCTGCACGCCTTGTGCCCAAATTGTACGTTGCGCAGCTGAGAGTCAAGTGGAGACGAATGGATTTGGTTCAGTCAGTCGTCCTGATGAGCCCCTCCCGGCAAGCTATACTGAACAACAATCTAAACACAACATGCAACAATTTCAAGATTTTATTGAGTTACAGTTCATATAAGGAAATCAGTAAATTGAAATAAATAAATTCTATGGATTTTTCATGACTGGGCAGGGGCGCAGCCATGGGTGGGCCTAGGGAACCAGGCCCAGCCAATCAGAATTAGTTTTCCCCCACTAAAGGGCTTTATTACAGACAGAAATACTCCTCAATTTCATCAGCTGTCCGGGTGGCTTGTCTCAGATGATCCTGCAGGTGAAGAAGCCAGATGTGTAGGTCCTGGGCTGGTGTGGTTACACGTGGGCTGCGTTTTTTAGTCCGGTTACACGTACTGCCAAATTCTCTAAAACGACCTTGGAGGCGGCTTATGGTAGAGAAATTAACATTACAGTCTCTGGCAACAGCTCTGGTGGACATTCCTGCAGTCAGCATGCCAATTGCACGCTCCCTCAAAACTTGAGACATCTGTGGCATTGTGTTGTGACAAAACTGCACATTTTAGAGTGGCCTTTTATTGCCCCCAGCACAAGGTGCACCTGTGTAATGATCATGCTTCATAATCAGCTTCTTGATATGCCACAACAAATTTGTGGACAACATTTTAGAGAAATAAGCTTTTTGTGCGTTTGGTACATTTCTGGGATCCATTATTTCTGCTTATGTAACATGGGACCAACACTTTACATGTTGCTTTTATATTTTTGTTCAGTATAGTTTATGCTGGCTAGCTGACAACAACAGCAGCAGCATGGCGCTAGTTAAAACTTGTAAAATAATGTTTATTTCGATGGGCGAGAGAGAAATCAATTGTAGTATTGGTCACCATCTGGATGTCCCCGTGACATGCCAATTAGTTAACATAACGACAAGCCATTGCGAATGACCAGTGCAATGATGTTGTATCAATGTGCTTGCTAGCGTCTTTGCTCCGGGCGACAGAAGAGGCTAGTACTTGCCGACGTGAGTTGCTTCCCACTGGACAGAAGTTGCTTCCCATTGGGAAGCTGTATCACATGTCGGCGGTGGTAGCTAAAGTGGCCAATTTGTTCCATCCCATTTGATTTTATTTCGAGTATGATAACAACCTTCACGAGAAATAACTTGTAGTATTGGTATTGGGTACTGGTAACAGTCTGGATGTCACTGTGATATAGTCTACTGCTCAATGGGGAGAGTGCTGCTAGCCGGTAACACAACAGTGTCCTTCGCTCCTGCTTACCGCAGTTAGGAGGGAAGTAGCTAGATAGGATAGCCAATATCAGGCGAGGGTGACAGCTAAAGCTAAAGCACATGTATTGTAGGGATTTTCACCGAAAATGTACAATTATGGCATTAACCTCTACATTTTTGTTTTAAAAAACACAAACAATTACTCCCGATAAAGACGGAATGATTCTGAACAAGCTCGCAAGTCCCAACTTCGGCAGACAAGTTTTTAATTATTGCTGAAGTTTCGAGCCACATCTATAAACTAGTTAGCTGGGAAGGGCTCATCAGGACGACTGACTGACTCAATCCGTTCGTCTCCACTTGACTCTTGCTGCGCGACATACGTCATCAATTAGAGCACCAGAACACCTCTCCCGTTCAATTCGAATTTAATTGACCACACCCCACAGGATGTCGAGTTTTATTTGAGTTTGAGTGATAGGAAGTAAAATGTAATTCAGTGCAATTCAAAGAAATTCCACAAAGTCATAGTTTCATTGAATCTGACAGGTCACACTTCCGGATACCAAAGAATATATCATTTTTCTCTGGAAACAATGTTCATATACTCTTTTAACCTTAGTGCTTAGAGTAGCCAATGATATTTCCACCAACCGTTTTTTTGGTTTGGCTTCTTTTTGAAGGTTTTAGGGTCAACTTGAGGGTTTTTATTGATATTTAATTTATTGTATTTTTTATTTAACCTTAATTTAACTAGGCAAGTCAGTTAAGAACAAATTCTTATTTACAATGACGGCCTACCCCGGCCAAACCCGGACGACGCAGGGCCAATTTTTGGGCTAAACTAATGCATTCTGGGAAATGTTGTATTTTCCCCATATTTAAGAAAATTTAAGTGATTAATGGGGCGGCGCACAATTGGCCCAGGGTAGGGGAGGGAATGGCCGGCAGGGATGTAGCTCAGTTGGTAGAGCATGGCGTTTGCAACGCCAGGCTTGTGGGTTCGATTCCCACGGGGGGGCAGTATGAAAAAATAAAAAATAATGTATGCACTCACTAACTGTAAGTCGCTCTGGATAAGAGTGTCTGCTAAATGACTAAAATGTAAATGTATTAATGAAATATAATAACTTAGAATATTTGCATACAGGTTTTGTTTTTCTTAATAATTAAATGTAATAGTTTGTCCTGAAACTCAATTGTTTCAACAATATTTTATATGCATATATATAGCGACATGTTTGATGTTTTATGTATAATATGTATATTTGTATAGTTTGCACCTTAGAATAGAAGAGCCATTTGAATTTCACTGAATTAAATTATATTTCCTTTAATAAAAATTTGAATTGCAATTCTGTATCCTGTTTACTACTTCAATTCAAATTCAATTCATTAATTGACTTGGAATTTATGAGGCATTCTCAATTACGTTCTGAATTGAGCACAACCCTGATATACAGTATGCATTTGAAATTCAGTCTGAAGCTGTTCTCTCCCATGTGTTTGTTTTGTGCGTGTTTTGTAGACACTCTGAAGGAGCGATCGATCTGGATTGTGGTTGCCGTCTTTTCTGCTTTTATACTCCTGCTTGTTACCTTCACCCTGGCTATGAAGAGAAAATAGTATGTATTTTTCTTAAAAAGAATATTTTAAAAGTATTATTTTCAAATTATCTATAATATATTCAAATTGTGAGTACCATACAAACTATGTTCTTTGCCATCTTTTTTGTCCCAGTGTGAAGCTTTGTCTTCTGCCTCCTGTTCCTGGTCCAAAGATATCAGGACTAGATACACAACTCCTCAAGGTAAAGTGCAATGTACTTGTCCATTTTATACTAAATTCTTATTTTGCTCTTCTCCCAACCCCCAGACAGCACAGAAACAGACACACAAAAATTATTCGGAACATGAATTTAGACATGCAGGTCTACATTTTAAGATAATATTTCCCTCCTCCAGTATTGTTCATCTTATGCAACTCTCTTCCAGAGTGGGCGGTCTGATGACATTCTCAGCTCTCTGATCAACCAGGGCTTTCCTCCCACCATGGCCACTAAGGACCAGCAGGTAGACTATCTGCTGGTGTTTGATAGTGAACAGGTGACACCAGATCTTCAGAATGGACAAACAAGGACAAAAAACTCCATAGATCATGGTCGCCATGACCACAGCCTGTTGATGGAGGCTAAGAATAAGGAAGTAAAAGTTGATGGCGGCAGAGAGACAGTGGAACAGGGTAATACTGAGGGGCTTGAATCTACGTTTAGGAATACCAAGAGCCTGTCCACTGACGTTACAGCTCATCCGTGTCCTCAGAAGAAGCCATTCAACAATGTTACTGAAACGCCAAAGCAAGCACCTGTTTCCAGCAAGCATCGATCCTTAAGCCATCATAAAGATCTCTGGGACAGCTTAGCCAGACAACATCTAGACTACAGGGAAACAGTGGTCAAGAGCCAATCAAACTGTGATGACAAACATAATTTGTCATCACAGAATATTGTGACTCCCTCGAAGGACATTGGTTATGTGGAAGTTCAGAGGTGGAAAAAGAGCATAGGCCTACAGGTGCTGGTACCCGAGGTGGATCAGAGGCAGGAGGACTATAGCAAAGTGAGTGTGGTGGAGAATGATAATGTAGTGCTGCTCAAGAGAGAAACGGTCCCCCTCAATTGCACTTCCTGTAAGGTGAGAGGCAATCAATCAGAGAAATGTCTCCACCAGAAGCCATGTAAACCTCATATAACAGTGCCTGCAAAAGAGGGAGTGCATATAGGATCTAATGGTTATGTGGAGCCTGTTACTATATCACACATTTTGTAAAACGTCATTTTGTCTGAAATGACATTTGGGACATTGCAATGAAACAAATGAAAAAATAAATACTCAGGATAGATTGTGACATTTTCACTGACAAGAGAATTGACTATAATGTCATGTTCCTCAGGATATAGGTTTTTGTATGTACTGTATACAGTGACCGGATAAATATGGTATTTTCTGATTAGTAATTATTGTATGTCTTGAGATTAAAACACTGGCCACAAGTTACACACAAGAAAGCGTAACAAGGAAACTCACTTAACGAAAACGTTCCATATTCAAGAGTCAAGACAATTGATGAATGTTGAATGAGATTTTTCATTGTAATTGCTTAAAGAAGAATAACTGATTTTTTTGTACAGCTTTGATCATTTTGATTTGGGGGCAGTTTTACTGCATTGACACTACAGTCACATTCAAAATGATGCATCAGAAGGAATACAATTTAAATACAAACAATGAATGTAAAAAATACAATATATATCACTTTAGATCATTATTGGTCACTGTTAACCATATCATTAATTTAATATGTTATAAAATACTCAATTTAACAATAAAAAAAAGTATTGCACATGAATGTCTTTATTACAAGAATGTAACAAAGAAAAGTAAATTTACTAAATTAGATCAGCTTCATTTGCTACTTGATAATTAGTCAATGACAACAAAATAACAAAACACTGTCTCTGTTAGGTGTAAAATTATAATTTTATTGTTTGGCTAATGTCGAAGACCGATAGTTCATATCAGTGTATATGACAGCAGACATTTGTTGACTGGTGTAGCCTCAAAGAAACAAAACTTCACTGAATCTCAACCTTATACAGTAAGTACACATGATTGACAAAGGAAAGAATATGTCTAATTTGAACACAGGCAAACAAAACATAGCATTTTAGTTTTGGTGGCATTTCCATTGGTTCAGGAAGAAGAAAAAAACTACTGTGGACCTCTGCAACACAATTCTGAAGGCCATGTCTCTCATCCCAACATCTTTCACAGATATAAAGTGTACTTTGATTGATTCTAATTTATTTAGGCACATTAGGTAAATAAACCTATCTCAAATTGTTCTGCATACTCAGTCATCATGGAGCAGTGTAAATACATGCTGAAGGGTCACTTCTAGTGATTGGTTTGGTCCCAGGAAATAGATCAATTTCGATCCCTGCCTGCATCTGAAATGGCACAATATTCCCTAACCTATCATAGGGCTCTGGCAAAAAAAATAGTGCACTATATAGGGAATAGGGTGCCATTTCGGATGCAACGTCGGGGAGGTTCCCAGATGGTTTCGTAACTAACATGGCACTTTCTATCGACAACCTAGCCCCACTGTGGGGGCAGTTACAATTGTCAAATCTATATACAATGATCAATCTTTTGTATGTGAAGTGAACAACATTTTCCAAATGAAGCACTTAGCAGCTCTACGAGTGGTCTGGGTCATTAAGAGAAATGGGGTGCCATGTTGGCTACTACGAAGCCTTCAGGAAACTCATTCCTGGTTAATCGTGCTATAGTGTGCCATCATCTCAAGTATTTCCTTCAGGACTGATAGTCAGCGCTGGCATCAAGTGGCTTTTTAGGCACAGTCTCCATCAACTCTTCTCATCCTCATCCATCTGTTCTTTACAGTCACTGGCCCTGGGGACAGAGCTAAACTGCTCCTCAAAGTTTAAAAACTTGTGATTGCATTCCTTCTCCAGCATTTTCTTCCACAGTTTTACTGAAAGAAAGGGATGTAGAGAAAATAAACAAATCATTGAGCAGTCATTCATTCAGTTAGTACCTCACCGTACAGAAACTAAGCAGAGAAACAGGCTTGGTAAATAACTGTTTTTCTTATCAGCTAAGATACAATTTACACTTAACTTTTCTAAGCCCAAATCTGGCCACCCATGCATCACCAAGGCAAAAGTGACAGACAATGTAGGGAATGTAGCTAAATGGAAATGAAACTAGGGAAATGTATGAAGGAGATTCTAGTCATGGCAGATTCCACAGGAGTATTTAGCATAATGTAAATTGGCTTTTGACAGTCAGTGAATGGAATTTGTTCACTTACTGTACTCTGGCTCCGGTGCTTCTGAGCAGGCTGGAGGAGGTGGCAGTGGCCCAGTGCTCAGCTGATCCTCTTGGTTCTCCTGTTCTCCTTGTGATGTCAACTCCAAGTTTTCTATCATCACCTCATAGGCTCTCCTCGCCTCTGACGACAGCTCAATCATTTTGTGGTAATGGTCCTGTAGAATCAAAGACAATCCGTAACCACATCCACGCACGCACCACGTAACAATTTCAAGAGAACCATGAGCTTCTTAGTCTCTGGTCTGTATCATGCAATATGTGACAAGTCTCCAACATTGTGTCATTTATACTAAACAAAAATGTCCAGCAGCACTTACTAAGCCTCCAGTTTTATTGAATGCCCATACCTGTGCTCCGTCATAGTTGAAGATGCCCACCAGGCTGACAGGAACAGCTTTGTTGACACACCGGCCCAGGGCCTTCCTGGAGAGGGCAAACACAAAGGGAACGCCCTGCTCCCGACAGGTGTCAATGATGGTGTGGAGAGCTTCATCCAGACCGCCTGTGGAAGAGGGAATACATGATCTTTAGCATTGTGCACTGTAAACACTGAAAAAAGGGCAAAACATGAGAACAGATGATTTGACCTACTTTGGATAAACATGCCATTTTAGAATGACTGGGTATTGTCATTTTGCTCTTGCATGTGCAATATAAACACAATGAAAAACAACAATTCTAAGCGCCAATGGTGAGATAATTGGGACCACTCATATGTAAAAATATATACACACACATTACTGTAAGTCGCTTTGGATAAAAGCGTCTGCTAAATGGCATTATATATATATTATTTATATATATATATATATATACACACACACACACACACAGTGGGGAAAAAAAGTATTTAGTCAGCCACCAATTGTGCAAGTTCTCCCACTTAAAAAGATGAGAGAGGCCTGTAATTTTCATCATAGGTACACGTCAACTATGACAGACAAAATGAGCATTTTTTTCCAGAAAATCACATTGTAGGATTTTTAATGAATTTATTTGCAAATTATGGTGGAAAATAAGTATTTGGTCAATAACAAAAGTTTCTCAATACTTTGTTATATACCCTTTGTTGGCAATGACACAGGTCAAACATTTTCTGTAAGTCTTCACAAGGTTTTCACACACTGTTGCTGGTATTTTGGCCCATTCCTCCATGAAGATCTCCTCTAGAGCAGTGATGTTTTGGGGCTGTCGCTGGGCAACACGGACTTTCAACTCCCTCCAAAGATTTTCTATGGGGTTTAGATCTGGAGACTGGCTAGGCCACTCCAGGACCATGAAATGCTTCTTACGAAGCCACTCCTTCGTTGCCCGGCGGTGTGTTTGGGATCATTGTCATGCTGAAAGACCCAGCCACGTTTCATCTTCAATGCCCTTGCTGATGGAAGGAGGTTTTCACTCAAAATCTCACGATACATGGCCCCATTCATTCTTTCCTTTACACGGATCAGTCGTCCTGGTCCCTTTGCAGAAAAACAGCCCCAAAGCATGATGTTTCCACCCCCATGCTTCACAGTAGGTATGGTGTTCTTTGGATGCAACTCAGCATTCTTTGTCCTCCAAACACGACGAGTTGAGTTTTTACCAAAAAGTTATATATTTTGGTTTAATCTGACCATATGACATTCTCCCAATCCTCTTCTGGATCATCCAAATGCACTCTAGCAAACTTCAGACGGGCCTGGACATGTACTGGCTTAAGCAGGGGGACACGTCTGGCACTGCAGAATTTGAGTCCCTGGCGGCGTAGTGTGTTACTGATGGTAGGCTTTGTTACTTTGGTCCTAGCTCTCTGCAGGTCATTCACTAGGTCCCCCCGTGTGGTTCTGGGATTTTTGCTCACCGTTCTTGTGATCATTTTGACCCCACGGGGTGAGATCTTGCGTGGAGCCCCAGATCGAGGGAGATTATCAGTGGTCTTGTATGTCTTCCATTTCCTAATAATTGCTCCCACAGTTGATTTCTTCAAACCAAGCTGCTTACCTATTGCAGATTCAGTCTTCCCAGCCTGGTGCAGGTCTACAATTTTGTTTCTGGTGTCCTTTGACAGCTCTTTGGTCTTGGCCATAGTGGAGTTTGGAGTGTGACTGGTTGAGGTTGTGGACAGGTGTCTTTTATACTGATAACAAATTCAAACAGGTGCCATTAATACAGGTAACGAGTGGAGGACAGAGGAGCCTCTTAAAGAAGAAGTTACAGGTCTGTGAGAGCCAGAAATCTTGCTTGTTTGTAGGTGACCAAATACTTATTTTCCACCATAATTTGCAAATAAATTCATAAAAAATCCTACAATGTGATTTTCTGGATTTTTTCCCCTCAATTTGTCTGTCATAGTTGACGTGTACCTATGATGAAAATTACAGGCCTCTCCCATCTTTTTAAGTGGGAGAACTTGCACAATTGGTGGCTGACTAAATACTTTATTTCCCCACTGTATATACACACACACACACACACACACACACACACACTGCTCAAAAAAATTAAGGGAACACTAAAATAACACATCCTAGATCTGAATGAATGAAATAATCTTATTAAATACTTTTTTCTTTACATAGTTGAATGTGCTGACAACAAAATCACACAAAAATTATCAATGGAAATCAAATGTTTCAACCCATGGAGGTCTGGATTTGGAGTCACCCTCAAAATTAAAAGTGGAAAACCACACTACAGGCTGATCCAACTTTGATGTAATGTCCTTAAAACAAGTCAAAATGAGGCTCAGTAGTGTGTGTGGCCTCCACGTGCCTGTATGACCTCCCTACAACACCTGGGCATGCTCCTGATGAGGTGGCGGATGGTCTCCTGAGGGATCTCCTCCCAGACCTGGACTAAAGCATCCGCCAACTCCTGGACAGTCTGTGGCAACGTGGCGTTGGTGGATGGAGCGAGACATGATGTCCCAGATGTGCTCAATTGGATTCAGGTCTGGGGAACGGGCGGCCCAGTCCATAGCATCAATGCCTTCCTCTTGAAGGAACTGCTGACACACTCCAGCCACATGAGGTCTAGCATTGTCTTGCATTAGGAGGAACCCAGGGCCAACCGCACCAGCATATGGTCTCACAAGGGGTCTGAGGATCTCATCTCGGTACCTAATGGCAGTCAGGCTACTTCTGGCGAGCACATGGAGGGCTGTGCGGCCCCCCAAAGAAATGCCACCCCACACCATGACTGACCCACCGCCAAACCGGTCATGCAGAACGTTCTCCACGGCATCTCCAGACTCTGTCTGTCACATGTGCTCAGTGTGAACCTGCTTTCATCTGTGAAGAGCACAGGGCGCCAGTGGCGAATTTGCCAATCTTGGTGTTCTCTGGCAAATGCCAAACGTCCTGCACGGTGTTGGGCTGTAAGCACAACCCCCATCTGTGGACATCGGGCCCTCATACCACCCTCATGGAGTCTGTTTCTGAACGTTTGAGCAGACACATGCACATTCGTGGCCTGCTGGAGGACATTTTGCAGGGCTCTGGCAGTGCTCCTCCTGCTCCTCCTTGCACAAAGGCGGAGGTAGCAGTCCTGCTGCTGGGTTGTTGCCCTCCTACGGCCTCCTCCACGTCTCCTGATGTACTGGCCTGTCTCCTGGTAGTGCCTCCATGCTCTGGACACTACGCTGACAGACACAGCAAACCTTCTTGCAACAGCTCGCATTGATGTGCCATCCTGGATGAGCTGCACTACCTGAGCCACTTGTGTGGGTTGTAGACTCCGTCTCATGCTACCACTAGAGTGAAAGCACCGCCAGCATTCAAAAGTTACCAAAACATCAGCCAGGAAGCATAGGAACTGAGAAGTGGTCTGTGGTCACCACCTGCAAAACCACTCCTTTATTGGGGGTGTCTTGCTAATTGCCTATAATTTCCACCTGTTGTCTATTCCATTTGCACAACATGTGACATTTATTGTCAATCAGTGTTGCTTCCTAAGTGGACAGTTTGATTTCACAGACGTGTGATTGACTTGGAGTTACATTGTGTTGTTTAAGTGTTCCCTTTATTTTTTTGAGGAGTGATATATATATATATATATATACACACACACACAGTGGGGAGAACAAGTATTTGATACACTGCCGATTTTGCAGGTTTTCCTACTTACAAAACATGTAGAGGTCTGTATTTTTATCTTAGGTACACTTCAACTGTGAGAGACAGAATCTAAAACAAAAATCCAGAAAATCACATTGTATGATTTTTAAGTAATTAATTTGCATTTTATTGCATGACATAAGTATTTGATACATCAGAAAAGCAGAACTTAATATTTGGTACAGAAACCTTTGTTTGCAATTACAGAGATCATACATTTCCTGTAGGTCTTGACCAGGTTTGCACACACAGCAGCAGGGATTTTGGCCCACTCCTCCATACAGACCTTCTCCAGATCCTTCAGGTTTCGGGGCTGTCGCTGGGCAATACGGACTTTCAGCTCCCTCCAAAGATTTTCTATTGGGTTCAGGTCTGGAGACTGGCTAGGCCACTCCAGGACCTTGAGATGCTTCTTACGGAGCCACTCCTTAGTTGCCCTGGCTGTGTGTTTCAGGTCGTTGTCATGCTGGAAGACCCAGCCATGACCAATCTTCAATGCTCTTACTGAGGGAAGGAGGTTGTTGGCCAAGATCTCGCGATACATGGCCCCATCCATCCTCCCCTCAATACGGTGCAGTCATCCTGTCCCCTTTGCAGAAAAGCATCCCCAAAGACTGATGTTCCCACCTCCATGCTTCACGGTTGGGATGGTGTTCTTGGGGTTGTACTCATCCTTCTTCTTCCTCCAAACACGGCGAGTGGAGTTTAGACCAAAAAGCTCTATTTTTGTCTCATCAGACCACATGACCTTCTCCCATTCCTCCTCTGGATCATCCAGATGGTCATTGGCAAACTTCAGATGGGCCTGGACATGCGCTGGCTTGAGCAGGGGGACCTTGCGTGCGCTGCAGGATTTTAATCCATGACGGCGTAGTGTGTTACTAATGGTTTTCTTTGAGACTGTGGTCCCAGCTCTCTTCAGGTCATTGACCAGGTCCTGCCGTGTAGTTCTGGGCTGATCCCTCACCTTCCTCATGATCATTGATGCCCCACGAGGTGAGATCTTGCATGGAGCCCCAGACCGAGGGTGATTGACCGTCATCTTGAACTTCTTCCATTTTCTAATAATTGCACCAACAGTTGTTGCCTTCTCACCAAGCTGCTTGCCTATTGTCCTGTAGCCCATCCCAGCCTTGTTCAGGTCTACAATTTTATCCCTGATGTCCTTACACAGCTCTCTGGTCTTGGCCATTGTGGAGAGGTTGGAGTCTGTTTGATTGAGTGTGTGGACAGGTGTCTTTTATACGGGTAACGAGTTCAAACAGGTGCAGTTAATACAGGTAATGAGTGGAGAACAGGAGGGCTTCTTAAAGAAAAACTAACAGGTCTGTGAGAGCCGGAATTCTTACTGGTTGGTTGGTGATCAAATACTTATGTCATGCAATAAAATGCAAATTAATTACTTAAAAATCATACAATGTGATTTTCTGGATTTTTGTTTTAGATTCCGTCTCTCACAGTTGAAGTGTACCTATGATAAATATTACAGACCTCTAAGTAGGAAAACCTGCAAAAACGGCAGTGTATCAAATACTTGTTCTCCCCACTGTATATATATAGTGAGGAGAACAAGTATTTGATACACTGCCGATTTTGCAGGATTTCTTACTTACAAAGCATGTAGAGGTCTGTAATTTATATCATAGGTACACTTCAACTGTGAGAGACAGAATCTAAAACAAAAATCCAGAAAATCACATTGTATGATTTTTAAGTAATTAATTTGCATTTTATTGCATGACATAAGTATTTGATCACCTACCAACCAGTAAGAATTCCGGCTCTCACAGACCTGTTAGTTTTTCTTTAAGAAGCCCTCCTGTTCTCCACTCATTACCTGTATTAACTGCACCTGTTTGAACTTGTTACCTGTATAAAAGACACCTGTCCACACACTCACTCAATTAAAACAGACTCCAACCTCTCCACAATGGCCAAGACCAGAGAGATGTGTAAGGACATCAGGGATAAAATTGTAGACCTGCACAAGGCTGGGATGGGCTACAGGACAATAGGCAAGCAGCTTGGTGAGAAGGCAACAACTGTTGGTGCAATTATTAGGAAATGGAAGAAGTTCAAGATGACTGTCAATCACCCTCTGTCTGGGGCTCCATGCAAGATCTCACCTCGTGGGGCATCAATGATCATGACATCATTCTTTGGGGATGCTTTTCTGCAAAGGGGACAGGACGACTGCACCGTATTGAGGGGAGGATGGACGGGGCCATGTATCGCGAGATCTTGGCCAACAACCTCCTTCTCTCAGTAAGAGCATTGAAGATGGGTCGTGGCTGGGTCTTCCAGCATGACAACGACCCGAAACACACAGCCAGGGCAACTAAGGAGTGGCTCCGTAAGAAGCATCTCAAGGTCCTGGAGTGGCCTAGCCAGTCTCCAGACCTGAACCCAATAGAAAATCTTTGGAGGGAGCTGAAAGTCCGTATTGCCCAGCGACAGCCCCGAAACCTGAAGGATCTGGAGAAGGTCTGTATGGAGGAGTGGGCCAAAATCCCTACTGCAGTGTGTGCAAACCTGGTCAAGACCTACAGGAAACGTATGATCTCTGAAATTGCAAACAAAGGTTTCCGTACCAAATATTAAGTTCTGCTTTTCTGATGTATCAAATACTTATGTCATGCAATAAAATGCAAATTAATTACTTAAAAATCATACAATGTGATTTTCTGGATTTTTGTTTTAGATTCCGTCTCTCACAGTTGAAGTAAAAATTACAGACCTCTACATGCTTTGTAAGTAGTATATATATATATATATATATATACACACACACACATATACATACATACATACACACACACAGTGGGGGAAAAAAGTATTTAGTCAGCCACCAATTGTGCAAGTTCTCCCACTTAAAAAGATGAGAGGCCTGTCATTTTCATCATAGGTACACGTCAACTATGACAGACAAATTGAGGAGAAAAAATCCAGAAAATCACATTGTAGGATTTTTAATGAATTTATTTGCAAATTATGGTGGAAAATAAGTATTTGGTCACCTACAAACAAGCAAGATTTCTGGCTCTCACAGACCTGTAACTTCTTCTTTAAGAGGCTCCTCTGTCCTCCACTCGTTACCTGTATTAATGGCACCTGTTTGAACTTGTTATCAGTATAAAAGACACCTGTCCACAACCTCAAACAGTCACACTCCAAACTCCACTATGGCCAAGACCAAAGAGCTGTCAAAGGACACCAGAAACAAAATTGTAGACCTGCGCCAGGCTGGGAAGACTGAATCTGCAATAGGTAAGCAGCTTGGTTTGAAGAAATCAACTGTGGGAGCAATTATTAGGAAATGGAAGACATACAAGACCACTGATAATCTCCCTCGATTTGGGGCTCCACGCAAGATCTCACCCCGTGGGGTCAAAATGATCACAAGAACGGTGAGCAAAAATCCCAGAACCACACGGGGGGACCTAGTGAATGACCTGCAGTGAGCTGGGACCAAAGTAACAAAGCCTACCATCAGTAACACACTACGGCGCCAGGGACTCAAATCCTGCAGTGCCAGACGTGTCCCCCTGCTTAAGCCAGTACATGTCCAGGCCCGTCTGAAGTTTGCTAGAGTGCATTTGGATGATCCAGAAGAGGATTGGGAGAATGTCATATGGTCAGATGAAACCAAAATAGAACTTTTTGGTAAAAACTCAACTCGTCATGTTTGGAGGACAAAGAATGCTGAGTTGCATCCAAAGAACACCATACCTACTGTGAAGCATGGGGGTGGAAACATCATGCTTTGGGGCTGTTTTTCTGCAAAGGGACCAGGACGACTGATCCGTGTAAAGGAAAGAATGAATGGGGCCATGTATCGTGAGATTTTGAGTGAAAACCTCCTTCCATCAGCAAGGGAAATGAAGATGAAACGTGGCTGGGTCTTTCAGCATGACAATGATCCCAAACACACCGCCAGGGCAACGAAGGAGTGGCTTCGTAAGAAGCATTTCAAGGTCCTGGAGTGGCCTAGCCAGTCTCCAGAGCTCAACCCCATAGAAAATCTTTGGAGGGAGTTGAAAGTCTGTGTTGCCCATCGACAGCCCCAAAACATCACTGCTCTAGAGGAGATCTGCATGGAGGAATGGTCCAAAATACCAACAACATTGTGTGAAAACCTTGTGAAGACTTACAGAAAACGTTTGACCTGTGTCATTGCCAACAAAGGGTATATAACAAAGTATTGAGAAACTTTTGTTATTGACCAAATACTTATTTTACACCATAATTTGCAAATAAATTCATAAAAAATCCTACAATGTGATTTTCTGGATTTTTTTCCCTCATTTGTCTGTCATAGTTGACGTGTACCTATGATGAAAATTACAGGCCTCTCTCATCTTTTTAAGTGGGAGAACTTGCACAATTGGTGGCTGACTAAATACTTTTTTCCCCCCACTGTGTGTGTGTGTGTAATATATATATATATATATATATATATATATATATATATATATATATATATATATATATATATATATATATATATATATATATATATATATATATATATAATGCCCCTGGAATCTCATTTAGTTAGTCAACACAGGAAACCCAGGTTGTAGAAGTTAAGTCTGATGAGTATACTGTACCTTTGGACTGGATGCGTTCACAGTTGGGGGAGATGACAACACACTTGACCTTCCTGAGTTTGAGGTGTTTGAGGACCTCCCGGAGGCCCATGACCAGACGCCTCTTCATGCGGGCCTTCATAGGGTCCTTCTGGTACAGCCGGTCCTGGAAGCGCACCAGCTCCTTCAGCAGGTTGGTCACATACTCATCCACGTCTTTACTCAGCACCTGGCTGCAGTAACTGGGACACACAATATGTAAATGGTGGAAATAAAATCATGCTCCATTTTCTATTTCTTGTGTGTGTGTGTGTGTGTGTGTGTGTGTGTGTATATAATCCAGTATGGTTAAGAGTACGTGTTTAGAATCTTATCTTGTCAGTGTAAGAAACGGAAACCATGATGGCTTACTCTCGGAATTTCCTGCTGTGGATTTTGGGTCGAATGGGAGGGCAGGGCTGTGGCTGAGACTGATTGGTTGGCTCTTCAATCTCCTCTGTGTCCTTCTCAGTCTCCTCCTCAGTCTCCCCGTCTGCCACTCTCGTCTCCCCGTCTGCCGCTCTCGTCTCCTCATGTACTTCTGACTGCTCCTCCTCAAGCACAGAGGAGCTAGTAGGGCTGCTGCTTACATCTGAAGTATCAGACACACATCACCTCTTACGCTTAGTCATAAGTACTTACACTATGTACATTTCCTATTCTAAAAATGATGAAGTGAAGTTGTGTCTGACCTGTAGAGTCACGTGGGTCCTGGTCTATGCCGATGGCCTCACACAGCTCCTCTGTCATGTTGCCGGCCATCTTGGATTCTTCACTTGAAGGGGGCAGTGCCCGCTCCTCCAGCAAACGGTTCTGTTTCCTGTGTTCCCTCTCCTTGAGAATCACCTGCAGATTGAACAATGTGACTATAAAAACATATTTTAAGACGAGAGATGGTCTAAAATGCATGCTAAAGTAAGGCTTATCAAGCTTCATCTTGTCCAAAGCAGTGCACCATTCAGCAAAGCATTCAATAGGGGAAAAACATTTAATCACAGAAAATGCTTGTGGAAGTAAAGAAAGTCAACAGAGTAAATCCAAGCTAGGGAATGATAATCAACACAGTCCATACATATTTCCAGATAGCTGGGGTCCTAACTGAGAGACTCACCCTTTTCAGTGGTGTGGGTTTCTTAGCTTTGGGAACCTCTCTCTGCTTGCCCTTCTTTACCAGAGGGCTGGTCGAGTCCAAGGGGTTGTGGGCTATCTTATCCTGTAGCCATGGTTTCTTCTGGATTAGTGCGTTCTTATGGCCGACAGGTAGCGACCCACCAACTACATAGTAACAAGTGTCGCAGATATGTTAGAATAGCATGATGCTAAATGTGGGTAGCAATATGTGTATGAATATTATCATCATCACAATCAGTGCTATTTCTCAAGCACTTTTCATTTAAAAGTTCCATGCGTAAATAAAAAAAACTATGACAGATCTGAAGTTTTTTCTGCTGTAATATAACCTGAGAGGATGACCCCTTTGGTGTCCTGCTTGTCTTTCTGAGTTTGCTGTTTCTTCTCCAGAACCGCCAGCATGTTCCCAATATCCAGCTGCACAGGGACTTTGCTCTTCTTCCCACTGGTCTTCTCAGCTTTCTGATGAGAAGGTTTAACCATTTACAAGAATAACCATTTGGACAAAGTTACACAACAACAATGAAGGAGGTTGACTTTTAGGCTATATTACTCCTTTTTAGGCTATTTACTCTTCTAACATCATGAACTGCGTCTGTACAGAATAAGCCTGAATCAGATTTCAATATTGTTATGATGAGTTTCTGGTATTGAGAAGTTCAAGATGCAAGAATTTACTTAGACATTCTGTGGAGATTTTACCAAGTATTTATTTAATCACGAGCCCGTGGTTTCATCTAACAAACGGACATAGCCTTGCCCCCTTGTCAGTTGAACTGCCCACACACACACAAATCTCACAGCTTTTATACTCTTGGTTACACATTTCTTCAACCACATCTGGCCATCGTCAATGAGCACTACCCCTTCTATGTCATGACCTCTTACCCCCAAGCAGGACGTTCCCTCCGTACACCATTCTAATATAAACCCCACTATCTTCCTTGGACAGATTGGAATTTACTACCCCAGACTTAGAGTCATCCAGAACCACTTCTCTCTACTAACTTTAAACTAGTTACACACTCATATGAAATGGCCCCATATCCTCATCATATCAAATATTTTCCTATAAATCATGAGTAATGTTCAGTGCTGACCTGTCCCTTCTTTGTCTCTGCAGGTTGAGCTTTTCCTGCCGTGGCTTTTTCCTTGTTTTGGTCACCTGGCTGGAGTCCTGTTCCTTCTCTGTGACCCTCCTGTACCAGAAATAAAAAATACATTTTAAGAAGGAAATTATTATTGATTCAATGAAGTTGTAATTTCATTTATAATGCTTCTGGTTTGTATTTTCAAGAGTAATGTTAATTCCATACCTCCTTTTTGACTAGTTTTGCCATGTTGCTGAACAATACTGAGTTGTAGCCTTGCACTCTGGCTGAACCAGCGAAGGCCAGAGACAAGTCTGGAAACTCTTCTTCATCCTGGGAGGAAAATAAACCGTCACCAAATCAATTCAATTGATTTGACACTAAATATCATCAGTGTGGGGATTTAGGCTTGGTTTCCGTATAAACACTTTGTAACAACTGCTGCTGTGAAAGGGGCTCTATTAATAAATACATTTGATTGATTAAATATGAAAAAGGGAGGTCTCCTGAAGTCTATTAAAATATCCCCCTTTACTATGTTCCTCCTTACAATGTAAAGCACTTTGAGCATATTATTAAAACATAACTATACACTCCGTGGCCACCCCGTTCACGAAAATGGTTTGCATCAACAGTGAGTCACGTGGCCGGCTATATAAAGCAGGCAGACCGAGGCATCCAGTTACTGTTAGATTGAACATTAGAATGGGCAAAACGAGTGACCTAAGTGATTTTGAGCATGGTATGATCGTCGGTGCCAGGCGCGCCGGTTCCAGTATCTCAGAACGACAGTTTCTAGGGTTTACTGAGAATGGCGCGACAAACAAAAAACATCCAGTCAGTGGCAGTCCTGTGGGCGAAAACAGCTCATTGATGAGAGATGTCGAAGGAGAATGGCAAGAATCGTGCAAGTTAACAGGCGGGCCAAACACAGGCAAATAACGGCGCAGTACAACAATGGTGTGCAGAACGGCATCTCGGAATGCACAACTCGTCGGTCTTTGTCACGGATGGGCTATTGCAGCAGACGACCACACCGGGTTCCACTCCTATCAGCTAAAATCAAGAAGAAGCGGCTCCAGTGGGCACGCGATCACCAACACGGGATAACTGAGGAGTGGAAAAACATTGCCTGGTCCGACGAATCCTGGTTCCCGTTGCGACATGCTGATGGCAGAGTCAGGATTTGACGTAAGCAGCATGAGTCCATGGCGCCATCTTGCCTGGTGTCAACGGTACAGGCTGGTGGCGTAATGGTGTGGGGATTTTTTTCCTGGCACACATTATGTTCCTTGATACCAATTGAGCAACGTTTGAACGCCACACCTTGTAGAATCCATGCCCCGAAGAATTCAGGCCATTCTGGCGGCAAAGGAGGGACCGACACAGCACTAGATGGGTGTACCTAATAAACTGGCCACTGAGTGTATGTACATGAGCACTGTGACTTATTTCACCTCAAACTTGGGTGGCTCCTGATAAATGACCAGGTCCTCCGACTCCTCTACCGCGCCACCTTCACCCAGCATTTTGGATTTCTTCTTCTTCTTCTTCCTTTTCTTCTTCTCAGAGGCTTGTTCTTCTTGCTGCACAGCTGTTTCCTCCTTCTAATTAAGGACAAGACAAAAGGACAAATTCACTTCAAAAGTCAAAATGTTGGTCAACTTAATTTCTACCTCAGCAAATCTTCAAAGCTTAAACAGTTTGAGGGCAAGGGGGCACTTTAGCTAGATCGAGATGTACAGTAGGATTAGCATCAAGCACACACTGTACCTGGGATGGAGTGCTATTATTGACCGTTTCCTTGGGGATTACTTTCTTTGGCGGCTGGGAGGCCACATTGGCCCAGGAGGTCACTGCCAGGCCACTGTTGTGTGAAACGGCCTCCAGAGGCTGACCTGATTGGGTCAAGTACATTGGTTATTTTCTTATTACATTACTTTTGAATGCTGAATGCAAAAGGTCCAGTACCTTGTGCAACAGTCAAGGACGTGTCACTATTTTCACTGGAAGGGGTGAATCGACTGAGGTCCTGTCTTTGTCCTTTTCTTACTGGTGTAGTCTACAGATGATACAAAAATCACATGCCATTTCTTAAGATCATTTAATAAATTAGACATAACATTTATGACAGCATGCTATAGCTCAGTAGACCTACCTTACTAGTGGATACTGAGCTCTGATGATGGGGGGTGAGGGATGGTGAGGCTGATCCCCAGCAGGTTCCAGGTTTCTGTGGGACAGGAAGTGCAGGACTGCCGGGTGCCACACCACCCAGCTCTGGGAATTCAGCCATTTTCACCTCAAATGTGACTAAATCCACCTGGGCAAGTTTGGATCTCGCTGATGAGTTTGGGGCAGATCTGGACCCTCTAAAAACCCCTGCAGACAAAGCAAATAAAACACCACACTAATGACAAAAAAATGTGTCCTGCAATTGGAAGAGTATATACAGTTGAAGTCGAAAGTTTACATACACTTAGGTTGGAGTCATTAAAACTCGTTTTTCAACCACTCCACAAATTTCTTGTTAACAAACTATAGTTTTGGCAAGTCGGTTAGGACATCTACTTTGTGCATGACACAAGTAATCTTTTCAACAATTGTTTACGGACAGATTATTTCACTGTATCACAATTCCAGTCGGTCAGAAGTTTACATACACTAAGTTGACTGTTCCTTTGAACAGCTTGGAAAATTACAGAAAATGATGTCATGGCTTTAGAAGCGTCTGATAGGCTAATTGACATCATTTGAGTCAATTAGAGGTGTACCTGTGGATGTATTTCAAAGCATACCTTCAAACTCACTGCCTCTTTGCTTGACATCATGGGAAAATCAAAAGAAATCAGCCAAGACCTCAGAAAAAACAATTGTAGACCTCCACAAGTCTGGTTCATCCTTGGGAGCAATTTCCAAACGCCTGAAGGTACCACGTTCATCTGTACAAACAATAGTACGCAAGTATAAACACCATGGGACCACGCAGCTGTCATACCGCTCAGGAGGGAGACGCGTTCTGTCTCCTAGACATGAACGTACTTTGGTGCAGAAAGTGTCAATCAATCCCAGAACAACAGCAAAGGACCTTGTGAAGATGCTGGAGGAAACAGGTACAAAAGTATCTATATCCACAGTAAAACGAGTCCTATATCAACATAACCTGAAAGGCCGCTCATCAAGGAAGAAGCCACTGCTCCAAAACTGCCATAAAAAGCCAGACTACGGTTTGCAACTGGGGACAAAGATCGTACTTTTTGGAGAAATGTCCTCTGGTCTGATGAAACAAAAATAGAACTGTTTGCCCATAATGACCATTGTTATGTTTGGAGGAAAAAGGGGGGACTTGCAAGCCGAAGAACACCATCCCAACCGTAAAGCACGGGGTGGCAGCATGATGCTGTGGGGGTGCTTTGCTGCATGAGGGACTGGTGCACTGCACAAAATAGATGGCATCATGAGGAAGGAAAATTATGTGGATATATTGAAGCAACATCTCAAGACATCAGTCAGGAAGTTAAAGCTTGGTCGCAAATGGGTCTTCCAAATGGACAATGAACCCAAGCATACTTCCAAAGTTGTGGCAAAATGGCTTAAGGACAACAAAGTCAAGGTATTGGAGTGGCCATCACTAAGCCCTGACCTCAATCCTATATAACATTTGTGGGCAGAACTGAAAAAGCATGTGCGAGCAAGGAGGCCTACAAACCTGACTCAGTTACACCAGCTCTGTCAAGAGGAATTGGCCAAAATTCCCCCGACTTATTGTGGGAAGCTTGTGGAAGGCTACCCGAAACGTTTGACCCAAGTTAAACAATTTAAAGGCAATGCTACCAAATACTAATTGAGTGCATGTACACTTCTGACCCACTGGGAATGTGATGAAATAAATAAAAACTGAAATAAATCATTCTCTCTACACTTATTCTGACATTTCACATCTTAAAATAAAGTGGTGATCCTAACTGACCTAAGACAGGGATTTTTTTACTAGGATTAAATGTCAGGAATTGAGTTTAAATACAAATGGCTAAGGTGTATGTAAACTTCCGACTTCAACTGTACCTAGTGTTCCCTCTAAGCTGTGAGCGTGCTCCCCCGGGACTGCCGGGCTGAAGAAATATCAGCCCACGCAGAGAAGCACGAGATTGAACTTCACTCAACTTTCCAGAGTTTTCCCCCTTAGTTAACACCATCAACGTTTTCCTTTACTGTGGGAATTGTGATCAACGCAACACTAGCCACTTTCAACGCAACATACTGGAAAAAAATTAACTAGGCAAGATATTTTGTCGTAGGCATAACGCATTGGAGAAGGATTCTATTGCATTGACACGCACGACTCAGCCCGTACTCTACACAGACCGGTGCGGGATAACCAATCAGAGCTGCAGTAGGCCTATATGCAAATAGACCATTGCCATAATGGATCTTCTTTCACTTTGATCTGGACTGTGTTTACAGCATGAGAGGTCGTGAGTAGATGCGCTTGTTTTGAGATGAAAGCGAGAGCTGCATGTAGCCACGTGTGCACATTTGTTCACATCTTTTACTAGTTAGTGACTTATTAGCCCAGTTATATTTCATTTGTAGTCAGCAATGTAGGAGTGATTGCTTCCTACAAGAGCACAAAACATGTACATTTCTAGACATCTTTGAAAAGCGAGTCGGGTAAAGAGCTTTTTTTGTCTTAAATGGGCAGTATTTTGAGACTGTCTTGAATAAACTAAGTAGCCAATAGGCAGAGGGTATCATAATTTGTCTTATTCTCTGCAATAATGGTATGGGAATAATAAAGCATTTTATTTTGTAAAGTGGTTTCTTGCATCAAACAACACTTTCAGTCACCTCCTTGTCTGCAGGACAAGTGGATGTGAGGCCCTGCCAGTTTTCTTTCTCCAAAAGTCTCATGGAATGTAGGACTACATTAACCACCACATATTGGCTGCTACTGTAGGCTGGCTGATAGAACAGCTATTTCCATGTTAAAATGTTATGGGCTGCATTTTCTCCATTGTTTTTGATGGTAGGCTACTCTGGTAGGCCTACATTATGATCAAATAGCCACTTGACCACTGTCTGAAACTGTAACTTAAAGCGGGTACAGCCTCAGTGTTCACAGTAAACGCGCACTGGAAGTTGCACAGAATTTACACAACGCTCAAGTTTGCGCTCAGCAGACCGGAAATTTGCTCAGTGCCTAATTTTTTGGGAGGGAACATTGATACATACTATTAACAAAACATGATGATTATCTGTGCGTTATATGCAACGTGTGTGATTACCTCTTCTTGGTGCATCCAATGATCTCCTGATCATGCTATTGTTCTGAGAAGCAAACTCAGAACTAGATTTTGATGCCTGTGAAGTTGGGGAAAAATCAGTTGAGCTATATGAATACACATTAAAGAAAATAGTTTGTAATATTCTAGTTTGGTTTCAATATGGTCAGTATAACTAAACAGACCTTTGTCTGCTGAACACGTATGGGTCGTTCTCCAGCTGTGTATGCACTTGTTTCAGTTGTCCCTTTGGTACGACGGCTGCTGATGTTGCCATGCTTGCTCGGTGTCTCCCCTCGCATACCATCAGTGGTTGAAGGCCTCTGCCTGGGGCTCTTTCTCGAGTCATCACCTGAAGTGGCCTTACCAGCCTGATTCCTGGATGGAGATTTAGAAATGAGAAATTAATAAAGGGTTCACTTCACAATCACATTAGTTAAGCAATCTGCAATATACTAAAGACAAATAGTCCAAATAGTCTAGTACATGTACAATTTAAAAACAAACTCCCTACTTGGTTTAGAGGAATTAATGAAATAATTAAAGCAAAATAAATGAATTAATCCTACCTTCTTGAACCTTGCTCCAACAGATAAGGGTTTGGTAGTGTCAGGGGCGGTGATGAAGTTGTCAGTTGTTTAGGGGGCTCCAATCTCCCTTCCTGTTGGACCTTTGGAACAAAGGGCTGGACTGCAGGTGACAATTTGCTCTGCTGGAATATACCAAAGCAAATAAGAAATCATCCAATAATATTACATTTAAATGTAACTAACAAGGAAAGATATGTCTAAGTTAGCGACAAATATACTTGAACACTATCAGGTAAGGAAAGTCATTTCAAAGCCAACAAGTGCAATGGCCAAGGACATTGGGTCTGCAACGTCACAAATACACACGTTAGTTAGTTGACTAAAGTTAGCTTAACATGTCAGTTAAAACTCTCTCTGCTTCCAATTGCTAGTGCCAGTCAAGGATACAGTAGTGCGCCAGTGCCTACCTAGCCCATCCATTTCGCTCAAGCTCAATTTGTTTGTTATGGTTAGCCTAGCTCGTGCAGCTGTAACTGTACTAGCAAGTATCAATACTAGTTAGCTACATGGCTAGCTACATAACGTTAATCCTTCGGCGTGAAATAAAATCGTCGAAGTCGAATTTCATGAGTCATGTCAAAACAGTCCAATCAAACAAACTGACAACGGGCTGGCATATGGCAGTTTAGTATTACACAACAGTTGCTATCTAGCAACCTGGTTTCAGAAAGCAAATGTAACTAGCTAGCTAGTTCCCTTGGCTAGCAAGCTATAGGCATTTCTCAATAACAAACCCCATCCTTAATCTTACCTTGTCCATCTCCTGTTTCGTGTTTGCCAGTTAAAGTCAGATTGTCATGTTTCTGTCGGATATATATATATATATATAAATATATATACAGTTAGCTGACTACACAGTTACTGTACAAGCATAGCATGACATCGTTGACAACAACTCTCAGGCAAGTCAACTGTGGAAAATTTGAGCACCCAGAGTTCACATGATATAGCACCAAGCTTATAGTGTGCAACTGCAGCCCGCAATTCGGGGCATTCCTGCATCTGCAGGAACGCCCACCTCGAGGTTCTGCAGTCAGTAGTACAGCGGGCGGCAGGCTTGGGCGATACCGTGTGCTAGCTACAAAGATCTGTATAGCTAGTTAGCACAGTGTCCTTCGCTCCCGCCTGCTGAACACCTGCCCTCGCCGGTGCGAGTTAGCACATGTAGCTATCTAGCACAGTGTCCTTCGCTCCCGCCTGCCCTCGCCAGTGCGAATAACACTTTTCTACCGGTCGCCTCCGCTCCCCACTAGCACAGCAGGTGGGAGGCTTGGTCGATACGTGTGTTAAGTAAGTAAGTAACTTGCCAGTTACTAGCGACACCGTGTGCTAGCTTTCTAGTTAGCACACGGGGTAGCCGCCCGCCTGCTGTGTACCGCCAGACTAGTTGGCTAAGCTAGCAGTGTCCTTCGCTCCCGCCTGACGTCGTTAACAGAACTGTGGGAAAACAGGGTCCGACAGGCGCGGGCGAAAGACACCCATACTAACATACTGTATACTTAATGAGTATATACTACATACTAGTAGTTCATTTTATTATACTGTAAACGAGCGGTGTCCTTTCAGTTGAGCATACCAGCGCTTCCCCTGTTTACCGGAAGTTGATGCTGTTGCTATGAAACCTCTTGCTAGCATAACAAATTACTAGCAAGACGTTTTACGATTTCGTGTGTGTTCGTAAATTCAATCTGGAGTGCCAGAGTGCGCTCTGGGCGTTCGTAAATCCAGAGCGTAGTCAGATTGTCCGTTCGTAAATTCCGAGCGTTCAGCGCGCATACCGACGCTCTGGCCGAGGAGTAGGCTTGGTACAAGGGTTCTGACCTCACAACCGCACCCAAACTAACTAGCTACTTCCAAATACAAATGAGAGAACACCTCACTCTGACCATTTTACTCGCCCTAGCAGAGCTGGTTAGGCAGTTTTCATGTTATTCAGAGCGTTGGTGACTAACTGTGCTGCTGGCAACAATTTAATTACGCTTTTTTTTGCCGACTTTTACTGACATCGGCCATATTCAACTGGTGTTGAGCATTCGTAAATTCATCAGTTATTCTGCGCCCTGGCACACTCAGACGAGAGTGCTCTGAAATCGGAGTAGATAGCCAGAATTAACAATGTCTATTGAGAACGCACAACGACTATACCACTTAGCTAAAAATGACGTGAATAATCAAATCGATAAACGTTGGGTAGTTAGTTAGATAGCATATAGTTAATATACTGCCTGGCAAGTTCGATGTATTAGTAGGCAACTAACAGTAGCTAACATACCAGTACATACTGCTGTAAGGATAGGTAGCGAACATAACGTAACTTATTTGAAAAGTCATTACTTTATTACTTTGCTTGACATTTGTGTTAATTAGTTAAAGCAAGCAATTAATGTATGCACTCTTGTCGGACTTCGGCTGCATATTTACCGCCATTTACTTAAAATCGCCCATTTTCGAAATAATTTCATTATGGGCCCAAAAAGGACGGAAATGGTGTCCACTGCTTGTATACTTGGTATTTTGGCGAATTTACTACGACATCGGGGAACTTTTGGCATACTAACTATACCCATACTATGACCAATTAGCATACAACATACTCCAATTTTTTTTTGGTTATTTTTTTTCCCCACCTTTATTTAACCAGGTAAGCCAGTTGAGAACAAGTTCTCATTTACAACTGCGACCTGGCCAAGATAAAGCAAAGCAGTGCGATAAAAACAACACAGAGTTACATATGGGGTAAAAAACATAAAGTCAAAAATACAACAGAAAATATATATACAGTGTGTGCAAATGTAGCAAGTTATGGAGGTAAGGCAATAAATAGGCTATAGTGCAAAATAATTACAATAGTATTAACACTGGAATGCTAGATGTGCAAGAGATTATGTGCAAATAGAGATACTGGGGTGCAAAAGAGCAAAATAAATAACAATATAGGGATGAGGTAGTTGGGTGGGCTAATTTCAGATGGGCTGTGTACAGGTGCAGTGAACGGTAAGGTGCTCTGACAACTGATGCTTAAAGTTAGTGAGGGAGATAAGTCTCCAGCTTCAGAGATTTTTGCAATTCGTTCCAGTCATTGGCAGCAGAGAACTGGAAGGAATGGCGGCCAAAGGAGGTGTTGGCTTTGGGAATGACCAGTGAGATATACCTGCTGGAGCGCAGACTACGGGTGGGTGCTGCTATGGTGACCAATGAGCTAAGATAAGGCGGGGATTTACCTAACAGTGATTTATAGATGGCCTGGAGCCAGTGGGTTTGACGACGAACATGTAGTGAGGACCAGCCAACAAGAGCGTACAGGTCACAGAGGTGGGTAGCGTATGGGGCTTTGGAGACAAAACGGATGGCACTGTGATAGACTACATCCAATTTGCTGAGTAGAGTGTTGGAGGCTATTTTGTAAATGACATCGCCGAAGTCAAGGATCGGTAGGATAGTCCGTTTTACGAGGGCATGTTTAGCAGCATGAGTGAAGGAGGCTTTGTTGCGAAATAGGAAGCCGATTCTAGATTTAACTTTGGATTGGAGATTCTTTATGTGAGTCTGGAAGGAGAGTTTACAGTCTAACCAGACACCTAGGTATTTGTAGTTGTCCACATACTCTAGGTCAGACCCGTCAAGAGTGGTGATTCTAGTCGGGTGGGCGGGTGCCAGCAGCGTTCGATTGAAAAGCATGCATTTAGTTTTACTAGTGTTTAAGAGCAGTTGGAGGCTACTGAAGGAGTGTTGTATGGCATTGAAGCTCGTTTGGAGGTTTGTTAACACAGTGTCCAATGAAGGGCCAGATGTATACAAAATGGTGTCGTCTGCGTAGAGGTGGATCTGAGAGTCACCAGCAGCAAGAGCGACATCATTGATATACACAGAGAAAAGTGTCGGCCCAAGAATTGAACCCTGTGGCACCCCCATAGAGACTGCCATAGGTCCAGACAACAGGCCCTCCGATTTGACACACTGAACTCTATCTGAGAAGTAGTTGGTGAACCAGGCGAGGCAGTCATTTGAGAAACCAAGGCTATTTAGTCTGCCAATAAGAATGCGGTGGTTGACAGAGTCGAAAGCCTTGGCCAGGTCGATAAAGACTGCTGCACAGTACTGTCTATTATCAATCGCGGTTATAATATCGTTTAGGACCTTGAGCGTGGCTGAAGTGCACCCATGACCAGCTCGGAAACCGGATTGCATAGCGGAGAAGGTACGGTGGTATTCGAAATGGTCGGTGATCTGTTTGTTAACTTGGCTTTCAAATACTTTCGAAAGGCAGGGCAGGATGGATATAGGTCTGTAGCAGTTTGGATCTAGAGTGTCACCCCCTTTGAAGAGGGGGATGACCACGGCAGCTTTCCAATCTCTGGGGATCTCAGACGTTATGAAAGAGAGGTTGAACAGACTAGTAATAGGGGTTGCGACAATTTCGGCGGCTAGTTTTAGAAAGAAAGGGTCCAGATTGTCTAGCCCTGCTGATTTGTAGGGGTCCAGATTTTGCAGCTCTTTCAAAACGTCAGCTGTCTGAATTTGTGTGAAGGAGAAGCGGGGGGGGGCATGGGCAAGTTTTAGCGGAGGGTGCAGAGTTGGTGGCCGGGGTAGTGGTAGCCAGATGGAAAGCAATTTATGTCACAAATAGTATGGTTAGTATGAGTATTAGAACACATTGACTGGCTTTCATCATGCTGCCCACTCAAGAGAAAGCTTCAAACTGTGACCAGTGCCTGCAACCTGGTTAAGGTTATCAGTCAACCTACCAGGGTGGTTACAAACAGTAAAGGAATTATATCATCAACATGTATTGATCATATCTTTACTAATGCTGCAGAGATTTGTTTGAAAGCAGTATCCAAATCCATTGGATGTAGTGATCACAATATAGTACCCATATCTAGGAAAACCAGAGTTCCAAAGGCTGGGCCTAATATTGTGAATAAGAGGTCATACAATACGTTTTGTAGTGATTCCTATGTTGTTGATGTAAAGAACATGTTGGTCCGTGGTGTGTAATGAGGAGCAAACAGACACTGCACTTGACACATTTATGAAATTGCTTATTCCAGTTACTAATAAGCATGCACCCATTAAGAAAAAGACTGTAAAAACGGTTAAATCCCCGTGGATTGATGAGGAATTGAAAAATGGTATGGTTGAGAGGGATGAGGCAAAAGGAATGGCAAATAAGTCTGGCTGCACAACCGATTGGCAAACATATTGCAAATTGAGAAATCATGTGACTAAACTGAATAAAAAGAAGAAGAAACAACACTATGAAACAAGGATAAATGACATAAAGAATGATAGTAAAAAGCTTTGGAGCGCCTTAAATGACATTTGGGGAAAAGGGCAAACTCAGCTCCATCATTCATTGAATCAGATGGCTCATTCATCACAAAACCAACTGATATTGCCAACTACTTTAATCATTTTTTCATTGGCAAGATTAGCAAACTTAGGCATGACATGCCAGCAACAATTGCTGACACTACACATCCAAGTATATCTGACCAAATTATGAAAGACAAGCATTGTAATTTTGAATTCAGTCAAGTGAGTGTGGAAGAGGTGAAAAAATGATTGTTGTCTATTAACAATGACAAGCCACCGGGGTCTGACAACTTGGATGGAAATTGCTGAGGATAATAACGGACGATATTGCCACTCCTATTTGCCATATTTTCAATTTAAGCCTACTAGAATGTGTGGGCCCCCAGGCTTGGAGGGAAGCAAAAGTCATTCCGCTACCTAAGAATAGTAAAGCTCCCTTTACTGGCTCAAATAGCCAACCAATTATCCTGTTACCAACCCTTAGTAAACTATTGAAAAAATTGTGTTGACCAGATACA